CAGACGGACAGTTGGTCTACGTGCGCCTTCGGGTTTAAAATTAGAATTATAGTTACTTCCGCCAGTTATTGGCAAAGTTCGTTCTTAAAAATCGATAGCGTTTAATAATAGATTAATAATTATTCGCATGGGTACCCAAAATTGGTATCGGTATTGGCTTACTAGTATTTTAATCTAAACGGACTGGAGACGATGCTGATGTTTTTGAAGACTATTTCCAGCAAATTATCGCTTATTGCTCTGCGGGTTTGTTATAGTCCACACATTTTAAATAAGATATGTTGAAAAAGGAACTACTGCCTATTGTAAATTTGAATAAACCTATTTGTACGAAATGTGTTCTGGCCGAAATCGCTTCAAAACGAAATATTCGTAACTTGCAGCTTATATTATAAACAGAAGACGTTTTTAAAATAATCATGTTTATTTCAATTTATTAATTTTCACGTTGCTTTTCGTTCTATATAATTTTTGATTTACTTGATCTTAATAATCTGAATAATTAATATCTCAATTATCTGCCCATCTCTATGACTATAATCGTGTATAATTATTATTACATTTATTATTCTAACAAACTACCTGTAGTAACGTCGCTGTCATATTACTTTCATTTGCCAAACTTGTCTTTCTATTCTATGCAAATTAGTGTGTGTAAGCCTTAAACTTTAAATTGTCCTACATGTCATTGCAAAATTACATTTCATTACTATCTCGCATTTAGAAACATAGTATAATCAACAATTTTTACACCTGGCAATAATTAAATAAAAAACGTTTTTTTTAAACGCCTTTAATGAACATATATACCGAGTTAGTAAAAAGAACCGGAATGTTTAAATATCTCCAAAACTGCCAAAGCTGGAGCGATAAAATTCAATATCTGGAGGTTTTTGAACATGCAGAATTCAAACGGCAATGTTGTCAGATTTACCACTTTTACGTTACACGTCATAATTTTAATATTTCAAATGGAATGCCTTATTTATTATTGTTGCAATGAATGAATGAAGGTCTCATAATTTTCAAATTGTATGTATATTAATTATTGAGCTACGGCAACACCGCTTTTTCATTGAAAGGTACGGGAAGGCTTAAACATCTCCGAAACTGCTAAAGCTGTGACGATAAAATTCAACATTTGAGGTTTTTCGAATATACATAATTCAAAAATATTAACGGTGATTTTGTCATAATTTTCTTAATTTAAATTATTTATTATTGTTACAATGAATGAATGTGTTATAATTTTAACATTATATATTTATTAATTACTGAGTTATGGCAACACCGCTTTTTCGGTGATAGGTATCGGAACGCTTAAATATATCCGAAACTGCCAAAGCTGGGACTATAAGATTCGGGGGGTTTTTAAACATGCAGAATTGAAAAATGCTAACAGCAATATTGTCAGACTTCGCAATGAGATTTATAATTCTGGTAACAATCCAGTGATACACACACGCATTAGGCGTTTTACTGGAGTAGCGGTGTTGCCGTAATTTATTAATTAATAGAAACAAATTTTTAAATTATGAGAGCTACCAAATTGCAATTCATCGCAACAAAAATAAAGAGGCCATTCCATTTAATTATGACGTGCGACGTAGAAATGGTAAATGCGACAACATTGCTGTTAACAACTTTGAATTCTGCATTTTGAAAAACTCCAGGCAGTTTGGAGATATTTAAGCGTTCCGAGTTCAATAAAACTGAACAAATTAAAAAAGAGGAAAATTTAATTAATCTGAGTGTAAAACAAATTGGATGTCCTTTAAATGGCCGATGTCGTTATCGCTAACGTCCAAAGTAGTGTGCGGGGGCGGAAAAAAATTAAACGTCCGAACGAATACGGAAGCTCCGAAACGGTAGATATAGAAATTTAACCCGAGCGTTATCGTCAAAAAAGGTAAATGCGAAACGCTCGACTCAAAACTTAATTTCAAAAACGATGGTAATTAGGGCGACAATTTTACGGAAGAGCATATTTCTGCGGCTTTAAACTTAATCGTATAGTACCGCCTTTAGGGGAAACGGTTTAATGTTTTTAATCTGACATAACGAGAGCACATATAGGATACGAGTTACCGAATTACAACGCTTCAGTAAAAGCTTAATCGCTCCCCGCCATTTATATAAATTCGTTTAATTTTTTGCTAAGTAATACAATGATAAAATAATGAAAAATATTAAATTGTCTAATACGTATTTCTAATAAGTACAAGAGAATAGAGTCGACTTTCTTATCTTTCGCGTTCAAAAATTAAAAATTACAATTTTTTAAAAATTAAAAATCAAAGAAAATTAAAAAAAAAACACTTTTAATTAGTGTTTGAAAATCTACAAAGCGGTTTTATTTTTCCATATTATAAATGTATTTTCAGATTGTATTTTTTTTTGCTGTTATCTTCTTATTTTTTTGCCTCTTTTTTACTGCCATATTTATTGTTGATCAATACTTACACTAGTTCTTTCCAGTAACATTGTTTTAATATTTATTTATAAATTCACTTGTAGCTCTTACCAGGTTACAGCTGCTAACAAATGTTGCTTTCTATTTGTTAGAATTTAAATTTCACTCAGCCAAGAAGACTTTTGATCGATAGCACCAAGACAGATAATGTTAATAAAAATATTGAGAATATAAAAAATTGGAGTAACGATTTGAAAGAAGTGTGAGAAAAAAAAAGCATTTAAAAAAATCAAATATAAACTGTAATTAAAAAATTCCACGTAATTCAGAAATTATCGTTTTACGTTTCTGTCAAAATGAATTCAAAACATTGTTTTAGTTATTTGTTATGACGACTTTTATTTATTCTTTCAATAAGTATAATATTACATAGCATTTTGTTTATTGAAAATAATATAAATAATAATTATGACTTTATTTAACAAAATAATTATTACGTTTTCAAAAATTATTGTGGTCCAAATAGAGACCAAATATGATTTGTAATATTATTAATAGTAACTAACCAAAACTACCCAGTTTAACTAAGTCGAAAACTTTTAATTCAGTTTACTCTAAATTAAAAAAATAATTAATTGGTTTACAAAAATTTAAAACAACAATCTGAACCCATTAATAGACAGTTTTTGTACTCCATTTTGAAAGCTGGAATTACGTTTACCACATTCTTTATTTTCGTCAATAAAATTACAATAGTTGAAGTTGAGAGGAGCAATGATTCACACTTATTTGCTTTGAATATGTTATTGTACAAAATTTGCACGAAGGCAAATAATTTGTTAAGTCTAAGGAATACTTATATTCTTGTTTTTGTTAATAATTTGCCAAAATAAAGCCCAGTTTAGTCCGAAACAAAGTAACAAACTGTTAAACTTGACGCAAACAAGCCGGTGATGTCCGATCTGTGTGAACCAATAATAAAAGTAGTAATTACGTTTTTAATTGCCGAAGTTCGGCAGTAATCTCTAAATCTAACTGTATCCAATTATGACCGAAATCGTTTTTCCGGGATAATAAGGTGAGCGCGGAACACGACGGACGGAGATTTAATGTCGAACATGAATTCGCCACCTCCCTGCGCCCTGTTAATTATAGTTACATTGTAAGTGCAATTTAATCCGTTTATAATCGCACTGCGATGCGTCTGGGTTTTATTAATTGCTAAATTGTTAATTTTTATCCTCCGAATTTCGGATTACCGCGTCGAAGTTTCATTAAAATGAAATTTACCAAAGTTCGCTCAAATTAAAATATCTTTTATTTAGATTTTTTTTTTAATAAGTTCAGAAATTAAGCGCGTTTCCTTCACCGGTTGTAGTTCTGTAAACAACTAGACAAGCTAGAGACGCTAAACTAACCAAATAGTGTAATAAAAATATGGGAAAATTAAATTTTCACAGAAACTTCCGCAAGTTGTTGAACGCGTAGGTATACTTCTTCTGAATTTCTCCTGCTCAGACATTGCTCTGAAGAAGTCCGCAGCATTTTTAGCGAAACGTCAGCAAGACAGAGTCCATAACCGAGTCAATGAAGGAAAAATCCAGAAGGGTAGCTACATGGACGAATGAAATTGAAACATACACCAACATTATTCGAATCTGCTATGTTTTTAATGCATTTCTTTATCGAGAAGTGAAAAGTTGACGTTAAAATTGGCCTAATGTCAATTTAAACAATAACTTTCCTCTGACATATTATTTCCACTTCTATCAGATTAAAATGTATTAATAATCAATACATTTATCTACCTAATAATCTAAAACTATAGCAGACAGCGTTTAAATTTTTGCCACTGTAACTAACACCGAAAGGTAATGAGCGAATTATTGATTTTGCTTCATTTCACTTTTGCCAAATTTTGTAAATATAGTTTAGCCAGAAATATATATTTTAAAATAATAGGTAACTGGTGAAAAATAACATTTAACTACATGCTTTCCATTAAAATTTTTCCACTAAAATAGAATCCTTTGACCAGCTCGACTACGAAATTAATTGATTTTTCTTTTTTTTAGGGCTTGACTGAGATCTGGTTAATACACATTAAATTCGACTTTATGTTAGAAGTGTTAATTCAGATGATGTGTACCAAAATTAATTTTAGGGATCTATGCGTTTGAGAGACGATTAATTACGATCGATTAATTAATTACGGTTTGATGAGCCTATTCTATGTCTACCGATATTGAGGATGAGAATGTTGTCGGGTCAATTTATATTATTGCCGCGCTTGCTTTATTTTATAATTGAAAATTGAAATTGAATAAATAAATGAAGATAAATATAAGACGAATGACTTAATAAATTTTTGTTCGTCTTCCTTAAAACGCGAAATTTATGCCTAAACGGTTCATACACTGCCCTCTTTGGTCGACTAGCCCAACTGAAGAATGCCGTGGCAAAAATATAGAATTATACGGAAGTAAAGAATTCCTAATGGTATTTGATTTTGATTTACAAGTACAAAAAACGGATGTTTTTTATAAATATTTAATAAAAAATCAGTTTTACATTTCCACCGCACACATCACAACAGCACCGCTTAAGATGAGAATTTATTTATATTTTCTAATAGTAAGCAGTTTTTAAGTTTTGTTTTATTATTCATCATTTGAAATTTTTAGTGTCTTTTTTCTCAAACGAAGGCAATAAATAAAAATAACGAGGATATTATCAATTTCTTAAACGCACAGAAGGAAGAAGTACGAGACAGATTTAACGAAAAACTTGGCTATACAAAGAATTCCGGTAAGATTATAAATAAACTCATTTTGTCTATTTTTAATAACAATAGTGTTCTTTCTAGGAATCGGCCTGATTGAGCAAAATATATTGGGGGTGTACAGGCACACAAATAACTCAACACACGTGGATATTTTCTCGATGTTTAATACTACTTTTGTTGTCATTAATGATGAAATATTTAAAATCGATTTGAATAACATTTTAAATTTACAATATTTTTCCACACTAGTTGGGTACAACTATGAAGATAAAATGTTTTTTAAAGTTAGTTGTTTATGGTAAACTAAATAATGATAATTAAAAATTAATATTTTAGACGAAACAATTTCGCGAATTCGGCTTCATTGCGATAGGTCTGAAGAGCGGTACGACTCAAATTTACAAATCGTCCAATACGTCGAACTTCCAAGCCTTCCAAACCATCAGAACGCCAAATACGCAAGATGCCGTTTTCTTTGTTAACGAGAATAATTTATATTTATCTTTAGTGGGGAATAACGGGCCCCATCTAGCGTCTTCATCGTAAGTAATTATAAATGTTGCTAGAAGTTAAAAATGTTAACAATGTCCTGATTTTTTCAGCATATATAAATGGTTGGATACGTATTTTGATGAAGTCCATGCAGCATATACCACCGAGGCTATAAAAATTTTGTCTTTTCCATATCACAGATCGGAAATAATGATAATATTGAGGAATAATCCCGGACACGAGGTATACTAATGGGTGCTTGTGAAATTTTTGAATTTCACTTGTGGAGTTTTTCTAGTCCGTTTCACCAGTCTATGAATTTAGAAGCGATAGACTGAAGACAATCCAGATGCTGACAGTAAAGAATCCACTCAACATGGACGTATTTGTTGAAAATCGACATTACCTTGTGATTTATTCGAAATCGACTGGTACTTTATATGTCTGGAACGGTAAGTATCATTTAATGGAACTGAATATCATACCAATAAACGTCTAAACGGGCAACTGGGGTGTTTAAAATTTTATGGTTGCTTTTTTTTAACAATTTTCTTTAATTGGTTACCGAAATTACACTGTCAATCCTATCAGGGAACAATTTCACGCACTCGGGAGAGAGATTAAGACAATAATTCTCGCGTAAAGGCCCGTAAGAAACTGGCAAAACGTGAGGGAAACACTGCTTTTCCGCTGGTGTCGTTTAATGTAGGTACAAGCGTGGGCAGAAATATTATATCCACAAAAAAAACACTTGTTCGGATTTACAGGGAGGTTCATTTAAAACAACCCGCTGCAAGGTTTCGACAACACACAGGTTAACCTATTCTCCATCTGTCAAAAAAGATGTACTTTGCAGCAGTAGCACAAAGGAGACTAACCGATTCACTTATTATCGGCAGCTTTATTTAATAACTTAGATAATAAACTCTTTCAAAAATTATTTTAAAACTTTTTTCAATATTACTAAAAATTTTATTATTTAAAAAAATATTTATTTATCGTTTCAGTAGAAAAAAATCCGGAGAAATTTAAAATAAATAACATAACGTTATATTTTACATTTAATATTATTGCCTTTTTTAATTTTTAATGAGTACAAATGAGAAAGTATATGTGAAAAAAATAAGCACGGTTCACTGATTATTAACATTGCTCTCGAAATATGCAAAATTTCCATCAAAATTAACCTAGAAATTACCAAATGCCTGGTACTATCTTTTTTTTATTTAGTATCAGTTTTTTTGGGTACCTGCAAGTATTTTTTTCTACTCCCGTCACTGTACCACGTTAGTTTCCCACCGATTCGAACTACTTCGGACATTTCCGGGATTTTACCTCACGCGTTTGGGAGCAATCGGATGTTTTCACTGATATTTCCCACGCCTTGAATTTTGAGTTTCATTCTGACGGTCATGTCAGTGAATGTGTCCGTGTTGTTTTGCAAAAATGTACTCAAAAATTAACGTTTGTAGAAAAAATATAGTATGCAACACGTTTAGAATATAGACTATTGTTTTTAAACGCTCTTTTATGTTTTGTAATTATGCTACTCACTTAAACACATAAAAACACATTTTTGGCGACAATTTTGATATTTTACATACAGCCACAAAAAGAAAATTAATTTTATTGGAAGCAATGGAGATTAACAAAATAAGACATTCAAATGTATTGCTTGACGATCAATTAGATGTAAATACATCTCCTTTATTGCACTTAAATTCTCACAACAACATTAATTAAGGTTTTATGGCTATGTTTCGGTATATATAGTATCAGGTAGTTTGTAAATATTACATTTGATAAAGACACGGTGTTGTGGAAACAATTGTCATGTCAAAATATATAATTTCGTGAAAATCTGAACTTTTTGTTCTTATTTATTTTGATAAATGGATTTTCATCAAGTAAAAGTCACCTCAGTTCAACTAATAAAATAGCATCATAAATTTTCTGTCCTGCTTCTTATATTTTTTGATTTATCATTTAATGTTTTAATATAAAATTGTGTAGTCAAATTTGATCTCTGCTTATTCACAGTACATAGTTTGTATTGTTGAATCAGTTGAAAAACATAAGAGGAGTGCTTTCATTTCTGTTTCAACAAGACATGAATTTATTATTAATTATTACCGAAAACTTTACTAAAATCCAAATTCGGAAAGATAAGATCTGCCCAAAGAAACAGAAAAACAAATATATAGTTGTCTGGTTACGTAGTATGTTTAATTTTTTTATGCTCTCTCAAAAATTAAAACACCTTTTAAATTAAGTTAAAATAGGCAAGTTTCCACTTCTAATAAAACACTCAAAAATTTCCCTGTATGTCTAATATGCTTAAATTGCAGATGTAATGAAAAATCGCGTTCTTACATTAATGATTCATACAGTATTGAGTTTACAATTAACACAAGCCAACCAAGTTGTCATCATCATTCTACATCTATCTATTTATGTATCTGTACATTGAAGAATACATTATTCTAGCAGTTGAAATAAAATTTACAAAAATCGAGGGCCTTTCCGCTAGAAACAAGCTCCAAATAAAATATGTTGCCACCCTGTACCATCAGCTTTCCATGGCCAACAAAAACGAGAATCAATGTTCTCATTGGTTACCGACCTTTTACAGCAATAAATCTCATAGCTATAATGCTTTTCTCAGACTTTCCATTGGCAACATGCGACTCTTTTTGAAATTGAAATGGAGCTCGAACGCTGTTTGTATTTCATTATTTGTTTTCAGGATTTGCGTTGGAACTAATAAACACGTTCGATGTTGAAAACGGTGTGAATAAATCCTTAGTGGTTTACTGTAACACAACAGCTTTAATAGTTCAGCCGAAGTTGGTAAGTTCCAACGCGAGTAAAATTTTTATACGAATGAAACAAACGATTTTAATTTTATTGTGTTCCTGTGTATAATTGCTTGTTTCGTCTGGTTCTTTTATACCCAAGTTTACTGCCGCTGCCATGGTCCCGCATAATTTCTTTTCTTCGGCAAAGGCAGCGCGTGTGATTTTTTTTTTAGGAAAAGGTTTTGTTGTACGAACTACGTCCAGGAACGTTGGAAATGGTGGACAGCAAACCGTACCGAAACAACTATTCTCGTATTTTGGACATTAACAATGGAGGAAATGAAAGCGGCAATATAACTTTTATAGTCGCTTTAAGCGAGGATAACACTATAAACATCAATGCGATGTCTTTTAAAGTTCACCACGAAATGGGTACATTTATTATTTAGACTTGATAGTCGTAAAAGGAAATTTCAATTTGTCTATTTTATAGAGAAACAAGACGACACGCTCAGAAAATGCTTCCATAATTTAGAAGAGCAAATTTATAACCAGAGAAGCAAACTGAATCAAATTAAAACGTTCAAGGCCAAAGGCGAAAATAACCTCGCCAAACGCTCGATTTCCGGAAACTTTGATGAAGTCTTGCAAAATGTACGTAATTAAAATTTGTATTAAATATTTTAATTTAATCAAAATTCAAATAATAAATATCGAATATTTATCATTAAATAGCTGGTCAGTAACTCGGTAACAATTCGGAGAAAATATATAATAATTATTTTGAGTCCTTTCAAGCCAGTCAATAAAAATGAACTTATTTTACATATAGCCTAACAAATTGTAGCACCAATGTATAAATCAAAAAACAAGATACAAAGGCCTTGTAAGCCTAATAACCACATTGCTAAACTGTCCGAGACTGCCTAAAAGAGAGATTAATCAATCGGCTTTTTCGTAAATCACAAAATCTTGATTGGAAACCAGTTTGACTTCCGAAAGGACGTTATTACCACTTACGCTATTTTTAAACTAGTTGACTCCATTAAAATCTAATTGGATAGTGTTGGTTAGATTTAATAATGCCTTATAAACAGCTGTTAGGAGTCTCTGTATTACTTGAAGTATAAATCACAACTTAGAATGCAGAACATTTTGAGTGATGGTCAAACGATTCATTTGGGTATGAAACAGGAAACTGTCGGAAGCCCACTTCTATTTATTATATACATAAATTCAATACTAGAAAATACAATTCAAGGAGTAATTTAAGGAATTTAACCCTCAATATTAGACCAGATTTTATTTTTTTGCAATTACCAAGAATAGATCTTAAAATTGTCACTCAATACCACCACTTCCACAATCGCAACAATATCTTCCGTTGCTTTTTACAAAACTTCTGGATTCCTCCTGCGTCGGTTTTTGCTTAGTCGAAATTGCTGACGTTTCGCCGATCATCCTGTTGGATTCTTCAGAGCTTGACTGAAAACTGTTTTCAGTCAAGCATTACAGTAGCCTGTGGAAGTATCTTTGAAAAATTGATATCTTCCGTTATGACCTTCATTGGTCCACCAGTTCTTGAATCATCTTTCACTACAGAGTACGAAGGCGAAATTTGGCTGTACACACCATCCAGCTTTTTTTTAATAATTTTAGGCGCTAACCCTTCTTTTGTCAAAAACTTTATTACTGCTCTATACTTAATTTGCTTAATTTGCGACTTTTTTTCGGAAACGTCTTGTTTAAAATGCTGTCAATAAAAAGCTATTGACGCAAGACTTCAATTTTTTTTCCGCAGCCTACTGAGATATGTATTTAAAAGAAGACAAAGTTTTATCGTGATACTGGAGCTGCATCTATGTCAGGCCGGGAAATTTTGGAGCTAACCTCGTATCTGCACGCTATAGTTGTATGGGGTGGTATGCATGCTAACTCGCTCAGACCACTAAATGTTATTCAAAATTATATATTAAAAGTTTCTTCTAGAAGAATGACATTTTCTGACCATACCTACATACCGAAAATATACTAAATAGTAGAAAGATATATTTTTATTTTTTCTGTTTACACAAAAAGCACAAATTTGCAAATAAAAGTTGAACACACATATCGAACTCGACAAATAACAAGCCAAGGCTTGTTTGTTCCCTTCTATATCAATGACGGCAACTATAAATTTGCTTGGGCCCGAACCTCTGCTCTGAAAAAATATTTGCCAAAAAGTCATAATTCATTTAATTTATTTACACATACAGATTGTCTGTGATATAGGTGCAATAATAATTTAAGTAACACACAAAAAAATGAATATATAATATTATATTATAATTAAAAGTAGCTAAAGATAACCAAAAGGAGGTAGTTTCTACAGATTCTAATTAAATTAAATTATTTTTTATCCGGGCATAGTCTTAATTAACAAAAAGAGAACATCCATTGGTTTAGCCTTGTTATGGTCGTTTAGTTATTAGTAAAATATGAAATATGAAATACTGAACACATTAAATTAAACAACTCTTAACTTTTCAGGAAACTCAAATTAAAATAAAATTAAAAACGACGAAAAACAGAATAGAGACGCTCAAGAAGTACGTCGAAAGCCAAGGAGAATTTCTCGTAAGTAGAAGAAGCGGATTTAAGTAGACTTGACGTTACAAACCAATTAACATCGTCGCAGATTGTCAACGACAAAGTCACGGTTAATACGCCCCTAATTGCCAAGACGATAAAGGCGAAGCAATTGTCAATTGGGAGCTTAAACGGCAATAACTGGACACCCGATGAGTGGCTAAGATACAACAAAAGCCAGACTGTAAAGGGACCTGTAACTGCGGCAAAAATTATTACCAAAGATTTAGCCACAAATCTTCCACTTTTTAATGGTAAAAAATAGTTTAATTTCCAAAAAATATTTTAAAAAATCCTAATTGCTACTGAAATTACGTAGATTTATTGACTAACAGCCGCATCAAGTTAAATGGTAAAGTAAATGTAAAAAGAATATCTACCGAGGGGATTTATGCTAGCAGGATTAATGATATATCCGTACAGGACATTTACCTTCGAAGCAGCACTAAGCCAGCTAAGGGAGTGAAGAAACTAAAAACGGTTTATGTTAAGCTAGCAAAAATAGAAACGATCAACGAAGTATACATGGAAGACGAAAAAAAAAGTGAATCTATCACATATTTTAATTTCAGATATCAGTAAAAGATATTCTCGAATTATTCAGCCAAGAACCTACCTCAAAATCACTCAATTTCGACCAAGAAGTTATCATTAAAGATTTACGTGTCAGGTCTATCGATAATATTAACTGGAACGATTTTCAAAATTCCGTTTTTAAAATTGGAGAAGACGATGCAGTTGAAGGTTAAATCAAACTTCATCAAATACGTAATGCGAGATATGAATTGGTTACTTTCAGGAAATTTAACATTTACCGAAATAAAGGCAATATCGGCAGATGTTGGGCTTGTTAACGGAGTAAAACCGGCTGTTCTGCTTACAAAAACCACCGAACAAATAGTAAATTCTAGCATTGAATTCAACTACATTTCAGCCACTCGGATAGAAGCAGAAACTGTAAATGAAGTTTCGCTTAAGAAATCCGCAGCACTGATCGGAGGAAACGACGTTATTAAAGGTAATTATGCCATAGTCGACGATTGTCAATGATAATAAAACGCTAATGAAAAAAAAAGGCCCTGTGACCATCGATAAAGTCTTCGTTGAAAAGGACTTGGAGCTTGTTGGACCTATCGACAAATCGTTGTTCCTAAGAGACGGAGACCGTCTTATTGGAACAAACGAATCGGACTTCCTGCAGGTTTATAAAGGAAAAATCAAAGTTAAAGGGAACCTTCACGTGACTGATTTAGACGTTGTCAATAACGCCACGTTTTTAGTGGATAATAAAACGTTCTCACCTGAAGATTTAAATCAATTCTGGACGAAAAGCACCCATCAAGTAAACAACGAAAACAATTGAAAATATCTAATGGTTCCATTTGTTTTATACTTTAGACTATTCCAGTTCACTTTGAAGCAACGCAAGGTATGAAAGTATCCCATTTGGAAACGATACGGCTTAACGACATACCTATGAGTAATTTTGCTTTAAACAGAGAAGAGACGGGCTTAAAAGGACGCTTGTATTTTGAAAACACAATCGTGAAAGGCAACATAACAACTAACAAATCTGATAATAATATTCCCAATTTAATTCAGCTCGATAGAGAAACAGTTAAAAACAAAGGATCGTAAGTATACTTTCGCGGATTTGTTTTTTTATTGTTGGATTTAAATTTAATCAACATTCAAATCATTTCAAAATTCATATATTTTTTGTTGTTAATATTTTTTATACATAATGTGCTGAAAACTATTGGAGCAATGGATTTGATTTTAAAAGTGACGCTAGCCTTGGTGTCAGTTTGAGGCATAAAAGGCTAAGAACTTGCCGAATATTCTAAGAAGCTAAGAAGCACAAAAATAAAAATGTTCGAGACATCAGGTGATCAAAAATACGTTTGTAATGGGTTTATTTCAATTGTTGGCACAGTTTTTCGATTTTCTCATATAATTGTTAATTTGAAGTAGTTAATTTAAATGTTTATACATTTTCCAGGTTTGTTTTGAAAGGAAAAAAAACTTTCCTTAAGAAGCTCAAAGTGCGTAATTTCGTAACTAATGAGTTGAATGGAATTAAAGACAACGAAGCTTCGACTACAAAAAATCCCTTAAACATCACGGGTAAATCAAATGTGTAAAAATCGCAGTGATGAGTATACGTTTGTACATTTGTAGATAAATATGTTTTTAAAACTCTGGTAATTAAAGGGAACTTGGTGTCTAAATTGGAAAGTCCTATCATAAACGATATCGTTATTGAGGAAATGCAGAAGAAAATCGTGTGGACTAATTCTCCGCAAAATATCAGCAATCTGGACTTTAAAAACCTAACCGGTGGGTCTATTTTATAAATTTAATATTACCTACAGTTTTATTCAAATTTTCAGTGAAAAATCTCTACGTCGAAAACATTAACGGATACAATGTGGAAGAATACGTGAATAATTTAAAAGATATATTGTCGTTCAAGGAACGTCTAAGTTTCAATATTAAAGGAAATGTCACAATCGTTAACGCAACCAACGTTTCGACCATTAACGGACACTATGTTGATGCGTTAATTGCAAAGGTAGCAGTAAAAGCAAAATTTTCCTTAATAACGTAGTTTCGATTACAGAACTCCAATGAAATTGTAAGGAACGTGACGTTTCTAAAAAATGTAAAAATTCGCGATTTAAAGGTTTCGAATATAAACGATGTCAATTTCGCCATACTTACGAGAAGGTTGCTCTACAAAAGAACGAATCAAACTGTGACCGCTAAATACACTTTCGAAAATTTAAAAACGGGTAAGAATGCTAAGTCTCTTTGACCAAACGTAGCAATACGACCTTACAGACAACCTTTTTGTGTCCCATATCAATGACATTAACGTGAAAAACCTCATCAATACCGAATCGGAAACGAAGCAAGAAATTTTTGCTCCCAATGGAATCTTCGTTAAAAACGCGACATTTTTGAAGTCACTAAGAGGGAAAAAAGTGAGACCTTGTGACCCGAATGACATTGTACGAAATTTTAAGTACCCAGAGTCGCGAGAATGGGAACTAATTAAAGTTAATGGAAACGTAGAGCTGATAGATGAAAACTGCAAACTGTATAAGATTTTGAAAAACGCTGTTAGAAAAGGAAGCAAAAATGTGATAACGGCACCAGTAAGTATTTAGGAATATTAGTTGATATTTAATTTTGCAAACGTTCAACTGAAATCGATTGCTTCGAATGACTGAAAGCACCACAAACCTCAGTATAATATTTTAGGTTTGTATTAGCGGGAATGTACTAGCTAATCAAGTCCATAGTATTGGTGCAATCAATGGAGTAGATTTGAGAACAATTGCAGATGACGCCGTACTAAAAGACTTAGATGAAAGACAGGTATAATATTTAATAATTAAAAAGTACTAGCAGTCTCGTGATTGGAACCTCGAAACAAAAATTTTTTACAACCATATTACAGCGTTTTTTACTAATAGGTTTAGGTCAAAATCAATTGGCTTGATTATACACGTTTTTTACAAGATTTTCAATATTTTTTAACAATCTAGTAATGCAGAATCGGCATATTTATAACAATGTACTAAAGTAAAAACTTGTAGGTAATAAAAGGGCACAAGATTTTTACCCAGATGGAGGCCCTTCGGCGGGCGGCAATTTTAGGAAATGCCGACATTCCAATTGTTCAAGGTGTCAGAGTTTCCGAGCTTTATAACTTTATCATCCACCGAAACGATGTTAACCAAAAAAATATAAGTGGAAAAAAGACATTTTTTGCAGGGTTGGAAACTAAACGATTTAATGTGGGTTCCTGCAAAAAAATTATACCGTATATTCAAACTTTTTTATTGTAGAGCAAAACTGTAGCAGGTATTTTGCCAGAACAAATCGTGGATTTAGGTCAACTTAAAACAATACCCTCGGCGTTATTTGATTCTTTAAAAGTCAGTGAGAACTTCGACGTCAATTACGTAAACAAGATTGACTTCCATCATGTGCTGAACAACAGACTTCTTGTAGATGCGCCTCATAAGCAAATTACAAACGCTGTTTGTTATTTTGATAATTTAGAAGTAAAGGGTATTTATTTATTGCCTTGACCTTTGAACCAAAACATCTATATTGACCATCTTTTGCATTTTAGAAAATTTAATAGCCGCGTCCATAAACGACATCGATATGGAAAATGTGGTTTACGATATAGGAAAGCAGACCATTATGGCATCCAAATATTTCCTCGAAAACATCACCGTCTTGGGCGATGCTTGGGTTGATACACTGAACGGTGTAAATATCTCGGAAACTTATGCCGACGCAGTTTTGCGTGGTCAGAAAAATACCATCAACGGATCATTGGTATGATATCTTCTTCGTGGTTATTATCACAATTTAAAAAAATTGTTTTAATAAAGGTTGCATAAGATGAAAACACATACAAATTAAAAATAATTTTCTATTATACATTGTATTTCATAAAAAAAGCGAGGTGATACAAAATACAGTGAAGTCCGGATATAATGAACTCGAAAGTTGCATCAAAATTGGTTCGCTGTAGCAGACGTTTACTATAAGTAATAAAAGAACTTTTGTACACACCTGATGTTTACCAGATGAATGGAGGTTATTATATAATATATAATATTATGTACGTTGGTTTAAAAAAAAAATGCCACAGTATACTAGCATTTTTCTAGATATGTATGTGTATTACGTAATCTGGAAAAAGTGAAAATTAAATATCCTTCTGTACAAAACAAGTAACAAGTGAACAAGAACAAATAAAAAATATCTAAAAAAATAAACTATAAAAAATACATGTATCCACCGACTCTTGGATAAACAAGTCGGATATTTTGGTTTGTACGAGTCTGTTAGAAAAGTTAATATTACTTATATAGCTTTCAAGGTTACAAAAAGAATTCCAAACGTAACTTTCGAAGTCGAAATGTTCAATCCTATTCCTAATCTCTGCTTCGAGGGCTTTCTGGGTATCGGTATTTTGGTCGGTATTTTCGGTATCTCCTGAATGTTTTTTTAGCCATTCCGTTAGATGTAATTCATTATCAGTCAAAATCATCTTCTGCTTCAAAGAATCCTGCATGTTTATAACAGTTTGTAATTGTATTTTTGCTAACTTCCTGCCAAGCACGGTGAATAAAATTTACAGCATCCAATAAGCTCACTGAAAACTCTTGTATATCATCAATTGCTTCTATCATCTTTATCAGCAAAATCTTCCTACAGTAACACTTCAGGGAATGGATTATGCCTTAATCCATGGGCTGCAATTTTGAACTGATATTAAAACCATAAAAACTAGTTTGATTTAGTTCAAAATGAGCTGCCGTTTTGAACTGGTATTGGATGGCATAAGAACCAGTTTGATTTGATTCAACGGAACACGGGGATGTGGTGGACAATTACCTACTACAAGAATATTTTTTCTGTTCTTCTTCTTCAATTCTGTTGCCCATTGGAGCAGCTCTTCGGTAAATAAGTTAAATGTCATCCACGCTTTGCTGTTTGACCTGTAATTGACAGGTGTTTTTAAAAAATTTTGGGTTTACTGATTTGCCGATAACAAACATTGTCTTTTCTGTCCCAGAGATGTTTGCATTATCCAGAACTGTTATTCGAACCTTGAACAATTTTCGACCTGCACACATTTCATTTGGAATTGGAATTTCAATGTCTTATCAGGGGTTAGTTTGTAGAAAAGGTCGGTCTCATCTGCGTTAAAAATATTGTCACTGTCATAATTTTTGCAAAGATCAGACCAAACCGTTGTGAGCCAGTTATTGACAACATTCATATCAACTGATGCAGATTCACCAAGAATTTTTCCCCCCGAAATTCAATTTCTCTTCTTAAAACTTTCAATCCAACTTCTGGAATCTCTTCCTTCCATTCTATTTCCCATTTCACTTGCTTTTTGCTGAATAACTAGGTCACTTCCACCTCATTGATACCTTCATTAGCTGAGCTTTTACAACTTGCATTCACTTGACCATATAACGAGGAAATCCTTTTTTTTCCAATGGCTTTAGGCCAATTCATTTCACGACAAATATCACTTTCTTTCACACCACTTTTAATTATTTGTATAACATCGTATATTTCTTTCAAAGTTAATGCTTTTCGTTTTTGCTTCCCCATTTGAAGGTCCTGTCATCAACATTTTCCACTAAATCTAAATAACAATTCAGATCAAAACAAATATGCTATGTATTTTAACCTTTCTCTGGGGAATTACCCCGAAAAAGTTCATTAAAAACGGAAAATGCGTCTTAATCTTGACGAAATTGACTGTACACGAAAGTTCACTACGTCCGGGTTCACTATAACTAGTAAAAATTTACATTTGTTTTATGAGGCCTTTTGAGTGTTTTTCAAAAAGTGTTCATTATAACCGAGGGTTCACAATAAACAGGTTTACTATATCTGAACTCCACTATATGTGTTTTTAATGGAATGCACTATATATTTTAACATTATATTAATAATAATTCAAATCTTTTTTCTTCTTATTTGTTGGACTTAAAGTGTTTCATTTTTAAGGGTCAGGAAAATATTTTGTAGTAAATTTCAATTAGATATTTTAAAAGATGGTACTTAAAAATCAGCAAAATTGTATTCGACTGGATACGAGGTAATAAATGAAGCCTATCTGTGAACAGGGTATATACTTGAGGATAAAGGACATAAAAAATATTCAAACTTTTAAATTAATGTTTTAATATAATGTGCGGCAGTTTGAAATTTCTGTTACATGTTATAATCTATTGTTTTTGTTCCGTTTCAGAGTATATCAAAACCATCGATAATAGAGAATAACATCACAACAGAAGCGTTAAATGGATATTCTATGAAGAAAATTATAGAAATGGTTTACCCAAATTCTTCCGAGAGCGATGAAGAAAATATCATTTATAACATCCAAACTAAAGTGAAAGATATCATATTCAAGCATACACCGGAAATGCAGTGTAAGCGTTTTGTCCGCATATTTCAGAAAAAAAAAACATTTTCAGGAAGGTTCCAGCTTTCGCACTAAACAGTCTGATCAACGAGTATATGCTGATTGTGTAATATGTAATTCTAATTTTATTTGCTGAGATAAAATTCTGGTCGCATATGATTCACCCTATTTTTAGTTGTATTGTATAATTAAAATTAAATGTTTAAATTTTAAAGGCACCGAAAACTGACTTACTTATATAAAGAGAAAATTTAATTTTAGACATGTATAATGAATTAATGTACATCGAAAGGACCAACGACATTCAAGTTTCAATTCCCAACGCAATAGATGCACGTATTACCCAAATTAAAGACTACGTACTGATTCACATACTGAGCGAAGAATCCCAAGAAGAATGCAATCTTCCTATAGATTGCCAATGTACGGTACAACACATCGTGGAAATAACCCCAAATAAAACCCTAAAATATTTCTTGAACAAAGATCGACAAAGAATTTATAGTTACGACGAAGATAATATGACAATACACCTTATTACTAATAGTACCAGTACAGACAGTCATTGCAAGTGAGTTATTATAAGTCAGCATTATTCGACACCCAATTTGGTCCATTTATACGATGCGAAAAACGATGATATCGAAATATAACACTTTTCTTTAGGATCAGTCAGGCTGAGGGTGTTAAAGAAGTGTCGACAATTAGCTGGAGTACGTCACCAAATAGAGGTGAAAGTAGAACTTTCATTTCATATCCGTTAATAGATGTGCCTGGATATATCAGTGGCGTCGAATTTTTCACATTAAACGGAAAAACTTACTCTGTGATATCCCAATACTATGACCCGATTAGTGATACGCATGAGTTAGATTGCGTTGTCTTGTGTTTCGAAATAGGAAAAGTAAGTGTTGATAAAAATAAAGGGCCTGAACCTAAATAAAACACAAAATCGTAAGTTTAAAATTGTTGTTGACGTAGTAAACCGCACAGACACCAAGCCCAATCATTAATAAAAGCTTAAAACCTTTCCAAGTGCATCGTAAATAGCAACCATTCCTGGTTATAGTCTTCAATCTGAACAAACGCATTAGTAAAACGCATTAAATATTGGATAATCTCCAGTTTAGAACCCGCTTTGTTTATAGTCGCCAGATTTCGGCGATTACAATTCAAATAAAAGTTATTACTTAATTGCGAAATAAACAATCAGATGGCGCAGTAAATGTTTTCTTTTTTCAGCAAACCGCTAGTGAAATTCAAAAAATTCCCACCAGAGGTGCGTGGACGTTGTATCTTATGCACACTGCACAGGGCGTTACACTGATTATAGGCAATAGAGGCGGCGATCAAAACACAGAAATATATAGGTTCGACGAACACGAAGAAAGGGTATTTGCGAAAACCACCGCTGAAGCAGATCTAAAGAGTTTATTTTCAGTTTATGCTTTTAAGAACCGTGGGTTATGCCTGTTCGAAAGCGGTCGGTGTGGTTTTGGGAACTGACAGCTTCATCATTTTAGCAAACGAAGACGCACCGCTACAAGTACTCAAATATAACCAAAATTATCAAAATTACGTAAATTATCAAATCATCGCCGCGGACGCCACTGTTTTCGGACTTTCGGCCTTCTACGTTGGAGGTAAAGCTCGTTTCACAATTTTGAGTTGATTTCTTACGTATAATAAAATTTAAGTGAGGCCCGTATAGCGACATTTTTTCATTCTGAATACTTATACAAAACCTAAAGACTAACTATATAATGTTGTTTTAATAATATGACCAAATAAATCTTACATTTTTTACTTCAATCAATGCATCACTCTCACTGTAATTGACATAAGCGAATAAAGTATTTAACAAACTTACTCAAATCAAAATCAAATCAAATCTCAAAAGTTTTTAAACTTACGTATCGTTGATCGTATATGTCATATATTTGAGTCTGTTGATATAGTTTTAAAAAATCTATTCAAAACTTAGTAGGTACTATTGCCACTTAAAAACAAATTTATAATATAGTGAGATGGTTTAAATTTATTTAAATCATAAAAAAAATTATTCGAGAATGGTTAATCGCAATTTTGTTAATAATTAAATTTCCTGATCAATTCTAGAAAAAAAATGTTTTTGATTGCATGTGTAGCGTATTTTAATTAAGATTAAATTGTTACAAATTGGTAATTTGATAAACTATATCATTTTGGGTTTAACACAATACAACAGGTTTTTTAAACCTAGGTGTCTAGGTCAAATAGATATTACAATATTGTAACTTGTGCTTATGCTTTGAAATTGAAATAACATTGTAATATATAAACGTTTCGTTCAGGAATATTTACCCCATTTTTTTAATTAAATACATTACAATATTTTTTGCCACAAATAAATCCGGGAATATTCAAATGGACTTTATATAAGTAACGGAACTTTAACAAATTTTATGTATAATAAGAATAAATGATCATCTGTAATTTAGACATATTTGGCAGCGTTGCCGTATTTACAGAAAACTAATGGCAACATGTATTCCTAAAATAAACTGTAAGGATAATCAAATCAAAACAACGTAATGAAGCAGAATCGAATTTAACCCTCTTGGTTCGACAACTACGTCTTGACTAACTTATCGTAAACCCAAAAACATCGCATAATAAGACCCTAAGTATATCTCGTCACCGCAACTTGCCCCCTCTGTCTTTTTTGCCTGAGACGCCCATATATTTTACAATCGGCAAAAGAACAAAGCGGCGCCTTTTTGTCAAAGGGTCTTGTCGGATATGACGTAATCTATAAATATTCTAACAAAACTATATTAGATTTTTATAGTCGCATATGCAAAATTTGGTCCCTTGGTCCCTTATTTGAAGGTTATTTTGCAACCGCTCCGACTTGATGTATTTTTGATTAGTTGTGATTCAATTTTTACTAGATTTTGATATTAATTTGGTTAAAATGCAAACACAAATTGAATCCAAATTAAGTACGCGGTTTGCATATAAATATGTGCCTGCCGCTAGGTTTAACAGGTGAACAAACGAAATCCAACAAGATCAGACAAGTTCAGTCGCTATAACGTCTAAAAATACGATTTGTTTCGACTGGTTAAATGTACGACGATTCCGATATTTTGCAGGTTTTGGAATAAGCGATGCGTATTTGTGTATTGTCACAGAAGAGAATTATCGAATATTCAATTTTCAATTCATAGACGGCTGGAGATTAGAATCCCAAGGAACAATCACTGGTTTACGAGGTTTGGTATCATTTCAAATGAACAATCAGCAATATCTGTTTGCGTCTTCAAAGGAAAAAAGTTTTCTGTTAACTGTTGTAAAACATGGCACTGAGCAATGACCCTAATTTCCGTTAGGAATTGTTTTGTGTTAGTTACACTTTTCTAGGTATCGTGTGTGTGTGTGTGTGTGTTATAATATGTATATTTTTGTTAAACTAATAATTCAATAAAATATCTAAGAAAAAAAAATCAAATTGTGAAGCAATCGGCAATTTAATCTTTTAGAATTCGTATAATTTTTTTAATAGTTTTAAGTAACTTTTTACTACAGCTTTTCTAGTAATGTTAAATAAATATTTTAGATTATCCATTGAAGTTTATGAAATAAAATAACCGGTTCTATCTCATGATGCGTATGAATATTATAAAATACGCGTAGTAATATTAAAGGCGTTTCCGGTAAAACATTCTAGAACAAGTAGTTCCAAAAGTCACCCGTCTAAACTAACAAATAAAATAATTCGTTTAAAAAAACTAATGCACAAATCAAGATTCCAAAAATTATTTTCTAATTTTTCTGATTAATTGGGACGGTGGATTACTTTTATCAATTAATTTTTTATTGTTTTGCAACCCCATTATTTCTGGCAGCTCAGTTGGTAACATTATTTATTATGAAACAATAGAAAAGCGTGGGATCAGTCTGTCTTTGGCTTCCAGTGTTGTACAGGCTGTAAAGAAGCTGTGTTCAATTTGTTTTATTTTAACTGATTTTTCAACATGAATGACAAAAAAAGATTGTCGCCCTTACCGGAGGAAATGGAAAGCGACGAAAAATTTCTCACAAAAAAGGTTGGTGCTAGTTTTGATTACTTTGTTCACAGATTCATTATTGCTATTTCATTCTGGTTTGACCATCCCGGTTATAAATAATAATATAATATAAAATTTAATAATAATTAAATTAAATATAAAATTTACACCTATAAAACCCTATACCTACATATTTCACCCGCACGAACTGTAAACGTACGGATTTTAAAATTTAAATGTCTCGATGACTCATCATCCCCACCACTCAAACCACTCTAACTGCCTAGGAAAAAGATATCAAAATGAAAACATGATTTTCAAAATATGGCGACCTGAACGTAGCAGTTTTCTATAATTCAAAGATGTTTAATTTTTATTGTTTTATTATTTATTTGCAACCGCATGATTTGAGACACGATTCAAAACAACCAATCACGGTTAGGACCTGAAACCACCATTTAAATAGCGGAAAATCTCGGCGTCAGTCCACGTTTGACTTGCAGCGTTAGTGGTGATGTGAATCCGTAGTGTTTGTATTTGTAGCATTTTAGTTGATTTTTTATATTTTAAATTTATGTTCAACATGAGTAGTGAAATAAACTCGCCGTTGTTACCCGAGGAAATGCAAACCAACGAAAAATTATCCACAAAAAAGGTAGCATGTTAATAAAATTTTCTAAAGTATAAAATATGCTATTTTCTGACTTTTATTATTGATTAGCAACTAGCGAAAAAAGAACAATATCCGGTCTGTCCATCACCACCACCGAAACCGAGAAAAATGACAAGTAGGGAAACAAATTTAAAACCCATTGCAATTAGTTTCTCCAGACCAAGTAAGTTAACCTCAAACTTTCTTATTTTGAAAACAATTGTTTACGATACGGGTTCCAGCTGCCTTAAGCCCACTGTTTGATCCGAAAAATGCAACATCTTACATGGATCAAGTGTTCACGTCATACGGCTATTTGGGTGAAGGAAGCTTTGGCAAAGTATTCCAAGTAAGAAGCCGAGAAGATCGCCAGTTGTATGCCATAAAAACCATAAAGGCGAATGTATGTTCCAAAGATCGTTATGCTGAAGTGAACAACAACGAAATTGTTGGTGTACACCCCAATTGTGTTCAATTTTTTATGGCATGGGAAGAAAACACTGACATGTACATGCTTCTTGAACATTGTGATATGTCTTTAGCTGATTATTCTAAAGAAAACAGCAATATTCCCGAAGAAATGCTGTTCAACATGTTGTATGATATATGTAAAGCATTAGAATTTTTGCACAACAAAAACTTGCTGCATTTAGACGTGAAACCAGGGAATATCTTGTTAAAAGATGGTTTTTTTAAGCTTGCAGATTTTGGTCTGCTGGTGGATATGAAAAGTGTAAATCAAATAGTACTGATAATGTCGTAACAGCTTATTATGTTTGTTTCTTGTTGTAGGATAACCGTGTTTCTAAGTCAACTCTGTCAGATGGCGATTCCAAATACTTAGCATTAGAAGTATTAGATGGTATATACACTCCAGCCTGTGATATTTTTGGTTTAGGTATGACTCTTTTTGAACTTTCTACAGATTTAGAATTACCTGATCATGGTCCCTTGTGGCACCGCCTTCGACATAATGTATTCCCGAATGAATTGTATGAAAGTAAGTGAGACATATTATAAACACTAGGTTAGGTTGTACAAAACTATATAAAAATTTTAGCAGTGAGTCTGGAATTAAGAATGATCATACTGAAAATGACGGATTCAGATTACAAAAACAGACCCACAGCTGCAAAAATTCTTTCATTTGCTACTGTTAAAGATATTGAAAAACGCGACGGCAACTTAAGCAGAACTAATTTTGCAGTAATTATTAAATGGAGTTTTTATGTGGTATATTAAAATGACTTTGAAATTTTTGTGTAGATCCCTTATTTGAAGGAAAAGAAAATTTTGCAGACTGAGTTACCATTTTCTTCTTCAATCTCAACAATACAAAATAACAATAGTCAACTATGCAGACAAGAAACTTCAGATTATGGCAGTATGGTTGCTTCAACATCCAGGTGACTTTTTCAATATAGTTGAGGTTTTGCATTGTTTTCATTTCATTTATTTTACAGAGCGCCTGGCAGAAAATCCCTTTTCCGAGATTGTGGGAATAGTTCTTCAACCTTTATGGGATTATCGGATGACTTATGTGACTTAGCGCTAATAGCATCTGATTCGCAAACTGTGGATGATTCGGGTACCGAAGTTGCCAATGAAAATTTTGACGCGCAAGGTACTAGTTCAATGACAACTTCTACACCTATTTTAAAAAGTCGTCAGCTTAAAAAATTGCCGAAAGCACGTTTAAATTTCGAATAAACTCTCAGCTCTATGCTTAACTTAGTACTTAACTTTGATTTTCAACAGTATGACTTTTAAAAGACTGTTTTTTAAATAAAAAATATTTATTCTTGCTTACATTCTTGGTCTCGTCTTCCAATAATTACTTATAAGGGAAAATTGTTTTATAAAAACTATTTATTTGTATTCTGTTAGTTGTATGTGTAATTAGCTGGTAGTAGTTAGTTGTTGCCATGTGCAATTGATTACAAGAGCAAAGGTTCTAAAAATGAAAATATCAATAAAAATCTAAATCAAATCTTAGGTTTTTAGGAAGAAATACTCATTATAAAACAAAAAGATGTTATTTCCTGTCCAGGTTTTTAAATTTCTTCAAATTTCATTCATTGTATGTTTTGTATAGGATAACAGTAAGTTTTGCAATATATAAAGGTGCTTCTTGTTCCTATAGGTAACTGCTAAATGTGATGCAATTAGGTGACTTTGTTGCCAATTTATTTGCATATTAACCGCCACATGTTTATGGTTTCGTACTGATATGTTAAGCCGCTGATGCGGCAATGATTTTCTGATTGAAAGTGTATTAACTGAAAAACACTTCTTGCTCACTGTGGTGGACTTTGTGATTTAGTTTAGTCATTAATCGTCAAGAGTTTATTTGTGTTATATTTACTTCGAATTATTAAAATTGTTCTTTTAATAATGTTATGGTTTCATTTCTTATCCCTGACCGGCAATTTAAAAAAAAAAATACGAGCAAATAACCCAAATTTGCCACATGCAAGGCAAGAAAACAACTTACCTTTGTTTTCTGATGAAAACTTTATATTAGAATCCTATAGAGCAAAAACGTGAAATTTTAAATTAAACACCCGTTCATCCATTATGTTACGAATAATAAACTCAGAATGGTCGGAGCAATAAACTTACTAAACTAAAATATTTGCTACTTATATGTCGTTTTACAAATTTTGCGTTCTACCGACGCCTCGTTGCAGAGCCGCCTTAGAGTTTTTTTTTTTGGCACTCGAATTTTTATTTGAAATTTTATATTAGCTTCGTTAAAAATATTGCAGCAGATTTTTTTACTTTATAACATTTTTGTACATGTTTTTATTTTCGTTAAAACTGTAACGCTTTTTTTAAAAAAAATCTTACAGCAAGGCATGGGCACAATTTAAAATTATAATTTGGATAGGATTTGGAATAAATTATTGATGTAGGCAACCAGAAATACAAATCCCTCAAATATGTTGAACCAAGTGAGATTACAACCTTTGTTTTTAAAAAACGTATAACCCATTTTACTTAGAATCATAAGCTTTTTTACTTGGTTTATATTTAACAGTTTCCGGATTCTTAAAGTAGTAAAACGCAAGCAGCGTTTAGATGGCAATAATGAAGACATTTTTAAAATTCCCGCATTTCTATAGGTCAAATGTAAAGCTTTTGTATCAGTTTTTATACAGAGGCGAGTGGCAGGTGTAAGGTCATGAACCTTGTTCAATCCAGCTAATTTCTTACTGAAAACTCAATGAAAAGTTCACTTTCTCCATTATTACATTAAAACTACAATTATTTTGTATATAAAAAAATGTGCTAGTTGTTTTAATGAAGTGCATACAAGAAGAAACGTTTTAATATGGATATGGAGCAAAATATGAAATCTGATATGCAAAACATAAAGTCTGAAATGTTGGGAGATAAAAACAGAACTAGTGGTCCTAATATGTGTTTGACGGTGGAGTTGTGTGTTGTTTGTGGTGATAGGGCATCAGGGAGACATTATGGGGCAATCTCATGTGAAGGGTGCAAAGGCTTCTTTAAAAGGTCAATTCGAAAGCAACTTGGATACCAATGCAGAGGAAATAAAAACTGTGAAGTTACCAAGCATCATAGAAACCGTTGTCAATATTGCAGACTACAAAAATGCCTGGCTTGTGGAATGCGAAGTGATTGTAAGTCAATTAATATGGGGTGCCTTACAGTTGGTTTGTGAGACACCCCATATTATAAATTTTAAATGGCCTGGTAAAGTTTCTTTCATTTTAGCTGTCCAACATGAAAGAAAGCCTATTATTGACAAAAAAGAGTACAGCAATAACGCTGGTAATAATTATAGTACAAATTCAGTTGCTGTTAATAAAATTTTTATAAGGAAAGATTTGAATTCTGACACTGGTCTAATCAGCAATCCCTTTAATCAATGTGATTTGGGATTACAATTTTTAAATAAACGTATTGGTAAGTTGATTTTAGGCCTTGGAGACATTTAACTTCTGTATTGTCAAGTTAAGTAAAAAAAACAATTTTGGCAACCTTTCCAACAATTTTTGGATTTGATTTTTGGAAGTGACCAAAAAGGCCTGAATAGTAAAAAAATATATTTTAGCCAGCGCGCCCGAGCATTCCTTTCACCTGTCACCCTCGCAGGCTAGTATGGATGATGATATTTCTATGGATAGCACAACAACAGGGACTGAATTATCAGATGCCTTATCAATAGCTAGGGATAAGCAAGTTATAAATAAAGCGTTAGATACTGTAGCTAGGGTGCAGTGTTTAAATGGCACAGATATATCTACATTAGCTCCAGAAGATAAATGTTATGAGTTTGATGGACCAATCCTTCAAGAACAACATATTCCCTTCAATTTACAAATACCTGGGCCTGTGCCACCTTATCTACACATTCATTACATCTGTGAAAGTGGATCCAGGTTATTGGTGTTGTCTATTCATTGGGCCAAAAATATACCAGCATTTCATTGTTTAAAGCAAGTATTTTATTAGTAATATTATTTATAATTATCAAAGTTATTGTTTTAGTTCTGAAACTCAAATAAGTATCCTCAAAGGTTGCTGGGCTGAATTATTTACCTTAGGACTGGCACAGTGCTCACACTCGTTGTCTCTATCCACAATATTGTCAGCATTAATTAGTCATCTGCATGCCTCGATCGCTCAAGACAAAATGTCTGCTAATAAAGTGAAGCAAGTAACTGAGCATATAGTTCGCCTACAAGAATTTGTGAATTCAATGAACCGCTTGCATGTGGATGAACAAGAATATGCCTATTTAAAAGCAATCAGTTTATTTTCTACAGATCAATTGGACCTGTTAGTGAGAAAACCAATTGAAAAATTACAAGAGAAATCATTTCAGGCGCTAAAGACTTATATAAATAGTAACACACCAGATGATGGAGATCGTTTTGCGAGGTAAATATGAGATGTTTTGGTTTTTGTGCGTATTATTAATATGAAGACCCAGGCTATATCCAACAAGTCATTCATGTATGGGAATCAAACTACTACTAAAATAAAAATTTCTAGTTTTTCAAATTTGAGGCCGCATTTGAGAGTTTATGAATTGTTGGGGATGTGTGTTTTAAAGTATCACTACATTAAAGGTTACAATTATTTTTACATCGTTTCTTTCAAAAAATTGATCAAATTGAATTTTTTGAAAATATACTCGCTTGGCAAGGAAACCTATATCTCGATTCCACTTGAAATTTGACACACATATAGAGTTTAGCTACGTAAACAAGCCTATTGAAACTGCCCGCGCGGGGGGGTGGGGGAGGTCTGGAAGTATTTTTCAAAATTTAAACACCGCAGGCTATCGAGAACAAAATCATTTATCCAAAACGCTATATAAGATCGAAAAAATTCTTGAACTAAACGACGCGCAAGATCTGGGAAAAGAACCTTTACTCTTGATGATTTTTTAAAAATGTACAGGGTGCATCGGTAATATGCAAAAAACTGAAAATTTTGGTCCCTTTATAATGATAATTGACCACAACTAGATGGCTGTGATTCTGTTGTCAGTTTCTTTCACATGGACAACTAAAACTTTTGTATTTATGGTTTTCACATATTGTACAGGGTGTTTGGTATATTCTGTGCGTTATTCAAAAACGTCATAGGTGACTCAAATATGTAGCCATCAACTGCAAATTTAGCAAGGAAGTAAAGAAGTAAAAATCCACATCTAAACAGTAGAAATTGAGCATAATCAAATATTACCAAATCTTTTTTAAAATATTTTGAAAATTTTTCTTTAAATATCTTGGCTTCCAGAAAAATATGATTTCCTTAAAAACTATTCAACCAAATTGGTTAAGGCTTTCGCGGCCCGTTGATAAGCTATTATCTTCATTCGGGTTTAAAGGCCGTCGTCGATTGGAATTACTTCCTAACGTTTCGCTAGCAATCTTTAAGCCTACAAAGAAGATCCAGCAGACCATCAGGTCAGCGAAGGACAAGAGGGGCTCACTTTCAGCTGCGGGAGTCTACCGCATTCCGTGTTCATGCGGAAAGGTCTACATCGGAACTACCAAGAGATCAATGGGAACGAGACTTAAGGAGCATAAAGCAAGCTGCAGGCTAGGACATACAGAGAAGTCTGCAGTGGCTGAACACGCACTGGGCAGCGGGGAACACAGGATAAACTTTGAGAGCTGTAAGTTACTAGCATCGGTCAACGGCTATCACAACAGACTAGTCAGGGAAGCCATTGAGATTCAAAAACACCCTCACAATTTCAACCGAAAGGAGGAGACCCTTAGACTCAACCAAATCTGGAACCCGATCTTTAGGAACGCCCGAGCAGTACCGATCGATATCCCGAGACCAACCGAAGCGGAACAAGCCCCGCCCTCCACCAATCGGCATAAATACAACCTGCGCAGGAGAAATCGTCAGTCTACGTCCAACATCGGAGATGGAAGGACCTCTGATGAAGCTCGCCACTCGTGCTAGCGAAACGTTAGGAAGTAATTCCAATCGACGACGGCCTTTAAACCCGAATGAAGATAATAGCTTAACTATTCAACCGATCAGCAAAATTTTAGAACCACGAAACCCGGGAGATCTGGGGCTTCGACTTTCATTTCAGGAATTGTTTCGATTATATATTTTTTTTCAATTATAGGCAAAAATATAAAAGACCGTGAAAATTGTACTTTTCGGGAATAAATTTTTAACCGTAAATCAAAATTCGTAAAAAATATGACTAATCGCTTCAAACATTGTTATAGGTCGCATCAAGAGTTACAATTTTTATATTTACGGTTTTCGTCTATCACATACCCTGCTCGAGATATTTGAAAAAATCCATATGAAAATCACTAGTCCCCGGGCTCAATCTAGACGCGATGACGTCATTGACTATTACGGCATACTGCATAGTTTCAGAAAAAAAATATTTTCTCGAAAACTATTTACTCTATTTGAAAAATTGTTGCACCAGGATTTTTTTTCTATTATGTAGAAGGTATGTCGATTATGCGCAACCATCAAAAAGTCCCTAAAAATTGCCTTTTTTGTAGGTAAATTATTAACCATAAATGAAAAACTATAAAACATGGCATAATTTGGTTTAAGTTTCTTTTTGAAATACCAAGCTGCTTCTCGCTACGAACTTGCCCGCCCAGCTACGATTTTTCGAAACCAATCTTGTGCGTAAGGGTAATTTGCCAACATAAGTTGGAAGCTGTAACATTACTAAAAGTTGGGGGTTAGTACCCCTGCACTTATAAAAGATATTTATTTTCATATATTCATTCGTATTCAACATAGGACCAAATGCCATTGCAATGACTTGTTGGGTCTCCTCCTCTGGGTATAATGTTTTTAGTATGGACTGTGTGTTTGATACTTGCTTTCCTTAAGGTTGTTACTTCGTCTCCCCCCATTGAAAGCTCTGGAGCCTGGCATTCTAGAGGAAATGTTTTTTGCGGGATTAATAGGTCAGGTACAAGTTGATAGTGTGATACCTTACATTTTACGAATGGGTAATTCGTTGGTGGGTTCGGGTTCTAACAGAACTGTCAAAGCGGAGAACTTAGACGAATTTATATGTAAATGATTTCAATTAGGTTGTTGGATTATATAATTTTCGCAGATTGTACTTATCAATTTTTGGATTTTTTTTGTACAGTGTGGTGAAATGGTGTGAAATTTTTAAAAATAATTCACGAAAGTATTGGAAATAAAACAGTAACTATTCTTTGGAATAGCATTGAAATTAAAAAGCTATGAATGTAAGCGGAGATACGATTTTCAAAGTTAATTTTTGATGAGAAATATTTTCTCGTTTGAGGTGAACTGCAAATTAAAAGAAAACAACTAAATTTTCTAGAGCAGTTCTAACAAAAATGTAAAAAATAAATAAAAATTTAATGGTTTATATTCCACAAAGCAATAGTCTTCTTTACTGTCTAGTATATAGTGCAATAACTTGTTTGTGCAATTTTTTATCGTTATTTAAAAAGTGAGCTAAAGGTACAAAAAGCACATAAAATTTGCTGATGTATGTGAGACTGTGAGAGTTCAATGTCTATTCCAAATTATCCAGGCGCGAAACCGAAATATATTTTTTTAAATTCGTAATTGTGGTCTTGATCATATTCCTTTCGCTAATAATATTTAATATACGCTATATTTTGTTATTTAATTTAACTTAAAGCACTAGAGATGATTATTAATTAAAACTTAATATATACAAATACGTTATAGCCCAACCGGATTTCGAGCCAAACTGATTTATCAAAAAAAAAAGGAAACAAAAAATAATCCAAACTGACCAAAACCATTTTCGTTTAGGGCATAGCTGTTCGGCTTAGGAAGAACTAGTTTTTGGTTGGTATTTGCCCTTTTCTGGATAGCTTGTAAACTAATTTGGCCTTGGACAAACTAAATTAAATATTGTGAAATAAACACTAATAAAACATTTAACTTTAATTTTAATTTGCTTAAGGAATTTTTGTTTTGTACACTTTTGATTTTCTTATATAATTTTTTACTTTTTGCAGGGACTTTTTTGATATCCTTATGCTCTTGATTTTTACGATTTTTGAAAATTTTGGTTGTGTTAAAAGAAAAATTCCAACTTAAAAAACATCCTGTATAATCCCGCCCTTGAATAAAAAGGGACAATAGTTACTAGAATGGCAGTGATCTTTGACTTTTTCAATTGAGATTGTTTCTTTAAATAACTACAATTTTTTTTATTAATGATCTTAATCTAAAGGCGCATCCAATGATAACCCATACAATTTACCAAAGAAAATATTTTTAAAACATAAAAATATATGGTATATATGGTAAATGTACCTCCAACTATATTTACACATTCTTACCAAAAGCTTCTGTGCTGTCTTCATATTCAAAGACATTGCTTTGTGTTACTTTGGTTTAAGTAAAGGACGAAAATTGTAATTAATATATAACTTAATACTTAGGTTTATGTAAATTTCTGTGTTGTGTATTGTAATTATTTATCTACTTAATTTAACCTACTTAACAGTGAATAGTATTTATTTTCGGTGCATCGCACTATTTTCAATATTGTGATTTTGTGATAAAATGAAAGAAGAGGTGTGTGCCTTCCTGTTAGTCTAGAGTGACAATATTTTTAAAGAAGTTACACAGATTTGGAAAAAAAATGTAGCTTTCTATTCTTGAAAGATAATAAATATTTTTTATGCCCGCAGTGTTTGCTCTCAGTCCCCCCCCCCCTTCCTTTTTACTGATAAGTTTCTCTTATCTATAATATCATATGCTCCTAGTATGTTGTCATCTATTGTAATGTACATACATACCTGTGGCGAATTTGAGTAACTTCAAATTTTTTTAAATTTCTCTGTCACTCAAAAATTGTTAAAATGAGGTACTCCTTACTGTACTCCGGAGGTTATTTAACAACTTTTGCCACCACAGTCCTTGGTAAGTGAACAAAATTTTTAAAAATAGGTGTGTGTAGGAAAACATGTGACCAAGTAACCAAAATTTTTTTCATCGTCTCTAGTTCTTTATTATGTTCTTACCGGAAAGGGTGAGCAGGTCAGCTTAGCATGGTAAGATCTTGCATCGCAATAAAAATAAAACTATCTATTTTGTAAAAATCATAGGTTTTTCTCAAATGTATCGCCCTATATGTGGGCAGCCACTGGGATAGGGTTGTCGGTAGCTGTATCTGTAGTAGGAGCAGCCATGTGAGTGAAAAAAAATTAAATAATGTAAAAAGGTACTTAAAGTTTAATTGTTTTAGGGGTATATACACAACAGGCGCTAGTATAGTAGGGGCTGGCGTCAAAGCGCCCCGAATTCGAACAAAAAATTTAATATCTATAATTTTTTGTGAAGCTGTGGCCATATACGGGTTAATTACAGCTATCGTATTAACAAATTTGTTTCAAGTAAGACAATGTGAACGTCAAAATACGTTCCACATATTGTAAAACCAATTTTCAGGAATACGATTCCGACTTGGCAGTTTTAGACACTGACTTATATGCGAAAAATTATATGGGTTCCCAAGTAATCTTTGGGGCAGGTTTGACTGTCGGTTTCGTAAATCTTTTTTGTGGGTTATGCGTCGGCATTGTTGGATCAGGAGCAGCCATTACAGACGCCGCAAATAAGACCTTATTTGTTAAAATATTAATTATTGAAATTTTTGGTAGTGCCATTGGACTCTTTGGATTAATTATCGGAGTGTTTTTGGTAAATAAAGAGTTAAGATCCAGAACCGTACAAATCAAATTTGCATTTTTCATATTTTTAGACATCCAAAGGAAGCATGGGGGCATAAATGTATGCATTATGATGCCCTACAAAGTACAGTGTAAATAAAGGTTGTAGCTAGCGGAGGGAGAAAACAATTTGTGTCTTTTAACAAAATTATTTTTCGAATAACCACCATATGGAAATTAACCATAGCAGACGATTGCTTTTTTGAAAATCGGTTTATTTAGTATTTTTTTCAAAATTTGAAATGTAGATTGTTGAATAGAAAACTGTTTTCTTAAGTCGTTTTCTGTTTTACCGAGGTACCCGGTTACCATGACCTCTATCCATCTTTCTTCGGTAAGTAGAGTCTGAATATGTCTGTGCTCTTCTTGCACTAAGAGAGAGGTAAATAAGCCAAGACATGCACCCACCCCAATTTCACGTGATTGTCACTTATAAATTTGGATTTGTGTCGATATAAACCAAAAATTACTTATAAGCTACTGTCGAGAAAACTTAAAATGCAAGGAGTTTTAGGATATACATTTTTAGGAACAGCTACTGCAGCTGCAACAGCGTTAAGTATGATTTTTTTTTTCATATGAATGTACATAACCTGTTGAGATTTGTTTTTTAGCTTTATATCATGTTTTTACTGGCAAAGGCGAAAGGGTGAGCATTGCTTGGTAAGTATAAAATATAATATATTTACTTATTAACACAGCATTTATTTGTCTGTAGGTTTCTGGAAAATACATCACCTCATATGTGGGCTACCACTGGAATAGGTCTTGCAGTGGCTTTATCTGTAGTTGGAGCAGCTGTGTAGGATTTTTTTTATGGCAACTTCACTTTCGTAATTAACTACTTAACTCTGATTTTAGAGGAATTCACACAACTGGTGTCAGTATACTGGGCGGAGGTGTTAAAGCCCCAAGAATTAAAACAAAGAATTTAATATCTGTTATCTTCTGTGAAGCTGTTGCTATTTATGGTCTCATTACCGCAATTGTTCTTTCAGGCTACTTGGAGGTACAATTGAGGTTCTTAGAGTCCTATTTTTGAAATAACTATATTGAATATTTTCAGGATTTCAATTACAAAATGGCACAAACTGATCTTAGCATCTTAGCTAAGAATTGGATGGCAGGATATCTAATGTTTGGCGCAGGTTTAGCAGTGGGGACAGTAAATTTGTTCTGCGGTATATGTGTTGGCATAGTGGGTTCTGGAGCAGCTTTAGCAGATGCCGCCAATTCCTCCCTGTTTGTCAAAATCCTCATAGTTGAAATTTTTGGGAGTGCTATTGGGTTGTTTGGATTGATTGTCGGAATATATACTGTAGGTGCATTAGAAAATGATTTATTTTTTTTTAATGTCTTTTTTTAGGTGTCTAAAGTTCAAATGGGAAACTGAAGCAGTTATTTTTTTAGTATTAATTTAGTATTAGCAATTTTGTTAACAGTTTTAGAAAACGAGTTTCAAAGACATGTATATATAAAGTTAAATCCACGATTTAATAGTAAGGTATCATATAATAATGTTGGAAAAATAGAATTAGTTGAAACATATTCATGGCGTTTTCATTTTTTATCGAACCCATAAGATAATTTCAAGGGAGTAATTGGTATTTACCAGACTCATTTTCGGCCATATCTGCTTTTTTGTTTTCTTATGCATCAGAGCTGATCGCAGCTATAATGTCACTAGAGTGACGTCATAGCTTTCAATGCTCAGGTCAAACAGTCGATTGGTATGTGACTGACGTTCCTTAAAATTCACTTATACATATTTAGTATCCAATTATTGAATTGAGCTTAAGCTAATGTTGATTTGCAAACGTTTTCTAGTTTTGCAAATATATGTTTCGTTCACCACAAAGAACATCAAAATATGTATTTACTTCCAAAAGCCTGTTTTAACACAAATTTTAAGAACCGTGAATTTGGTTTTTGCTTTTGCTTTCGGAAGTAACGACCCAACATACTTTTTATGATTTCTACATAAAATGTGTGTTGACAACACTGTAAATTTGGTAACTTTGATTTTACAATTTTGCCAAAAAGAAATTACTAATATGTCAGTTGTCAACTCATCAAATGTCATCGCGTTTTACTAACAATGTCAGCCCGGATGAAGCCTTAATAAAAATGTAAAGTAACGAGTGAATTTAATAAAATGGCAACGCAAAAGCCGACTCTATGGGCTGACCATTTAATAAATCGGTTTGGGGATCAGGTCAGTGATGCAATAAGATAAATCCTAACGAAATATTGCCAGACAATACTGCCCACTAACTAATCAATATTTGCGTGTTAGGAAATCATTTAATTTCCAGGGATTCTTGTTTTAGTTTTTTTTTAAATAAAATTTTCTATATAATTTTTAGTTGCCATACCGAATTGGTCCTCAAACAACACACGCAAGCATAAATCAAGAACAGAACAAGAATTGTATTATACAAATTTCCAAATTTCGTTTTTCTCTAGTCTTAGATGGTTTTGTGAAAGTTCTCAAAAAGGTCAATGAGACGGTAAGTCGACTTTTGGGTGTCTATTTTGTCCAATTTAACTTTTATTTGTGTTTCAGTATGACAAAAATCAAAAACATGGATCTGAGCAAGAAAAGAATTATTTTGATAGTTTATTTATAGTGTTAGAAACTCTAGAAAAATGTTTTAGTATTCAACCCAAAGACTCGATTACGTTGACAATGGAAGAAAGTCAAAATTTAAAAATTTTATTAAAAGAAATTTGCGGATATCTATTAGTTAAAGGTATGTTCTGTCCTCAATTTTTGCATGAATTTGTTGAACTGAAAAATCTAATGTTCATTTCATTCATGAGGTTGGGCACGAAGAAATAAATTTTAGAAAATAGGTCTGTGGTATTTATTTTCATTTCAAATGTTTTTACATTTTCCCTTGTTTTAAGGAACTACGTTTTTTCGCTGCTTGTTTGTTTTTTTTTATGTCTCATTCATATTGACAAATTTTATTTGAATATTGTGAACATTGAACCAAATATTTTCTAAGTAATTATTATTTTTAGATGTTTTTCCTGAAAATAATCCAAATACGCATGCAGTGAGATTACTAGCAAGTAAAGTACTTTTTGCTTTATCAGTAAATTTTTTTAACGTAGTATTTACGAGAATAACATCAAAATTACAAGAATGTGCTTCATCACCAGAAGAAATTACGGATTTAAGTGAAATTGAACTAATCCAGCACATTAATGTGGATGTAAATCGTCTTTCTAAACTTTTATGGGAAGGAGTGACCAAATTTAAGCAACTGAGGAAAAATGCCCAGCAGTTGTATGTAAACTCATTAGAGAAAGCTGTATGGAATTGGATTGAAACATATCCATATGAATTTGCTGAATATCAGAAAAATCCTGATGAAGAATTAATGAGAAATGCTGATCAGTTTTTTGATATCGTGGAATCTGTTACTGACAATAAAAAAATTAAACCAAATATGTGGTCCTTGCAAATGATGTTACTAATATTGGCGCCTGTAAGCATTTATCCAATTAATAATATATTTGATTCATTCTGCTTTTTATGAAGATTGTGATTGGTTATTCACTTAGATTTCATATTCTCCAGTTTATACCAGACTTCCTCATTTGTGGTAAAATTAGAAGTTTAATAATTAATAATACTTACTTTCAATAGGTGTGAAAATCAGTCAGAATCACAAAATTGTCTGATGTATTTTGGCTAATCCTGATGGACATTTTGTATTTGTTTTGTTAACAGCTTGTAGAACTGGGAATTATCTTTTTATGGTATCTAAAGTTGTTGAAAAAAAATTAATTTATCTAAATATGACAATTAAACCTCTGGTGATACCGAATGTTAAGAGTCAAAAGTTTAATTTGGTTAAAATTTTTCATAAATGTTTTTCTTGAGATAAAATTCTTATTCTCGTATCATTTTCCCCTGAAGAAGATAATTTTTTAGTGGTTTTTCAGTCACCCAGTATAAAATATTTTTTAACAATTTCTGCAAGTTGTTAAACAAAGAATAAATTTTGAGAACACCCTGTATATTTCATTGAATACAAAGACGAATGTTATATTGTAGAAAGTATTAGAGGAAATAGTAAATGCTGATACGGGAGCACCATGCTCTCCAAGACATGTAAGAAAAAAGGCTTATATCGACAATATTAAGAAATGTCTTGGACCACACAGTAACAGCAAACAATCAACTGAAGCAGCAGCGGTTGCTTGCGTAAAACTTTGCAAAGCATCGACATATATAAATATTTTAGATTCAAATAATAAAGCTTTTGTTCTTGTTCAGAACATCATTCACGATTTAAAGGTAATAATAATAAAAAAGATTTTAGTTTTTTTTTTAACTGTTTCCAGTTTATTTTTAGAATTTTTTATTCAACCCTAACAAGCCCTACTCGAGAGGCCAAACTGTTTTATATCAAGACATGGATATAATGATTGATTGTTTTGTATCAGTATTTCGCATAAAGCCGCATGACAATGAAGCCCTTAAAGTTTGCCTAACTGTAACTTCACCACCAACATACCATTTTGTATTAATTAGATCGCTGTATAAAATAGTTACTCAACCAAAATTATTGTGGTGGCCTACAATAGACTTGGTTTACTCCAAATCGTCTGAGCTTAGAACCATGTTCTCTGACATATTGAATAAAGTTTCACAAGGCTATAGTCAACATACTCCTCTAAGAATGATCTCAAAAACACTTAAAGGTACTAAAGATACGCAAATGAAATATAGAGATAGATCTGAAGAGGTTCCGGGCTACAGGAATTTACTGCTCTACATGGTTCGGTTGATTCACGCCGACCCAATGTTGCTCTTAAACCATCACGGCAAGGCAGGTCACGAGATTCAGAGTTGTACACTAGACTTGATTAATGGCCTTGTGTCATTGGTTCATCTCCAAAATATGCCAGAAGTAGCACAGGAAGCTATGGATGCATTGCTTGTTCTTCATCATCCAGAAAAAATTGAGATGTGGAATCCAGAGGCGCCAATAAATACTTTTTGGGATGTAGGTTCTCAGGTTCTTAATCAGATTTCAACCAAATTAATTCAACACCAATATGCTAACTATACCGATATTCTTAAATGGTTGAGAGAAATTCTTATATGTAGAAATGCATTTCTAACAAAACACAAGGAATATGCTACTTTGGGCAGCTCAATATCCACATCACAACAAGCTCATGTTAAGCTAGAGGTATCTTTGCAGCAGTTTTTGTTGTAGATATTTATTACTTTAATCTAATTACAGGTCGTGTATTACATGTATCTTTGGAGTATAGATATTGATGCAGTTTTGGTGGCAATGAGCTGTTTTGCCCTATTATGTCAAGAAGCAGAAATTCTTTGCTTATCGGAGGAAATTACCGTAACCACATTAGTACCAAATTATCATGTTTATTTAGAACTTGCCCAAGCGTCAACAATTTTGACCTCCGGTAAGGCTCCTATTAAAAGAAAAATATTAAAATGTTATAGCTGTCACCAAAAGAACTTTTTTTTTCTTGCGTGGATAATATACAGGGTGGCTCAACGGAAAATAAGTAGACTTTTTAAATAATAATCTGCAATTATGTTTTATCTGCGTCTAAAAACTGAAATCCAGATAAAATTATTTGGAAAAAGGGAAATAATTTCAAAAAAATACAACATTGCTTTTACATTCTCAAAAATTGTAGTAAATTAAACGTATGAATGAAAATAATAATTATTTAGTTCAACATTTATCAATTTTTTGTTCTAGCTGCTGGAGATTCCAAAATATGTTTTCCAGATTACGTGGCTGGTAAGTCGTCCTTAATTTACACAGGTACACAGTAGTTTTTATATGCAGACAGCAGTAATATAAAAACCGTTTTAATACTGATCTAACAATTTCTTAACAGATTGATGCTCATTAATATGCTTAATTTTTTGCTAATAACCATGTCTGGAAAATGTCACTTGGAAGTTAAGGGAAATCGTAAAAAATCGGGGATTTTTAAGTTTTTAATTGCCAAAAAGACTGTAAAGGAGATGATTCACAATGATTTTGCTTTAGGTCGCTATGCCTTGCAAAAGAAAATAATGGCGTTGTTGAGAAAAATAGAACATTGTATTAATGGTGTTTATCCAGCGTGGGAAGAAACATTTCGAATCTGGACTAGTTCATACAAGAGTATATCAGCCTATCCAAAAACTAGATTAGAAGATGGACAAATGGAACCGTTTCATCGGTCCGCTGGGAAAAGAAGAGCGTCGCATCAAAATTCGGAACATGAACTGGAGGTGCTTGAATTTTGTTTGGTCCAGGAAAACATGACATGACTTTATTTCATCTTTTAGAAGGAACAAATCAATGAATGGGCCAATATGACTGGCTTTTTGTGTGCTCTGGGGGGAGTGTGTTTACACGCAAAATCCTATTCTTCTGGTCATTACTCCTCACTCAGTAATACCTCAGGCTATTCTAGTATGTCTACGCTTACTTTAAGTTCAATAAGTACTTTGTGTGAACTTTCAACCAGTAGAAGGTCTAATACTATGCAAGCCTTACAGAGTCGACAAAGCGAGCAAGAAGCGAACGTAACACAGTAAGTGACGACTATATTTTTTCCGTAAATAGAATTTTATTGTGTAATATTTGTTAGATTTGTTGAATTACTGCTAAGGTTATTGGTGTGCAATAATGAGAAATTCGGTCCCCAAATACAAAAACATGTTAAGGAATTAATTGGACATGAAATGTCACCAGCTTTGTATCCTATTATTTTTGAACAAATAAAAATAATAATCGATAAATTCTTTGACCAAACCGGACAAGTGATGGTTACGGAAATAAATACTCAATTTATTGAACATATTATCGTGATTTTAAAGAACATTTTAGATTATTCTAAAAACGAGCAACCGTCTGAACATTTAGGCGTCACCAGCATAGAAGGGATGATGCTCCAAATTGTACGTTATGTTAGACATTTGGATATGTCCACCCATGCTATGCAAATTAAAACAAAACTGTGTCAGTTAGTAGAAGTCATGATGCACCGGCGTGACGATCTAGCATTTAGACAAGAAATGAAATTTAGAAATAAACTGGTGGAGTATCTAACCGACTGGGTTATGGGCACATCCCACCAAATTTCACCGCCATCTGGTGGTGATCTCACTCTTATGACTAGAGATTTAGATCAGGCATGTATGGAAGCTGTGGCCGCTCTTCTCAGGGGATTGCCTCTGCAGCCAGAAGAATCGGACAGAGGCGATTTAATGGAAGCGAAAAGTCAACTTTTCCTTAAATATTTCACTCTATTTATGAATCTCTTAAACGACTGCGCAGACGCTTCAGAATTAGGCGACGAACCGAGAGAAAGACTGCATTCCGAAAATTTATCTAATTTAAGAAGCGCTACAATTCAAGCGATGTCAAATTTATTGTCAGCCAATATCGACAGCGGACTTATGCATTCAATTGGTGAGTTTAATGTTTTCCAATGAGTGTTGTTGTTTCCGTCATTTTTTTTTTGCACCAATCTAACATAAAATAGCTTTAAATAATGCTATTCTCAAAATATTTAAGTATTTAGCTGCACACACAAATAAGAAACCTGTAACTCGAAGAATCCTAAACTAGTATAATGACAAGTGACATTTGTTTATATCCCCATATATTTGCCCGGTTTGAGATTGCGAGTTGATTAATCTATATTGACAAAATATGCAAACAATTTTGGTCCCATAACCTATTTTTTGCGCTTATATACGTAGCTTGTATAAGATAAACAACAACATCAACAACCCTTGGTTAATTGTGTTATAATCTGGTGTTGTACCTTACGGCAAATATTTTTTCTGTCTAATAACAATGAATTGCGCACCGAGAAGAATGAACAGTAAAATTAACCCATTTCAACTATAGTTACGCATCACTAAGAGAATACGGAGGATCAAACTTCGAATGTTGACATTTGGTGAAGAAGAGCTTTGAAAAAAATCGAGAATAATAATTTTCTGTTTGACGAATCTGTTTCTCGATGCGATATTTGGACAAAAAACGTGTGCGATGATTGGCTGCTTTGTTGATTAATGAAATAATATGAATATGCTTATTTTTCATTGGTTTAGTTTTTTTTGTATTTACGACAATTGTGGGAAGGAATTGGCTATAACTTTTTTTTTTTGAAATGTGATGATTCGTCAGTGGGTTTATGGGTAATGTTGGTGCATGATACTCATGTCTATGACCTTGTTATTTCCCACAGCGGAAACTTGTTTCTCATTGGTTTTTTGCGTTAATTTTTTTGAAGTTTGTTAATACATTTTTGGTTTCGATTCTTATAGATTCTCATTCTTATTCAAAAATTAAATTTGAATATTGCGTAGGAATATTTATTCAAATTAAAAAAAAAATGGTTTGATTTAATCGGACGAATCTATAGTAGAATGTAGTAGGATTTTTTGTACAGGTTTTTTTTTCTGACCCGCTGTATGAATATTCACTAATTCTTGATTAGTTTGCTTGGGAAATGGTGTTGTACTTGAAAAAAAATTTCTTTGGCAGACTTGGGGTATAATAAAGATCTTCAAACGAGGGCCGCGTTTATGGAAGTGCTAACGAAAATACTGCAGCAAGGTACCGAATTCGATACGCTCGCTGAAACAGTACTTGCAGATAGATTTGAGCAGTTGGTTCAGCTAGTTACGATGATCAGTGATAAAGGAGAACTGCCAATTGCTGTTGCTTTAGCCAATGTAGTTACCACTTCTCAAATGGACGAATTGGCTAGAGTATTTGTAACACTTTTTGATGCGAAACATCTTCTGTCGCCATTGCTTTGGAACATGTTTTATCGGGAAGTGGAAATATCTGACTGCATGCAAACGTTATTTCGCGGAAATTCTTTGGGTAGCAAAATAATGGCGTTTTGCTTTAAAATATATGGTGCTAGTTATCTCCAGACTTTGTTGGAGCCTTTGATTCAGCCACTATTAGACAATCCGCATCAAAGTTTTGAAGTCGATCCAGCTAGGTTAGACACAAACGAAGATATTGAAGAAAATAGACAAAATTTAATCGCGTTAACCCAAAAAGTATTCGATGCTATAGTTTCGTCTGCTGACAGGTTCCCTCCACAATTAAGATCGATGTGTCACTGTCTTTATCAAGTTTTAAGCAAGCGATTTCCTCAATTTCCGCAAAATAATATCGGAGCGGTGGGAACCGTAATATTTTTAAGATTTATTAATCCTGCTATTGTGTCGCCACACGAGATGGGTATAGTTAGTGACCAAGTGCCTACAAATATACGAAGGGGATTGATGTTAATGTCGAAAATCCTTCAAAATATCGCCAATCACGTAGAGTTCAGTAAGGAACAGCACATGGTACCTTTCAACGATTTTTTAAAGTCACACTTTGAAACCGGTAGAAGGTTTTTCATAACTATAGCATCGGATTGTGAGACTGTAGATCAGACTTCGCATTCGATGTCATTTATATCTGATGCAAACGTACTGGCTTTGCATAGACTTTTATGGAACCACCAGGAAAAGATTGGAGATTATTTGTCGAGTAGTCGTGATCATCGATCTGTTGGTAGGAGGCCTTTTGATAAAATGGCCACACTGTTAGCATATCTGGGACCTCCAGAGCACAAACCGTTCGATTCTCAGTAAGTTTCATGGTTAAATTTGCGTTTGGCTGCGATGCTGATTTTCCATTTCTTCTAGTTTATTATTCACCTCAAATCCACGATGGAGGTCTTTGGATATGTCTTCAACGAATTTTGAAGATTTAATGAGTAGACATAATATGGACGAAAAAGAGGAATTTAAGTCCATAAAGTCTCTAAATATTTTTTACCAAGCGGGAACTAGTAAAGCGGGCTTTCCTGTATTTTATTACATTGCAAGGCGTTGGAAGTAATAGTCTACAGGTTGTAACAAGTTTTCGAACACTCAATGATATTGTTTTAGGATCGGTGAAACAAATGGAGATTTATTAATTTACCACGTCATATTGACGTTGAAACCGTTTTGTCATTCTCCGTTCGAACTCGTAGTCGATTTTACTCACACTTGTTCGGATAATAGGTTTAGGGCTGAATATTTGCAGAGGTGGTTTTACGTTTTACCAGAAGTAGCTTATGAAAATATTCATGCTGCCTATATTTACAATTGTAACAGCTGGGTGCGGGAATATACAAAATACCACGATCGCATGTTGGCAAGTCTAAAGGTAAAATACATGTTAAGATCTCCCAAAAAATAAGTGGAAATTTAATACCGTGGCTCCGCAAACAGGGACGGAATATATTTCTTTTTCTAAGTAATTCTTGTTTCTATCACTGACTAAATCATATTTAATTCGATATTTTTTTAATGGACACAGGCACAGGGCCTGATGGATTTTTTCTTTTCTACCAGTTCTTTCAATTGACATCGATTAGTAATTTTATCTTCGCATTTCAAAAACTAATTTTCCCTAATAGAACCTAATAGAACCTATTTCTAAATCTTTCGCAAAAATTCTTATTACAAAAATATCGGTAATGCTTTCCAGTGACACTTGGATAGTAGCTAGTTTTAATACTTTATGTAAATTGCGACAAGATTTTATACTAAAAATTCTAAAGATTCCACTTATTTATTGGCGAATTTTAAGCTTTGCCACCACGTGATTAATTTGTATCTCTTCTATTGCAGGGAAATCGTAAGTTAATATTTTTGGAGACGCCTATCAGGTTAAACGATTTTATCGATCCTGATCAGCAAAAACTGCCGGGTGCAACGCTAAGCCTAGACGAAGACCTTAAAGTATTTAACAACGCCTTAAAATTATCGCACAAAGATACGAAAGTAGCAATAAAAGTAGGCCCCACTGCTATTCAGATTACCTCGTCAGAAAGAACTAAAGTTCTTTCGCATTCGGTACTACTAAATGATGTTTACTATGCGTCTGAAATTGAAGAAGTCTGTTTGGTCGATGATAATCAGTTTACTCTCACCATAGCTAATGAAAGTGGACCTTTAAGTTTTATTCATAATGATTGTGATAGTATTGTACAGGCTATTATTCACATCAGAAACAGATGGGAGTTAAGCCAGCCTGTAAGTATATGTTGTTCTCTTTTAGTAGTTGCTTTTGTATTTTATCGAGCTACTTCGGGTAGAATGCAGAGTCTCATCTGTTTAAATATTTATCTCTACGCTCATTGTTCTGATAAGTCTGTGTAGAATTATTAATTTTGATTTACGTACACTGAGCACAAATATTAAGTAATACACAAGCTAGTTAAATTATAAAGGCCGAATTAAGCGGAAGTGCACCAAGTATGACGTATGGCCGCTTTTACCTGTATGAGAATTCGACGACAGCAAAAAGACCTTACTTGTGCTTCTAAAATTTCCGAACGGAAACTTATTTTCTATGGTCCAAATAAAGCAGTCATGAAACAAGAAATTTTGATAACAAGACCGATATTACTAGTCGAAAGTTTTGTTTGCGGCAGCATTTCTTTTCCATTTTAGGATTCAGTAACGGTACATCAAAAAATAAGACCCAAAGATGTTCCGGGAACCCTTCTGAATATGGCGTTGTTGAATTTGGGCTCTCACGATCCTAATTTGCGAACAGCAGCTTATAATCAACTTTGCGCTTTAACTGCAACATTCGATTTGAAAATAGAAGGTCAACTCTTAGAAACTCAAGGATTATGTATTCCCTCCAATAATACAATTTTTATAAAATCCATATCGGAAAAATTAGCAACGAATGAACCTCATTTAACATTAGAATTTTTAGAAGAGTGCATTCAAGGATTTAGAGTGTCTAGTATAGAATTAAAGCATTTGTGTTTAGAGTATATGACCCCGTGGCTTCCAAACTTGGTGAAATTTTGCAAACCAGCGGACGACATTAAAAGATATCAAAAGGTTTCGGGAATATTAGAAAAACTTATTTTACTGACGATAAAAGAAGTGGAAATGTATCCATCGATTCAAGCAAAAATATGGGGATCAATCGGACAAGTTCCCGAATTAATCGACATAGTTCTTGATAATTTCATTTCCACTTCGGTTAACGAGGGCATTGGTTCTCCTATGGTAGAAATAATGGCTGACACTGCCGTCGCGCTGGCTTCTGCTAACGTACAACTAGTTGCGAAGAAAGTCATTGGACGATTATGCAGGGTGATGGATCAAACATGCCAAGCTCCGACTCCAATGCTAGAACAACATATTATGTGGGAAGACATAGCTATTCTAGCACGCTATCTTCTTATGTTATCATTTAACAATTGTTTAGATGTGGTGCGACATTTGCCATACCTTTTTCATACCGTAACATTCCTAGTTTGCTCTGGATCTTTGAGCATGAGAGCTTCGACCCATGGCTTGGTCATGAATATTATACATTCTTTATGCACTTGCACAAAACCCAGATTCTCCGAAGAAACACAAAGACTGCTTCGTTTGTCTTTGGATGAATTTTCACTTCCAAAATTCTATCTGTTGTTCGGTATCAGTAAAGTAAAAAATGCCGCGGTAACGGCATTTAGATCAGGCTACCGTCAAGCTAACGATCCCAGATGGTTTCTTCAAGAACGAGGCACCCCTACAACTGTGACCACCACACCAGTGGGCTGCAGTCATGAAAGGGAGAGATTGTCTTTAACTTCCTTGGAAGTAATCACAGACGCTTTGTTGGAAATTATGGAAGCTTGCATGAGAGATATACCAAATTGCGACTGGCTTAATAACTGGACATCCCTTTCCAAGAGTTTTGCTTATTGTTATAATCCAGCTTTGCAACCTCGTGCTTTGATAGTGTTTGGATGCATTAGTAAATCGGTAACGGACTATGAAGTAAAACAACTACTTCAAATTCTGGTGAAGGCGCTAGAGAGTTTTGAGGATATTACTTTGATAGAAGCGGTTATTATGTGTTTAACGAGATTGCAGCCGGTATTAAGACCAGAATCGCCCATTCACAAAGCGTTATTTTGGGTAGCAGTGTCAGTTTTGCAATTGAACGAATCGTCCCTTTACGCAGCAGGTTTAGCGTTGTTGGAGCAGAACTTACATACTCTCGATTCTCAGGGAATTTTTGATGAAACAGTAAGAGTCTTGTTTGAGTTTGAAAAAATATTATAGCATTGTTATGTGTTTTAGCCACTAGAACAAGTAATGATGCAAACTAGGGATCCCCTAGAGCTATATTTTAAGCAAATGGACCACGCGGTTGGTTTAAGTTTTAGGGCGAACTTTCATTTTGCTCTCGTTGGACATTTGCTCAAGGGATATCGTCATCCCACCGCAACCACTGTTTCTAGAACAGTTAGGATTTTAACTATGCTTTTGTCTATTGTTTCTAAACCAGCAAAAAGGGACAAGTTTGAAGTTACACCCGATAGTGTTGCCTATTTGACAGGTTTGTGTGAATGTGTTTATTTTATCTTTGGTAATCGGAATAAGTACAGCTCTCCGATGCTTTACAGAGCAGAAAATTAACTTTGTTTAATTCATTGAGATATCAATTTGTAGCTGTAGATAACAAGTAATGTTTTTGTTTTTTTAGCCTTACTAGGATACTCCGAAGAAGTTCGTAGTAGATGTCATATTAAACACTTCCTGCCAAGGTACATGACTGACTCGCTATCTCAAGAGAATTTTCTAGTTGAACCTAATCAGGGGAATTCCAACCAGCAGCAAGTAGCGACATCTGCCAACAATATTTTTACAAGCAATTCAGCGCGAAGGCAGAAATCTTGCGATTTACTGGATCAATCAGTTCTCGCACAAGCGCGACAAAACAAACCATCAAGTTCGCAACACCAGGTGTGTATTCTGCCATTTTATTTCATTCCATTGGTAGTTAGTTTATTTGTTTTTAATCGAATATACTTTATATTGAACTGTAATATTGTGTGTTGATTTGTTACTTCTTTTAATATTATGTGTAGTTGTAGATTATTGTTCAAAACTGACACGCATTTATCCATTAACATGTTTTGATCCCATCACCGCTTCTTTGAGCATTTTTCAGTTGGTACTGGTACTTAAAACACCTGTTTATCTTCCATTTTGGAGATAATAGGAGTCCTGAAATATCAACATCGCGTATGCTCTAATATGTTTGTGTTTTACATAGTTTCCAGTTCGTTATTTCTTGACCTCTCTCAACTAGTCACCAAATCTGTATAAAAAAAATTATTACGTTATACTGGGTGGCCAAATAAGAATGGACACCACCCACATTGGAGTATAATTTTTTACAAAACAATTTATGAAAGCCCTATTTAGGACCTCGAAACATTTACTTTTTTAGCACACCCTTTAATAAAATGCCACAAAGGTGTAAAAAAAATTCTTTAGGCATTACTTTTAAATAGGTACAGGGGTTTCCGGTATAATATTGCACCCTGCTTACAGCCTCAAGATAGAAGGAAAATGTAAATTCCAAAGTTCCATATTTTTTTGTGGACCTTAAACATTTTGTTAGAAGACCCTGTATATTATTTTCAATATGTTCTAACATTTCATTCATTTGTTTCAAAAGTATATATATGCGGATTATAAAAAATAAAAAATAAGTTATAAAAATTTGACTATTTGACTAAATATTTGTGGTATTCATAAGAAAACAACACTCGTATGATTTTTTTTTTCATTTTAAATTTTTTATTTTTGACGTTATCTAGGGTGATGTTTCGGTTAAAATTACTATTGAGAGAAAGTGTACTTCTTATTTGGCCGCTCGATACATAAAAGAATAAATAACTTAATAGATAATAATAAAGTGACGTAACTAACTAGGTTGAGAGATCGAATTCACCAGGTAATAAAGGCTGGCGAAGTTTAGATTTGACCCAGAGTCCGGGACTTCAGGCGAACTGCGTCCTGACCCGGACTTTGTTTCGCACCCAGAGGTCTAGTTCGGTACCCGTACAGCAGAATTCCTCAACAAATGTTTCAATTAATACAGAAAGTCCACCACCCGTGGCACCTACAAAAGTAAGCTGTATGCCTGCGACACACGACAGATAGTATACACGCTAATTTTTCTCTAGTTATATATCTCGTACTATCAAATTTTTTATTATATTGGGTGTACTTAAAAATGCAACATCACTTCTTTAATCGGATTTTTTCCCATTTTTTGGACTGTCCGACGTTAAAAAATCCCCCATTTTCGGATTATCGAAGTTGCGCTGTAACCGAGTTGATTTTTAAGACATTCAGTACAAGCTTACTTTTTAATATAGTTGGCTAACTCTATTTTTACAAACCAAAGTGTATTTAGCACCATCGGAAACGGGAAAGAAAGTTTTTCGTCGCGCCTTTTATAGAGTGTTATACCTACAATACACTTTGTTTTTTTTTCCTTTCATCTATCTTTTTTCGGTGAATTACCGTTTGTTGCTTCTTTAACCTTTTAATACAAGTACCAAATTACAAAGTACTTGCTTACAGCACGATTTTTCTACTCTGCCATATAACTAAATCATATTATTGATTATTACAAATAATTATTGCGTTAACAGCAAAACGGCAGATTTAAAATGCGTACTGTAATAATTGCACAATGCATAATTAATTATGGCTGCTTATCTTGCTGTTTGTGTAACTTTTCGGGCCTTCATCTATACAGTCTGCACGAGCTCTCTTCAAAACTCAACGTTCATTTTCTGTGCCAACCACTAAAGAGCAAAAATCAATCGATGATGATGCATCCAAGGTATGACCACTTGTTTCTATCACATCTATGTTAGACGAATGTAGTTTTAATACTATATTTATTTTGGCTGTGCTAAATAAGTGATACGTACATTCCTTAAGTTATTTCTTCCCAACACAAATTTCAATCAATAATGAAAGTAAACATATTTTGTGTCATTTATTTGGAACATCCTTTATAAAGCACAATACGGGACAAATTCCGCGTACATTGTTGCACATTAAAAAAAATGTTTCGAAATATTTTATTCATTCCGTTAAACACTGCTATTTTCTTTTTTAAAAAATAGAACGTGGTTTGCATGCCTTTAATGTAGTTTTTTTTTTCGGCATTTGCATGCTGGAGATTTACTTAATACAAAGTAGATTAATATTAATCTATTTTGTAATTGGCCGATAACAAATTTCATGGGAACAATTTTTAGAATCGAAGTGCGAGAGTGTCTGTGAGTAACGAGAACAATGTGCTTCTTGATCCGGAAGTACTTACGGATTTCTCTATCCAAGCGTTGGTCTTAACCACATTGGCCACTCTCGTTAAATACAGCACAGGAGAGGTCGAGACAAGGACGATGTATAAATTTTTAGCTGAGGGCGCAACAGTATTCCCAAGAGTATTCCCAGTTATGTACGTTGATATGTCATTATTTTCCTCTTACTAACAAGATCCATATTTAAATCGTCATTCTATTCAACAGTGGAGCGACCGTGTAATCGGTCTAATTTATATTTTTGCCCTAGCTATAACTTGTTGGATCAAAATTTAAAGAATATCTTAACGAGCCACCACGACCTCGAAACCCTAAGTGCAGTACGAACCATCATTCAAACGATGATAACTTGCGAAGATACTAGTCAGCAGCAAGTTCACTACTTGCAGAGTTGTGGTTTTGCCGGGCTGTGGCGTTTTGCTGGGGCTTTTCTAAGGGTAAGACCGAATGTTTGTTATTAACATGTTGCATCTTTTGGTCCAAAATTGATCACACTGTATGGAGGGTTAGTTTAATTATCAAGCCCAGGATCTTTCTTGGCATTCTTTCCCTTCAGAGTTTTTATTTTTCAGTATTTGCATGCGTTTGATTTTTATATTTTATTGAAGCTTGAGAATGAGAATGAGAATATTCAGATTTTATTGGCAAATTTAGTACACCTCTTAAAAGAAATAAATTTCAATAACTTCAGACTATTACTTTTATTACAACAAAAGAGAGGCAGATAAGGGGCTACACGCTAGTTGAAACCGCATTTCAATATATCTTTCCTAACTTATAATATCCGTAAAAAAAATGAAAACAAAATAATGTCGCCTTTGGGAATGTTCTCACTCTAGCCACCATTATTAAATACTAATTTGAGTTCTTATAGCAAAATTAATATTTACTGGTAAAACGCCAACATTATATTTAAAACAATAATAATTAATGCTCAGTCCTATATGATTGAATAATCACAGATAAAATACTAATCCAGGATAGAAACAGAAAAAAAAAGAAGAAAATTTAAGCCCTGGTGACGATTCTAAAAACTTGGAAATTATTTACAGCATTTTTTCTTGACGGATTAAGTTTTTTCATCCCAAGCTTTTTCAAAAATTACTTTTCGGGATAGGGCACCCGGTACATAGCTACATATATCAAGTGGGGAAGTAAATACGAAAATGGTTAGCTACATTATAGACGAAACTTTGGCGCGTATTCTATACGCGTGCACATTCTTTTAGGCCGAAAATTCTAGAATACTGGGAAACATGGGCGAGCACAGTGAGCTATTTAGAAGTTGCCTGGAGGCAATGGTAGAGAGTTGTTTGCCCAACGAGGAAACGGAGACTGGCGAAATTGGCGAACCAGCGCAATTTTCCTCATTATTAAGCGTAAACTCGAATATGAGTTGTTCTAATCCCAGTTTACCCCAGTCTCCCACTACCGAAGGGGGGAGTTTAGATCGTGACGACGGTGGCGGAAGTGGGTCGTCCTTAGACAAAATTGTGTCCAGCAGATTGTGAATGGCTAGATGTAATTCATCTAACGAGGTAAAATTGTTAGAAAAAATTTTGCCATTTTGCTGTAAATTGTGTTCATTTATTTTTGTGAATTAATACGAAGACTGCGAATGTTTCTTTTATTCTTAGACCTAAGTTAGTATGCTTTGTGGATGGCAAGTCGTTTTCTAACAATTTGTTATTATATTCTAAACTAAAGGATATGTGAAACCAAAAATGTACAAATTTATTACTATCATTAAATTTCATAATTTTTGCAAACCGTTTAATTTGTACGACAGTATTTTTTATTCAGTCATATTTTTCATCCAGTATAGGTGATCGAGTGCGTTATGATTTCATTTCGATTGAGATACGGTCAGGCCTTCAAAATTTAGCGCATTTTCGGAAAACTTGCGGCGCTGAATATATTTGAAATGATTCCAGCACAAGCCTTATTCATTGTTACGGGTGTAGGTCATATATTAGCTGTTGATTCAATACATTTTTCACCTTCTAAGTACTTCACCCCCCACCGCATTTATTTTTTCGGTTTTTCAAACCATTTTAGATTGCCAGTCAAAAGTATTCAGCGCCGAATAAGGACCTGTTGTTGTCAAATTCTTAGAAGTTAGAATTATTTAAAATTATATTGGTAGATAGAAAAAGTGCAAGATCTTATGGGATGCCCTTGTTTTTTACAAGTGTGTGTTGTTGGAAAGTTAAGTTACTCTGAGTGTTTTAGACATTCTTAAAATGAAGCATGTAACTCATAAGACTTTTAACTCAGGATAATTTCCCGTGTGTCTTGGTTCCATTTTAATGTTTTCCCTTTTTTTTTGTACATTCATCAATATCCCCAAATTTCATTTTTTTACTTTTGCTCCGAATGTTGTTCCGGTATTTCGAAAAATTAAAATTTATTTTCATTTTTTTTTTAATAAACAAATGATTCCAAACGTTATTATATCAATCTTGTACGTTGTTGGTTGAAATTTGGGTATATCTGATGTTGTGGTCTACTTTCTATTCTATTTTCACAATTAATGAAATAACTACTTATTGCAAATTATAGTAATATTATTAATGCTAAAGCCATTTCACATATCCCATTTTCCCATTTAACTATATTAATGTAAAAATATAATACTAGTACCAGGATATTGGCCATAGTTGTTTAGATGTTATTTATAGGTGTCTCCTGTATCTACGTATTACTCGTGTTCCTATCAATTTTAATGTGCTATTTTTCATTTTCGTTAAAAGCTTTTGCGATAAAATTCGCTTTCGATGTTCTGGGATCCCGTTAATGAATAAGGCGTAGTTTTTACATTATCAATACAAATTTTAACCCCTTGCGTTCGTGTTCTTTTGATTTTCGCCGAACCTTCAAGTACTAGGCAATCTGAGCTAGATCATTATAAATTTTTGAACCAAACCTAACGTACAAAATCGAGATTGTATTTTGGAATTGCTTCCCATCGTTTCCGGAATGGGGCATCAGAGATCGAAGTCCTCTAAGGTGCTAGTGCAATGTTAGGAAGCAGTTCTAAACTACAACGGTCATTTAGGTTTTCTCAAAGTTTAGTTATATCTTTTGTCACCTAAAATACGTTAAGGGTTACGATATGTGGTCCAGGTTCGGCATCTCCTTTAACTGTGCTCTAAATCTTATAAGTTAAGATATACATCTCATATTCTAATTCGATCAACATCACTGCCAGTTCGTGTGTAAACTTGCAATCACATGAGGTTCCTACATGTAAAAACATGACACCAATCGATTTTCTGATTTCAAAGCGTGTTTGTAACTATCTAGTCCCTTTATGCTTTCGATCTCATCAAAATAGTGTCATCTAACCTGTGCTTTGATCTCATTTTATAGTCGATTAAGAATCGTTTTTTAACAAAATTATATTTATTTACTTTTAGCAATAACATCAGTCAATATTATCGAAAGACATTGTATTAGAATGATATGATCTTAACTCTATGAAGACTAAGTTTTCATAAAACTTGATATTTGTTTTTTTTTTTACTTTTTAAATCGGCATGCCGGTTATCTAACTTACTTGTTCCGAATATCTTCTAAAACGTTTTGAGATTCTTTATGTTATTTGTACCCCGAGCGGGTTTTGATTATATGAAAATGATTTGATTTACTCAGGGTAAACAAAGTCGGGAGGCGTACCCACTTGGCAGAAATTTTATATTACTTTTGTAGGTATGATAGACTGTGATATAGGTAAAACTAGATTTCAACGTCCTAACTAAAACTAGAAGGGAAATTTGTTGAATTGAAGTTAAGAAAGCTGCTTATGCTTAGCTAAGTGTCTAACATGTTTTTTTTTCAATTGAAAATTTTTGTTGAATGTTGAGTAATGTATCATCTATGAAACTATGGCCATAACCTTTTTAAAAGAAATCTATTTGTTACAGTAACGATTTTTATCTCTCTTGACGTTTTTCAAAAATCTACTTGTTTAACGATAGGGAGAGAGTTATGTTATATATAAAATGTTTTATATAAAATATAGAAGAAATTATTTTTTTATACTTGTGTATTCATGACATCTGTGTTTAGCTAGTCATAGTGATTTAAAAGTTATTCATATTTTCTATATATATTTTGATTTCAGTTATAGCATTTATAGCGCGCAGCTCCACTGTAGGAAAGAGGCACATTTTTGTACAAAATCTTACATATAGTATTTCCGAGCATTCCTTAACGTGTTGATTTTTTTTTATTTTGCATTCAGCTAAACATTTTTTTGGGTTTTTAATATTTTTTTTGTTTCTTGAGGAAACTTTTTTCGAGGGATTAAACAGCTTCTAAACTCAACTTTATTGACATCAGCAATTTTACAATAAATATTGCGTACGAAAAACCTATATGTACAAATTCAGAGCTCTACAACAACCATGCTAATTAAAATTATCAATTGTTTAAATTTCCGAAAACTTAGTGGTGAAGTGTATATTTGAAAATGGTCTTTGGATAGTATGATAATATACGTCATCAATGCAATCGCTTTTTGTTAGGTGAAAGCCTGATAACTTACAGCCTTAGAAGTCTAGAATGCTTTGTCGCTGACTTTACTTTAGTTTCGTCCAGATGATCAAATAAATGAGTTTCTCATTTACACCTTACAGAATATTAAAAAAATGGAGTATTTTAGTTCTTTTACTACGGTCACAATGCATTATTTTTTTATCTAATTTAAATATCACCTAATATTTGTCAATTTGTTTCCCCAACAAAAGTGAACTTTTATTTTCAATAATTCGATTTTGGGCTTAAAAAATGTACCAGAAAAATAATTTCTTATGGTACTAACGTTTTGTGGACTGTTAAAAAAAGTTGAAGAAATTTCCTCAATTTGATAGGTACAAAAATAGCTTTCTTATGTTGAACAATGCCTTATGAATCGATTAGCCTGTGAGTGCAAAATTTAGGTGAATATGAGGAAAAATTCAGCCAAAAAACGCCTCTATTTTAGAAATATTAGAACTGGTTTCCCTAATTAATAAATTTTTAACGTCGTTAATATATTAATTAAGTTTATTAGATGGTTAAATTTTCTCCTAGGCCTTTTAGATATTTAAAATGAAAATTGTGTAAAGTTGGTCTATTGGACGTTATTTTGTATTGTAAATATGTTGCCAAGTTAAGAATGACAACTTTTTTTTTGTATATATGAGAGCTTTAAAATATTTTTAATATTTTTTCCTACACACGCGCGTAGGGTAAAGTTAAAATATCTAACAGCTATTACATTTTCCTTAGTGGTATTTTGTTTGTCCGAATTACAAAATTGCATATATCTCTCCTGATCGTGTTTGTTATGAAATAAATGTGTTTCAGATTTCCTAGTTTATATTACAATTGTCTTTTTAAGCTCACTTTAATTGTTTCTCTCTATGTAAAATTCTATTTGTGATAGACTATTCATGTATAAATGAAAAATGTATGTTTCTTAATGAATATGACATGTTTGTATCTATGATATTACAAAATATATACATTTAAAAATAAACGAACTGAACAATTTAATGTATCCATTTCTCCAATTTTAACAAAGCTTTTTTTGTCCTATACTTATGAATTAACCATTATAGAATATTCTACCAACTATTATTATAGTTATATCATAAATTTGTTTCTAAATCAGTCTGTTAATTTTAATTTTTGCATTTTATTGGATCAAATAAACATAAATAAATTTTAATAATTTTTCTAAAAGAACTTTTTCCGTTTGAATTTACGTTTCCTAGAGAGTAGTGAAACACCGTAAAATTCGTTTTTCAAAACTTTATTATAAAATTCTAAGAGAGAGAAGATACAACGAGAACAAACAAAAATGTAAACATGACATCCGTTGAACAAACGGTATAGTTAAAAACAAATAACATCAGTCTTGCACATATATGTTTGGAAATATATTGTGTTAAAGGTCAATTGATAGAAGCCATTCGTTGGTCAATGCTTCGGAAGCGGTTGCTCTTAAAGCAGGGTCGGGCTCCACTAAGGTTTCGAGAAGACCTGCGAATGGAATTGCCTCCAACCGTTTCCACTTGTATTTTTCTACCAAAACATCTTCAATTTTCCAGATTCGAAGATTTTCTTCCGGAATCTCTTTTAGTCTTCCTAAAATTTAAATATTTTGACATAAAATCGGATACAGAGTTAAGTGATTCACTTGCCATTGACGAAATAAGTTTTAGACTCGGTTCCAGTTTCTGTAATATATCTGGGAATCCCTCCAAGAGTCTCCCATATGAGGCACAAGTGATCAAGGTTCGCTGAAAAATCATTAGATCCCTTGGGACTGAATAACATTTCTCCTGTCGCTAATTCAAATGCCATACATCCAACTGACCAAATATCTGCTGGATAGCTATATCCCGCACCCATAATAACTTCAAGCGCTCTATATTGCCTGGTCTGGATTTCCTGGGAAAAATGGTGATCCTAAAGACAAAAAATGCCGGTCAGTAATGGTGGTGAGTTCTGCAATTGGTACGATGATTAAGTACCACCCAACAGGCGTTTCCTAAATCTGCAATTTTAATTTCTATATTCGGAGTAACCCACATAGGTGCATTAAAATTAGTTTGGCTATGTCTCTGCCTATAATTGACTAAATCACTTAAGTATATATCATTAGGATAGGAAGATGCCCTTTGCTCGCCAAATTTCGTTAAAATCTCATCGTCCGATTCATGTAGTCCTCGATCTTTTTCAACCCAAAATTCGGAACTAACTATAAACAAAATTATTTTTCATAGTAAATAAAAACCCCACATTCGACGTTCTTTACCATAAGATCTAGGCAATTCAACTCCTAATTCTGAAAACCTCTCCATTTTTCCAATGATTTGTCTTATATAGGACTCATTCACCTTAATTAAGATATTCTCGGGCTTAATGTCGGTATGAATTATATGACAGTCTTCATGAAGATAAGTCAGCCCTCTTAAAACCTGTACAAAAATATGTCTTAATGCTATTACTTACAAAGAGTAGCTTTTTACCTGAAATATAATTCTGCGAATTGGGGGCACCTGAAGCCCTCGGAAATCACTTTGAATAAGTAGGTGTAGTAAGCTTGGTCCCATTATTTCTAAGGAAATGGCAGTATGAACTCCATTTTCGCTAATCAGTTTAAAAGTATCTACCATCTGGACTATGTTTTTATAGCCCGGATGGTCGGGATTGATAGATCTAGTTTCCTGAAGAAGTCTTATTTCGTCGTTAGCGACTGCGGTGAACATTGGAGCTGATTTACAGATTTTTAGGGCCACGTATCTAGGACCACTGTAAGACAACTACACTTGCAAATAACACGCAACTTAGGCCGCTAACTTACTTTTCGGAAAGATTTTTGCATAGCCAGACTGTAGAAAAATGACCCCACCCTAACTTCCGACACACTTTATACTGATTTCTAAGAATATCACCAATGTTAATAGGCATATATCCACCAGCTTCATATTCGCTTTCGTCTTCTTGACTCTCTCGGTTTTCAATATAATGTAACTTCTTAATATCTTCTACGTCTAGGAGGCTTACGTCTTTCGTAGGCGAACTGAAATGCAATGCTATAATTTTTTTTCTCAACACTTAAGAATTCGAAGGGCAGAAATTACAAAAGAAAATATTAATTTCAGTAGACGCGTTTGGAAATTCATTTTTTGTGAGCAATTTGAGAGTTTTTTCGTATTCTAGCAATATGTATGTGTATATTTCGTACTCTTTCTGCATTTTGAAGAAAACGGAAAAAAAGGAAAATAGAATTAATGCTAATCGAATTTTTGGACCTGGAGTAAAAATATGTTCAACAGAAAAGTATAGCACCATTTTTTTTATCCCGTGAAGCTTCGAAGTCGGTTGCTTTTAACGGAAATGCATTTGGTTATTTATAAATACACTTACAATTTTATGTTAGCACATGACTGAGTCTTTCTAGGGAATATAAACACGGTTCGAATAACATCACGCTCAACAGCTTCGGTGTTCACTCCTTCGATTATTTCAGTTTCAGGCTTTCTTTGCACCTTATTCGACGGCTTTTTAAACTTTTTAAAAACCAGATATATAGTAAGGGGAACAAATGGTATAAGAAAATGAACAAATACTGCACTTAGTCCGCTGTAAATCACGCAGACATTGTAATCGAAATTGGTGGATTTGTTTGGAAAGCAATTAAATTGGTTTTCCATTATTTTTGTAACAGTAAATGCGCGCGCTACTCTGATATTGTTGTAATCCATCAAACCATTGTAATAACACCGTTCGCGTTAGCCATAACAACGCGAATTATGAAAATAGAACAAAAATGTATTTTAGAAACGTTCGATATCACCGTAAACTGCACCGACTCGTGTTGAGCCATCACTATAAAATACATTTGCCCGAATTTAACATTAAAAAACGACCAAACTGGATTTCCATTCGGATTTTCGCAGTCCACTCAAATTGTTACACAATGTCGGGTAGATTTGGATTTGCGATAAAAATAACTCGCCTTGGCAATCAACAAAAAATTGAAAACATATATCTAAAATTGTGTTCTAACATTTAAAGCGATCGCCGTCAACTATGTACTATTTACGCCAAGCTATCCAGAATTTGTGTACCGGAGTTCCTACTAACCTGGAAAACCCGGAAATTTAATTATCCAGCCTGCAATTTTTCAGTTGTCCGTCATTAATATTGCTTCTATTTTTTTATTACTCAACCCTGTTCTTGCCCAACTCAATTCAATTGAACAGACTCTTTTATTTGGTATTATGTTGAACTTTTTCAAAAAAATGTTAATAGCTTTTTACACCTGTTTAAAGGATTGTGGCGCTATATTATGTAGAACTGTTTTGTGGCAGAAACTTGGAATCTTACTTTAGTGTGAAATGCATATGAAATACCTGAGGCTTCCTCATTTAAGGAAGACATTATATTAAATGTGAAATCAAGAATAATTTGAATACCATGAATATTCTAAAGTTTTTAAGGCAACCTCAAGGTGAACCTGGGGAACGACTCTGAATAGGGCTTAAAGATCAGTAAGCAAGACACACTTACATTGAAGGACAGTCCCTTAAGAACACACTTGTTCCCCTTGATCCTGGTGGAGATAAAGATAGTGAAAGACAATCTGTTCGATCTTTGATGCTAGGAGATCTATATCGTTTGTATTCATGATGGCCGATTGTGGAACTGTCGGAGTTTGGCAAGTTCTGAGGTCGCTGCAGGGACGGAGACCTAAATTCTTTATAAGACCACTTATTGCTTCCGTCATCTTCGGTATCACTTTTGCTTTTGACGTTGTAACGTGATGTGTAACACGTCTCGGATGATCTGGAATATTCACCATTGTCTATTTTTTGTCTAAAACTGGAGCTCTGGAGATTACACTTCTATTAAAAGTTTTGGTTTTGATAATTGGATTTACGGACAGGTTAGGTAATGATCTATATTTTTGAAATATTTTCGGGAATGTTAGAACCAGTTAAAAACTACCTATTCAATTAAGAATTTTATGTACAAAGTATAAAGACTTATTAAAATATTAAGTATTTTATCCTTCCCAAATACCTATACGAGCTACATGTAGGGTGTGAACGAGTTTTTTATATAATTAACTAAATTGCTCTTAAAAGAACAAATAAATATAAATATATAAAATGTTTGCTTATTTGTTTTTATTTCTTCATTTTCATTTCATAAATTAAGAAGTTATTTAATATAAATATATATAATAATAAGCATCGATGTAGTAAGTTTATTTTGTTTTTTCGAAAAAAACGCAAAACGCAAATTACTTTAATCAAATTCATTTCACAATTCCAAAAGCGATGGAGTCTACATAACATACGCCCAGTATAACATGGCGATTCGTCTCAAGTCCAACGAATTAGGATACCTATGGCTATAGGATTCCGTATAATGAGAGTGCATTTGAGCTTACTGGTATAACGCTATTTTTTTTAATTTTGGAATTATATTATCCATATACTTTAATTGAGAAAATCAATTTTAGTGTGTTGTTTAAATGGAAATAGACAATGTAGCAGCTGTAGGGCGCAAAAGTTTTGTCATTACATTTAAAAATATAATGCAATACCTATAGAGAACCAAAACTTCCCTTCACAAAGAGATGCTCTAAAAAACACCTGGAGCAAAAAATTTTTATTAACTAATTACATACAGTAGTTAGTAATAACGAAATGACAATGAAATTCACAGTAAGCAGCTACACTCCTCGTTTATTTTAGCTAAAACTATATCTATAAAAAAGTTTGGGACTAAATACCTGCTCGATTGTTCGTCGTCTTCGATGAAAGATTTGGGATTGTGCGTTCTCTTGCAGTAGCTATCGAATGAAAACGAATGGTGTTCCGAAAACTTATTTTTTGGTGTGAGGGTGTTGATGGTGTCCAAAGGCGAATAAATTTCGGTGGTCGGGAGAGGCCTTGCGGCCTCTCCACTATTCGATTTAATAAGTGTGCCTCCACTCCTATCGGATGTCGTCTGGATACTCGTAGGAATTTCTGGAGCCAGAATGTTGAATTTTTTGTTCGGAAATTTTTCCACGATTTAATCGGTCTCGCGGTACTTTTTCTGATTATGTGTCCGACTAAACGCAATACATCAATCATAATGAAATTCGAGAAAAATCTCTTGATATGTTTCGGTGCGCGACATGGGATCTTGGAGCACCCGGGAATTAACTGGATCGACGCCCACGCGCAGAATCGCTATCTATGGAGCGTTCGATAATTTGTAGACCTTCTAAGCAATTTAATCTGGAATTGACTTCGTTCGAGGATTTTGTTTTTCTTGATCGAAATGGTTGCGTATTTATTTAAACGGAACATAAATATTTGGAGCGAGTTAATGAGCTTAAGATGAAATCGATATGCCATCAGAATCTATTTTATTAGTGCCATATAAATTCGCCAATCCGAATAGTCTTAGAACTTTAAAGGAAATAGTTTACAGAGCGTCCCGTCGATTTTTTTCACGACGTATAAGCTAAAATGGAGATAAAATTTCTCGGTCTCCGACGTCTTCGTTTTCAAGATATGGTGATATCATAGATGAACGATTTGTATAAATATGTTGGAAATCTATAAAGGTTAATAAATAAAATTTGGTAAAGTCATTGAATTTTTTACGCTACTGAAACGTAGAGATCAATTTATTCATGTCCATTGTTAAATTTAAGTGGTTTACTTCTGCAAATTTTATTACAAATTTGTAATTTGTAATTGTTTATAAAAAGTGATAGTCTTATCCTAATATTTTAAATACGAAGAAATTAATGCGGACAATGGTTTATAAGAACTTTTTTCTATATTTCGGGGTGTAGAATATTAAAACATTCTTATTTAATTTCAAGACCCCCTGTACAATACTAGTATTGTATAGTTCTTTATATAAATGTATTATTTTATTATGTTTTTATTTACTCGTTATAATTGTTACTGCTTCAGGAAACTGTGGGGTTGGTGTTTGTATGCGAGTAAAGCGCTTCCCAACCAATTGATGTTTTGTGATACACTGAACACGTCATCATTATCAATAGCAATTTTTGTTGTGGTTAGAAGTGCTGTAAAATAAAATTTTATAGTTATGGTCGTATTCTGCCCATTTTGTACCAATTTACTTTTTGTAGAAGAAAACGTGTCTACAAATCTTCAATTTACGTGCAACGTATGCCCAGTGTATTTTCCAGTTAGAAAGAATATTACTTATCGAAACTATTACAGGCTGAAGGTTAAGTCCATGCCTTAAACTTTATTTGTCCATTGTTTTAAATTTAAAAACATTTTAGGAAATAGACGACGTACTTGGAGGTGAAGAAGCGTGGAAGAACGTAGAATCTACAGAAGAAAGGTGCCCCAAGTGCAGTCACCCACGTGCGTACTTCCTTCAGCTTCAGACAAGATCAGCTGATGAACCTATGACGACATTTTATCGGTGCTGCAACTCAGAGTGTAGCCATAATTGGCGCGAATAGACCTGTCTATTGTTAAATGAATTGGGGAAAATTGTCTAGCGTAATTAATTATTCCATCAAACTAGATGCTCATTCTATGGCTGCTCGTATTCCGATTATAAGATCGGATGCTTTAAATATTGCACTTAGTTACCTTAACTTAGGATCGGTAATAGCGGTACCGACCGATACTGTTTATGGTTTAGCGTGTGATGCTACCAATCCCTCTGCTCTTGATAAATTATATGCTATTAAATGTAGAAGTGAAAGCAAACCTGTGGCTATTTGCCTCGGTCAAATATCCGAAGTAAAGTTGTGGGTTAGTATTTCTAATTGTAAACCGTTGCTTAATTGTTCTTACAAAAGTTTTTGTTTAGGCGAGAGTGAGTCATCTTCCTAAAGATCTACTTAGTGCGTTATTACCGGGACCAGTAACTTTAATTTTGGAGTGTATTAATAAGCTAGATAGTTCAATTAGTTGTCAGGGAAAGGTGGGAATTAGAATTCCGGATCACAGTTTTATCAATTGTTTAGCCATAGGACTGAACAAACCTATAGCTTTGACTAGTGCCAATTTAAGTAATACCCCAAGTGCGCTGAATATTTTTGGATTTGAAAAAATTTGGGATCGAATTCCCGCCATTTTTGATGGTGGTAATTTAGGTTCTGATCCTAGCGCTTCTACAATTGTTGATTTATCAACCATAGGCTTGTATCAAATTGTTAGGGAAGGTGTAGCTTGCGGCAATACTGTAAAAATATTATCCGATTTTGGTCTTAAAAGAAAATATGAATAAACTTTTAAAAAGTGTAAAATCATCATCAAACAAGAAAGACGATTTAATTAAGCATTCTATCACAACTCATCTATCTAACAGTGTGAAAGAGATTCAATATGTGGGAGTGGAGGAAGCAAAGTCTTCAAAAATTATTGATGTAACAGATGCTTCAAATCAGCTTTGTATGGCCGTTGAAGCAATGTTTTTGCATGGTTTAAGGGATTCTTTAACACACCGTTTTAAGAAAGCGCTTTCTGATTTGGACGAGAGACCAGCACCAAATTTTTGGGACCCCTTACTTGTTATATCACATAGACAAATAATCGACCAAGTAAGTAAAATTGATAGTTGGAAATTCATATTACAACTTATTTATGAAATTTTTATTTGTTACGGATTATTTTACTTTTAGATAACTAACCTCTCTCAAATATCTACAGAAGTAGGTCAGTGTAGGGCATGGGTTCGATTAGCGCTTAACGATTGTCTTTTATCCTCTTATCTGATGACTGTTCGACATGATTCATCAGCATTAAAATCATATTATAATATTAATGCTTATTTGCGAGATGGCGACTTGCTAGATATTGCCCAAAGACTTATTGAAGGTGTAGAAGCATTCAAATCATTTACATTGCCCAGCAATTCCAGCCTTTTAAATACATGGCCTTTGCAGAGCCTGATTTTGGCAGGCTTATGGGCGCCTACATGGAAGGCGTGTCCTGTAGCTCCCTGCGATGATGTGGCATCTATGCTTGACGATGAAAAGGCCCAGATTGTAGAAGAAGCTTCTGACACAGCATCATTAAGTTCTGCCGTGTCAGTAGCATCTACACATTCAGGATTAAGACAGATTGTTGCATTAACTGAGGATGAGGTTCTAAAAATTATACTGGCTAAGGACAAAGAAGCAAAATACATGGATCAACCCAGTTCATCTTGTGATGAATTAAAATCTACATGTAGTTCTGATACGGATTACAAAAATGTTGAAGACAATTTGAATCACAATGTAGGTAATTCTTTGAGTAAAAGAAGCGGATGGTCTTTTGATGAACAGCAGGAGCAGGATAGTGTGAGTGATAGTGAAACAAAGCCACCAATTGAGTCGAGCGAATCTAAATCTATGGAAGCTAGTTACACTGCTCTTATTGAGAGTTATAATATGCTTAGTGGGGGCTATATTAGGACTCCTGATATAAGAGAGGTTTGGCAGAAATTTGAAGACGAAAGGTTTGAAGAAACCCTTGCTCCTTCGGTCAACCCTGTTCAAGGAAGTGATGCGGCTCAAATTTCTAATGCAATATTAGTTAAAGGCGAATCTACGTCTCTCGTGGCACAAGTCAGTATAATAGCAAATGAAAGAGGTCTCGATTATCAAAATTTCGAGTGTGCGGGATGCAGACGTGCCTTGGGGGTGACCACCAGACCCAAGTAATATTTATTTAATTTATTTTTTTATTATATGCGGACCTGATGCCCGAAAATGATGAAGGTGCAAGCAAATTACAATAGTATCAATTTATTGCTAAATATGTACAGAATTTGCACCTTCTTCATTTTTCCGCAATTTCTTCATGTGTAAGTTACTTTTAGCGTATGTGGTTTTACCGGGGAATACTTTTGCGAATTCTGCATGAGCCCAGAAAAAATGAGCATTCCTGCAAGGATAATTCATAATTGGGATTTCAAGCAATATCCTGTATCACAAAAGAGTTTCGACTATATAAACGAAATTAAAGACCATCCCGTGATTGACTTAAAAGTAATGCGGTTTTTGATTGAGGTTTGAGTCATTTTAATTCAGTCATTTCAGATTGTAAATCCGTTTATTTATGGGGCGGTAGAAGAGATGGCCGAGTTGCAAAAATTACGAAATCAACTGAATTTCTTGAGAGCATATCTTTATACTTGTAGGAAGCCTGTAATTGAACAGTTGCAAAAACAAATGTGGCCTAAGGAATATATGTATGAACACATTCACCAGTACTCCATATCGGTTAGAAATAATAACTACCTCGGCTGGATTGGGTACAAATATTTTTTTATAGGACCTCCACGATGTAACAAGTGGGGATTTGTTCAAGGCGCTCGAAAAGGTTGTTCAATTTGGACGGGATCACGTTTTTAATTGCTGGTTGTGCAGTCAGAAAGGCTTCGTTTGTGAAATATGTGAAAAGCCTAAGGAGTTATTTCCATTCGATGTTGAAAATGTTTACAGAGTAAGTCCGAGAAAAACATCTATTTTGGGATTATTTGCTTTTTGTTTTAGTGTGATATGTGCTACGCAGTGTTTCATAAAAGTTGCCTTAATTCATCTAAACCGTGTCCCAAATGTGAAAGACGGAAAAAGAGACAAGAACTTCCTCTTCTTGGTGCTATTATAGTTGATTAATATTTTCTCCATCTTTGAAGGATTTTATTGTTGTTTTTACACGCCAAGGTATATCATGTTTTTTACAATGTCATCTTTAGCGAGTTTTATTTCAATCCCCTTGATTCAATTCAAAGAGATTTCCTACTTGGTACTTAGTCAACAACCGCCGCTGGACAGTTTTGTTGAGGTGTTAAGTGGCAAATAAAAAGAACATTTAAAACAAAAACATTATTTAATCAAACAACATTATTACAAATTGCTATTGCTAGAGAGCTTACTCAGGATAAAATTATTAGACATTGGTGCTACTATTGATACATGTATATCACAATCGCGATTGTAGACTGTTGTTTTTTACTAAACAGAAAATAAGAGCATTCCCGACGTTAGGTGGAAATGACATAATTTTCCCAATTAACCCAACAAATTTATAATAAATTAATAATTACATCCATGGCAGGTAAAGTGTCTGCCAAAAACCATGTTTCATTGGACCACATCTCTGGCTGTCAGAGGATGACATTTGCAAAATTTTAAGACTTCAGTTATAAGAATTAGTTAAATATCTGTTAGGATCCACATCTAGCAAAGAACTATGAGCTACAGTGTCTGGAATAGGCAAAGGTTTTGCGACACCTATCCTTACTATTCCTTTTGGTGCTCCTTTTAGTGCCTGTACTGCTTGGTCTAGCGAAGCGTTTTCCAGAACTGTATCATTAACAAACAATAAACGGTCGCCCGGAATTAATCTCCCATCTAACTGGGCAACTCCTCCAGGCACTAAACTTCTAATCACAATTACAGTGTCATTTGGATCAATGGGATCTTGGTAATCCAAAATTGAAAATCCAAGGCCTCTTTCCCCTTTGATTAACTCAATTATTTGAGGCTCAGAACTCCACATTGCTAGACCAGTAAGAGGTTCTAGAGAACGTGATTTCATTTTAGAAAAAGAGGTATCAGAACCTGCTACTGCTATACTGCTAGCTAATGACCCATCTGATTTTGCTTTTACCAAGCGATCTGATGCTGGTAGTAAATTGTTAAGGCTTCGCGTTAATGCTGCCCTTTCTGGAAAAGTCTCTTCCCTTTGTATAAAAAGATTGTTAGGGCTACGGCCACAGACCAAACAAACATTGATGGGCAATTCCTTAAGTATACTGACAACCTCATGGTGGTTCATTCCCAAAAGTTTGTGGCCGTTAACCTCAAGGAGTTCATCACCAGATCGCAAAGTACCGTTTTTTCCAACTGGTCCCTCGGCAAGTATTGATCGTATATAATGATGTGGTCTAACCTCTTGACCATCTTCAACATCTACAGTACCTTCCAAACTTATTCCTAAACCTCCCTTTTCTCCAAATTTTGTCAAATGAGCAACAACAATTTCTATATCCGGGCCCATCACTTTAGACCACTTCTTTATTAATTCTTCTTCAGATAGCATAGGTGGATCTTCTTTTTTAACAAAGTTGCTGGTAAAGAGTTCGTGGTGATCACCTCCATTTAAGAGACCCCCTTCTTCATTAGGATATCTGAAATTTATATAAAAAATACTAGAAATAGATTAACAACACAAATTACTAGGTCCAGACACCCTGAGTTACATTTAATTCTAATATGCAATATTAGTAGCGGAAAAGTTTACAGAGGTAACAACAGTGGGAAGCTACTAGTTTTAAGGGTTATACATTAACAGCAGTGTTCAGCTATTACCGTGACGGTGTAAGAGTAGGTGATGGAGGCTTTGTTTCACTGGCTGCAATTGCTTGTTGAAGTTGCTCAAATTTTGGGCCATGCAGATATCTTTCCAAACACAGTTTTACTACGTTGCCACAATTCCTTAACACTTCCACTGCCTGAATGTTGGAATATCCTTGGAGAGACTGGCCATCAACTTCCACAATCCTATCATTTACTTTTATTCTTCCACTTATATCAGCCGCGCTACCTTTGCTTACACTTTTTACAAATATACCCGATAATTCCTCCTTTTCACATACATAACCCGCAATAGTTATACCAAGACCATTTGCATCTTTCTTTAGTTCTACTACAAACTTTTCCATTTCTGGTATTTTAACTGCCATATCCAAATTCAGCAAAGGCAACGACGGAGAGGCAGGTATTCTTGACATGCCATATGACTGTGGTAAATCATTTGCAAGGACATCAGTATCCTTTCCAAATATAGGTGAGTATTTATGTTGCACAAGGTACTTATCTAATTCATGAGCATCAGGCAGTAGTCTGGTAGGCACTATTGGGGCAGAACTTCCTAAATATTTGTATTCTGTGGAAGAAATATCTACAGGTCTGGCCACTATTAATCTCACATGAGTACCAGATTGTCTTAATACAGTAGCTACCTGTTCTGAACCCATCTCATGCAGATTTACATCCCCGATCTGCAATATATATGACAACAAAGCTATTATGTCATACTTCAGAGTACTCAGAAAAAATTAATTTACCTGTAATATATGATCACCACTTTGTAATCTTCCATCTCTATCTGCCACTCCACCTGGTAAAATTGTTTTAACTACCACCCCCATATTCCTCATTCCAACTATGCCAAACCCTAGTCCGGTCCCATCATTTATAAGATCAATGCTTTCAACTTGAGACCATTCACTAGTAATCAAATTGTCAGATCCAGTTTTGGAAGCATCACTGCCAATGGAGGGTGATCTATGGATAATATCATCTTCATGGTTAAAGCTATTTCCCTGCAACAACCGAAACCCCTAAAAAACAAATTATGAAGAAAACTGTATAACCCAGAGAGAGGACGTCATATACCTCATTATTTAGGGTGCCATTTAGCTTCTGATTGTTAAGTAGAGAAAGCATTTTATTGTCTGTCGAAGCAAATGTAGAAGTCTGTGGTGAGTTTGGCGATATAGGAGCTGAAGGTACTCTTTGTTCATCAAAATCTCTAGATTGATAATCTGCATAATCTGGGTCGTATAACTCACCAGCTGGTGGGACATTAAGAACTAATTCACCTGCTGCTGTTATATCAAAATCAACAGGCAAAATGGAGGGATGTTGACCTAATTGTTGGTTTAATTCACTTAATGAATCTTGAACCGTAACAATACTTCTAAATACTGGATTTTCTAAGACAGAAATTAACAAATTTAGGTCCTGATGAGTGTTTAATTGGAGTTTTGGATCTCCTAAGTCGTCCACTGTTTGCTTGATATCTTCGAGCAACTGAAGAGCACTTGAAATGTCCGCGTTAAGATGCATGTTTAAAAAATAACCCAAAAATCGGTCTATAAAAACATAAAACTCCACCAACGTTTACACAAAAGTACCAAAAATGTAATTAACGAATCACATCACTCAAACTATTATTGACGACGCCTCTTGTTGGTCACAAGCACATTTGTTTTTGTCCTGTGACTTTCGCATCTTGCATTCTTGTCACTGTTGTCTCTGATTCCGTGAAATCCTCCTTTCTATTATCTATGATGCACTTCCTCGACACCTCTCAATTTTCACTTAAGTTAGTTATAAAGCAATATTAATAAAAGTATATTTATGCACAAATTATTTAGAAAATACAATGTAAATAAAATTCTTTAAATTTTTCGGTGAATGTGTGAGGTTTATCATTTTATTTTTACCAATTAATGACTCTGGCTAAGTGTCGGGACGCCATCTAACAGAGTGGAAGAAAATAATTGTCAAAAACATGTGATATTAATAAATTTGCTATAAAATTTTGGTGATTTTCCTTTTAACATTCGTCAGAACGTTGCCAAAATTGTGTGCCTGCCAACTCCCCCTACCAATTCAACTAGAATCGTTTGGATTTTGGAATCGAGCAATATCAAAGTATGCCATTGGACTCCTGGCAGAGAACCAGATTAACCTTTTTCGAACCACATAAGATTATTAAATGCACTATCAGTGGCGCCAAACTATTATTCACAAAGAAAAAATTACGAGTAGAATCTGTCACCACCCTTTTAAACATCTAGTGGGCTACAGGCTACACACTATTTTGTTTAAAAAAATCATCTCTGTCTCCAGATCAAGAGTGTTGTCACAGGTGAGTGACGGTTCAGAAAAATGCGAATAGAAATCGTGAATAGCTACACAACAATTCAACCTAAAATTTAAGTACATATTTATAATTTGTAGTACATCTACTTTAACAATTCCTGATGAATTCCACATCCTGGGAGCCCAAAATAAATAAGTAATCTTCTTTTTTCGTGAATATGTTTAGTTTAAAACTGCGCAAGATTCTAAACGCGTCACTGATTAGCGGCGTAAACAAAATATGCAGTAGAAAAATGCATAATTCCCTTCGGCGACGCGGATCACTAAATTGTAAAAAGAGGTTATTTTCCGCTTTTACAAAGAGTGAAAATATGAATGACCGGATATTTAAGTTTACCCATTATGACTGTATTGGATTTGATTTAGATAACACTTTGGCGAGGTATAAAGTAGGAGCTATGATTGAAATGGAATATGACATTTTAGCAAATTACCTTGTTCATAACAAGCAATATTCCGCAAAACATCTACTAAAGCCTTTAGACCACAACTTCATTATTAAAGGGCTGATAGTGGATAACGAAAATGGAAACCTACTCAGAATTTCTGGAGATGGAACCATCATACAAGCAACACATGGTACAAAGTTTCTGTCTCAAGAAGAGATAAAAAAATTTTATCCAAATTTTCGTTGGAAAGCTACAGACTTGTTTACTGAAAATCCTCTTCAGACCTGGAATGGGCCTTACTCAGAAAAAATGAGAACTTTACTTGATTATTATGATATTATTGCTGGTTTGGTATTTGCCAGGGCTGTTGATTCAATAGATGAGGGTAGTTGTGATATCAAATTATACAATATTTGGCCAGATTTATTAGAAGCCTTACAAGATATGTTTGATAGAGATCATTTTCAAAATGAGAAAGGAAAATATTTTGCTGAAATGAAAGCACATCCAGAAAAGTACTATTACCCATGTAGTCCGAATTTGCTTAGTTGGCTCAGTTCATTGAGGGAGAGGGGGAAGATGATTTTTTTGATTACTGGTTCATTTGTTGATTTTGCAACTCATACAGCCAGCCACACTATAGGAAAAAACTGGAGAGATTACTTTGATATTGTTGTAACCTTTGCTAAAAAACCTAGCTTTTTCACAGAACGTAGGAGTTTTATTGGTTTGCATGGTTTTAAAGAAACAGGACCCATAGACCTCAAACAACTTGCTTTAGGTGGTATATATACTCATGGAAATTGGACAGACTTGAAAGAGTTTTTCCGAATGCACAATAATATTAAAAAACCAAGATTCCTATATGTTGGTGACAATTTAGTCCAAGATATATATGCCCCAAATGTATACGCCCAATGTGAAACTGTGACTGTCTGTGAAGAGTTAGAAGCTGAAGGCGTCTACGGACATGAGAAGTGGCACCCTGATGAACAATTTCTATGTTCCACTGTGTGGGGTTCTTATTTTAAGTGCAAAGACTCTGGGAGAGTCACAAATTGGTATGACATTATGAAGAAACATTCTAAATTTTTTGTGCCTAGCATGGAATATGTTGCAATGTTCCCTGTTGATCAGGAATTTCAGAAAAACTTGTATTAAACAATTATCTCTTTAAAGAAATATGGAAATATTTATTGTTTTCTTGTTACAACCTTTTATAAAACATGTAGATAATAATAGTATTTATAAATAAAAATTATTTAAGTATTTTTGCCATTTTAATAACCAACTTTGTTATCCACAAAAAACAATGCCATTAAAATTTTGAATTAAATAAAATTAACAAATTTTAACTGCCATTGCAATGCCCATTCCCCCACCAATGCATAGGGACGCTACACCCTTTGTTTTTCCCTGTCTAATTAAGTTGTGGACTAGGGTTACAAGAATTCTAGCACCAGATGCTCCAATTGGATGTCCCAAAGCTACAGCTCCGCCAGTAATGTTTACTTTTGATTCATCTACCCCTAGCTCTCGAATTACAACAATGCTTTGGACTGCAAAGGCTTCATTCAGTTCATAAAGATCAACATCTTCTTTTGACCAGCCCACTTTCTGAAGCTACAAATTAAAAAAAATAATACACAGTTTTTTCTTTAAGATGTAATACAACATACAACTTTTTGAACTGCTGTAATTGGCCCAATACCCATACACATAGGATCAACACCAACTTCGGCAAAAGCTAGTATTTCTGCCAATGGACATAAGTTTTTGGCCTTAACTTGTTGCTCGTTCACAAGTACTAAGGCAGCTGCACCATCATTAATGCCTGAAGCATTTGCTGCAGTTACTGTCCCATTCTAAAGAGCTGAATCAATGATAGAGTGAAATATTGGGTAAGAAAATGCCTTACTGTTTCAAAACATGGTTTCAGCTTGGCTAAAGATGCTAAGGTACTATTGAATTTTGGAAACTCATCTCTGTCAATAGCTTTCTTAGTTCTCTTATCGGGAACACTAACAATTTCTTTTTCGAAATAACCAGCTTTAATTGCTTGTTCTGCTTTATATTGAGAATTCACAGAAAATGTGTCTTGTTCTTCTCTGGTGATATTATAAACCTTTGCCAAGTGCTCAGCTGGAATTGAACAAATTCAAAGTGAAATAGATGAGTGATAAAATAAATATACCTGTATTTCCCATATGTACTTTATTAAAATGATCAGTAAGACCATCAACCAAAAGTGTGTCATTTAAATTTAAATTTCCTAGTTTATTTCCTCTCAGATAAGTGGTATGTTCTGCTTTTGTCATACTTTCTTGCCCTCCTGCTACTACAATAGCACAATCTTCATTCTTTATTGCTTGGAATGCAAGTGCCACACTTCTGTATAAAGAAAATCATTCTTTATTAGGCAAAGATAATAAAAAGCAGCATACTTAAGTCCTGAACCACAAAGCATATTAATTGTGTAAGCAGGTGAATCATATGGAATTTGTGCTTTAACAGCAGCTTGTCGGGCAGGATTTTGGCCTTGTCCGGCGGTAAGGACCTGAAAGTAACAAAGTTATTTGCTGCTAACAATTTAACCACTATTTTATTGATCATATAATGAAGATGAAACATGTAAAATTTAAAACTGTTATGGTATATTTAAAAACAAAAACCAAAACTGCAAAAAAATTAAACGAAAATTGTGGTTGAAGTTATATTGCTTTTGACCTCAATATAACAAAATTTATCAGTATTTCAATAATCCTGAGAGATGATGCAATAATATAAGTTTTACGAAATTGCTTAATTGCAAGACTTACCTGACCTATAATAACCTGTTCTATATCATTAGGTGTTAAGTTTGCTCGGGAAATTGCTTCAGATATCACTATAGTTCCCAATTCAGACGCAGTAAATTTGTCAAACTGCCCTTGAAAATTTCCTGAAAAAATTCTATAATATTGAATATCATAATTATAAAGAAGCCTATATACCAACCAATAGCAGTACGACACCCTGATACAATGAATACTTTATTCATATTTTAATACTCTTATGTTAATAATATATAAATTATATAATACTTTAATGCCAGGATTGTAATACAAAAAAAAACAGTGCACTCTTCACCGCGATAGGTTTGTAAATGAGGTAGCCTTTCCTTTTTAACGGTAAATCTCACTGTACTTAAAACGAATCATGCTTTTTAAAATCGTTTTTATGTTAATTTAATGTGACCCCATTTTCACCCGGCACGTTTTGACGTCAACATCAACACAACGCATGGAAGAAACATAACCTAATAGTTATATGTTTTTTCGCAGATAACAGATTAGCCATAGAAAATGAGATGATGTTCTCGGAGAAAATAATTATGTTGGTACTAATGTCTTTCCTGATTACTGCGTTTAACCAAACCGCGCTCGTTTGTTTCTTTTGTAATTAGTAATTAGGTTGAACTAAAAATTGTGATTCGTTATTAATTAATAAACAATGTATGAAGTAAGTGCGGATACTTTTAGTTATTTTGTGGAAGCTTTAAATTAGTATGTTCTAAATTTACATTTTTCCTATGTTTTAAAACCTAACTATTTTAAGGTCTATCTAACCTAATACTTTATTACTTCTATTATTATTTTTATTATTATTTTATTACCAATTTCAATGGTCAAGAAGCCAACAAATTATATCTTTAAATTTAAATGGTTTTCACATTTCTTGCGTTTTTGATATATAGATATATAGAAAACTAAACTTTCCAGAAAGGATGCATATTTCATTACTCGAGCATTCTGTCCTAATAATTAACTAATTTAAAAGTTGGCATATTTATATGTCAAATGTTCAGGTACATTTCTTTAATATTAAATATGTTTTTTCATTTAGAACCAGTCATTTCAACAGGCCAGACCAGCCTCAAATGTGAGCCCTGATGTTCAGGGCTGGTTTCAAACTGTTGATAAAGATAGATCTGGCCATATTAATTGGGAAGAATTGCAGTCAGCATTAGTAAATGGTCAGGGTCAGCATTTTTCTGATGTCGCTTGTAAGTTGATGATTGGGATGTTCGATAGAGATAAAACTGGAACAATTGATATCTATGAATTTCAACAACTTTATACTTATATTAACCAGTGGTTGGCAGTATTCAAAATGTATGACAGAGATCAGTCAGGAAGTATTGAGGAACCGGAACTAAGTGAAGGTAAACAACCATTATTCTTAATAGATTTTATTTGTGAGAATATTTTATATGCAATTGAACGTGGAATATCTTTTAAACAACTTTATATGATCCAACCAAAGTTAATTTGCCTTTGGGTAAAATGGTTCATATTTTTGATTTTCTTATTTTTTACACAAGCTGTGAAAAAATCAATTTTAAAAATTAGAGAATACCTAAGCTTATATTAGATTAAGTTACACTGAAAAAACTGTATATGTCGGGGTTAAAATTACCTGATGGTCCAGTTAAAATTGGATAAGGCAATTCAACTGATAAGCCCCTTCCCCCAACATGCAAAGAAAAAGTATTATCTAACAAATTGCAATTAATACAATGGAATTGGAATGTATATTTGTGTGACTTTTTTTACCTAAAAACTCCTATCAGTTTGAATTGCCTTAACAATTGAATATACATTGGAAATTACATGCATAGTCATACATACATATTTCAACAGCACATTTATAATGTAGTTTCTCTCTTATGTTTAAAATAAGAGCTTAGTGTTATCGATTATAACAGCTATATGAAGTGTGTTTTGTTTTTACTCTAAATACGGAAAACATGTTCACTTAAATATAATTTATCACAATCAATTATAAATTTCAGCATTACAGCAAATGGGATTTAGATTCTCCCCTGAATTCATTAAATTTCTGATCGAAAGGAGCGACTTAAAAAATCACAAACTGATGTCAGTCGATCAGTTTATTGTTGTGTGTGTTCAAATTCAGCGATTTACTGAAGCATTTCGGGTAAAGGATACCGATATGAAAGGGAGTATTACCTTGGGCTTTGAAGAGTTTCTTAGTATTGCTCTAAACTGCTCGACATAATAGCTTCCTTTGATTGATGTAGATATATAGCGAAATTGAGCCATTCAATGTAATTATATACAGATCATACATTTACCTCTAATAAGGATTAAATTTGGGTTATCTAAAAATTAATGTACATATTTCATAGGCTTATTTTATAACGTCCTGTTTAAGAATTGTTTCTAACAGTTTTTTTACTCCTTTTATTGGTTGTGTCCATGAATTCTGGTGTTGTTCCAAAAATTTATTTAACATTCACTTATTTTTCACTTGATTAAGATCTTGCCCAACCTCATTAAGTAGGCAGTAACACTCGAAATAGGGAGTGCATAAAGAACACTCTATTTTTAGTAAAATTTAAAATCGCTCCTTAGATGTCACTGTTGTAAAAGTCCGAAAAATCTAAGAAAGGTATAGCAGATCTTTTGGCAATGCCCGCCTGGCTTCATTCATGACCTTTGCGCGGCATGGAGCACGTACTGTACCTTTCCTAGATTTGCTCGAATCTATATTACTTTGCCTTATCATTTACAGTTACCTCAGCCAACATTTATAGCACAGAATCTGTGATAAGATTGTTAAATCAATAACTTTGCGGAAGGTTCCGTCACAATCGATTTTTTTTTTTGGGATTTTCCTAGGTTCGGTTTGTTGATGAGACCAAGAAATTTGCCTAAACTAAAAGAAGTACATATTTTGCATCTCAACTCATGCATTGTTTATTTTAGGCACTACATTTTAAAAATAAATTTTATAGCTACTTTAGTAGATCTATTAAGCGTAATATATATTGTGCCCTAGGATCGTCAGTTCTTATATCCTAACAATTTCCATCTACTTTTTTTTTGTAAAATTCAATTGTTTATAAATGAAGATCAAAGCACTCCTAATGACTAGTTGTTCATTGGTTTTAATGGTGCGTGAAAACTTTAAAACTTTTTATTTATGATTATTTGACTAGATAGAAAAGTTGTTTAAAATCTAATTCAATCGGAATACTTTTAATTAAAATTTTTCAAGCTACACCTACGGCAAAATACTACTTTGGCCCAGTTACTGGTGCAATACCAAAGTTTTGAGGCAATCATAGTGTTGTCTAATTGTCTAATTACTTAATACTGGTTATTTGGTTTTACGATATTGGTTATATTGTCGTGTTTTTTTAGTCCGCAACAAAATATTAAAGAGTTTTGCGCATTTTTCCTTTATTATTTGACTGATTGTCTGAAGGACATATATAAATGATTTCCTGATATACCCTGTATATTGTTTAAGTATTTAAAAGCTTTTTCGGTTCTCAGATAAATGGATAAGCACGTAGGAAACCAAAACATTTTTAAGAATTTAGTTCGATTGTGTCCGTAGACCGTACTATTAAAATAAAGCTCTTTAATATTTTGACCTTAACAAATATTCCTGTCAATTATTTTTACAGCCGCTTTCTATTTTTAAATAAAATTGCATGTAATTATTTAATTTTATGGCAATTTTTTAATATTTATGGAGGTAGGAAAACGAGTTTGTGCCGTTTGTTACCGGTAATGAGATTTTACGAGTTAATTTATATCTTGTGTACCACGAATTGAAGTTTGTTCATACATCTTTAAAGTTACTGTTACTCGATGTTTTAAAATTTTTCATGTAAATATTTTCGGTCACGACTTCTAATTTCGATGTACTATTTAAGGTGCTTGGCGTAATAATAATTTCATTTGGTACCGTTGGACACAACAATGTTGTTTCATTTGATTCTTCCTCGTTTTCATTGTCTTCTCCGTCTTCTTCCTCTTCTTGTTCCACCACTTCTCTTTCTTCCGGTATATCTGCCTCTCTCAGTTCTAATTCTGTGAATAAATTAAATTTTTAAAAATAAAATCTAAGTTGTGCATTCTATCTTCACCTTTTACTTATTTTAGTAATGTTTGTACCGATATTTGCATATGTTTATGACACACGACGTGCAAATTGATGATTCATGCTTGGGATCTTTGCAAATGCAAAAATGAAACAATATGGAAACATATTTAGATGTTTAACGTTTTAATTGCAAAACGCGTTATTTGCGGTACCAATCGCTATTGTATTAAGCAATAGGTTTTAAAGATAATAGTGTATTTAACACATATTAACTTGTACTATCCAAAGTTCAAGCTAAATCTCTATGACTACCATTTGACATTTCATGGTGCATTATGCGAATTTTTATCTACGGCGAATTTAATGAGGTAAAATTTTTATTTAGATGTTCCCCGCAACCACCTTGTATATTTTATACCATGCATTTTAATGATGTCGAGTGACACACACAGAGTCATATCACATCACAATATACATAATATATACACATATCATCATCAAAAATTATTATTTATTGCGAAAAACTCACATGAATTGAACAAAGTTTACAGGGATGTAGATGACGAGTAATCATCATACGAAGCTATAAAACACAATAATCATATATTTTTTATTTTTTTATTCCGATATTACCGAATATAAAATAATTTCCGATGTTTGAATAACAAAACCGGAATTGACCAATCTACCGACAAGTGGAAGTTTTATTTTAGAAATTGCAATCCGGAGTTAGGATTTCTTTATCAAAAAATGTGCGATACGAACTGAAATCCTGCGCAATACTAAGAGGGTGGGACAGAAAACCTACCAGAACTTTCCGTAATAGTCCTCGATCCTTTGGTATCTGAATCCATGCCCATAGAGAAATTCTGTACATTAGCCGAGCTTTCAATCGACGAAGATCCTGATACTAAAGTTCCAATTGACGTATTTTGTGCACTCGTCGATGGCTCGATAGCGGATGACGTCGTTGGTCCCGAAGACATGGATTCGGGTACCATGAGAGTAACACCGGCGTTGACGGGACTCGATGCGATCAATGGTCTTTCCCTTTCAGACAAATGGGAACAACCGGAACTGCAATAATGTTATTGAAAAGCAAAGCTTTTTAATTAATTAAACTTTACCTAAGGGTGACCTTCTTCTTAATCCTATTTCCCAAATCCGAATAGCCTCTCTGAATAATAGGCCTTCTTAGGGCAGTAGGAACGACTTGTGGGGGAGTGAACGACTTTGTTATTGGGGAGTTGGGTTCGGATAATTGCTTATCTATTAGAATCGATTTGGGTTTAAGGGCGACATTCCCACTGGAGGTCCAATGGTTAATTATAGCAGTTTGGCATACGGAAGTGGGCGGGGTCGAGGAAACCGAACTAACTGTAATACTTCTGGGGAAATCTGTATACGATTGACCGTCGACGTACGCGATTGGAGGAAGAAAGTATTTGCGGTCTTCCACGTACATTTCGAAAAATTGTTCCAATTTTGAAAACACGTCGTCCACCTGTAATAAAAAAGGGAGTTACGTTAGTTAAGAATATATTAAACGGAAAATCACTGAACATATTGAGTTCAGCATGTCCTGGTTTGTGGAGATTGATTTCGGGTTTTATTTATCTCTAAAATACGAAATATGGAATAAAGTCTCTAAATATACAGATCAACTTAGAAACGATAAACTTTGTAGTTTTTGCCGAATAAGTTTTAAAATTCGCTTTGTTTCAAAATTTGTTTTTCGCAATTAACGTTATCTTCGAAACACTGGTAATTATTTCACTTTTAAATATCCGAATAACAATTAAAATAAAAAATATTATTAATTCAATCAAATCATTAATTATTATTAATTAAATTAAAATTATGGTTATTTGAGGTTTTGTTTTTCAAAATCAATTTTGTTTTAATTTTAAAAAAATGTACTTCGCAAATAAAAATAACTAAAATTAAAAAAAACTTAGAATTGCTACATAAATAAGAAAAATGTTAATATTTGCATTCGTAAGGGAGTCAGTAATAACATTTTTTGGTCTCGGATTAGACATTAATTTAATAATGGCGATTGGGAGTTTCCCAAAATGACTATTCTTCATCATAATTACATATTATCTGCGAAATAGAAACAAAATATAAATAGTTTTTTATAAATCGAACTTGCTGACGTTTTGCCAATCATCGTCATCAATCATTGGTTTCTTCAGACCTTAACTGAAGCTGGCTCGCATTCTATTCTGTACCAACTTATATACTAATTGAGGGGGCGGAGCTGAAGGAGGGGCATGAACGTCGTCTCGGATGATAGACTGACTGATCTGAGATTTCAGATCTTGAGATACCAGGAGTTTACAGTATTCCATGCATATGCGGCAAGTACATTGGAGAGACAGAACGAAACATATGAACTAGGCTAAAAGAACATGGAAGACCCTTAAGACCATAACAAATAAACCCATCAGCAAACCATCATGCAAGCTGACATAAAATCTTAGTCGATAAACCTAAAATTCTCGAATGTAATCAATTCTTCTATCAAAGCAAAATTCGAGAATCCATAGAAACACCTTAACAACCAAACAATTTTAACCGCGACTTTCAGCAATATGGGAATCAGTGATCCGATACAATATTACTAACCCTCCTATATACTATACCCTCTTTTAGTATATACGGAAGTGTAAAAAAACATTTTTAGACGTTCCTATAAAAGCAGCACTTATTATAATATTTAACTAGCTGGACGCTTTGTTTTAGCTCTTTCTAGTAGTTATTTGGGATTTACAATATCTAAAATATTGACTTTTATTTGCATACTAAATATTTTTTTCATAAACCTATTTGTAATTATTTTATAAGCAGACTTTGTTTATTATTTCGAATTGTAGGATCTAAACCTGGTAATAAAATACGGGATGTTCGATTTCAAATTACGGATAGATCAATTGCATTTAACGCTCTTCTTGCCAATGTATTTCTATTTGTTTGTTACTCAAGGGTTTTTTTCGTATTATTATTAAATGTGTAAAGGCCTGCGCAATATAAATTTTATTATAATATTAAGGAATTGCATTTCGCAAAAAACGCGGTTAACGTTAAAAAAAAGCACCCCTACAAACTTCACCCAACTCATCGAGAAAATAGAACCGATTTGTATTCAAAGAAGCCAGAAAATCACATCGTTTCTGCGTTGGCGTTGGTTTTGGTCCGTGCCGAATTCACCCCTAAGTTCCAATCTAATAAAAATTTCCATTCGAGTTATTCCGTTTGACGGTAAATGTGACGTCATTGTTTCGTACGTTCAGGACATTTTTTCGATTTTACTCAAAAATTATTTTTCAACGAGTTGGATTCGTTTTGCGAGCCGGAAAAATGATTTACCTGTCTTTCCACCTTTACCACTCTCGATGCCAAAGATATTTTCGATGCGTAAACGTCTTTCGATTTCGAACCTTGCTTTCCCAAAATCTGATCTAGTCTGAAAATTAATTGTAATTAAACGTAAAATATTTAGAATTGTCGTTCTGCACTTACCTAAATTGCAAATTCTTTACCCTATTGAGCAAATCGGCGTGACCCGACGAATATTGTTCTATTACGTCTTTCACATCATAGGGCTTGAGCGCTTCCCGAAATTTTTTCCTCGCAACGAAATATTTCATCTGATCGAAAATACAAAATTTACCAGGTGCCAACAATAGAGTAATTCAAGGTATACGTTTCATCAGATTTACAGTTACTTGAATCTCGGTATCCCGAAATTGGAGGTTAATATTATTTATATAATTATTCGAAGCTCTATTTGCACACTTAATAAAAAATAAATTATTAGCCCAAATTTTCTAGCTAAAATTGCCAAAAGTCAACAACTAAAATAGAGGCAAATTTTTCCTAGTGCGTGAAGATAAGCTATTCATTTGTTCGCAAAAAGATTAGTAAGTGTGCAAAATTGTATTGGATTATCTAGTCGGGTTTCCAAAATATTTATATAAAATATTAACAAAAGGCAGACGTTGTGTAGCCTTGTTTATAAGAACTTTTATTTGACATGTTAATTGTAATGACCGACTAAATAAAATGTGTTTCTATGTCGCATGAAAATGATCTAAACCGTATGCATAATCTCAAATTTGTAATTGATTTTCGATTTTCTCTATTTGATTCCAAAATACTTTTGGAAATTAGAAACTTGAATCATATAATAACTCAAATAAAAGGTTCTTTTGTTTATAATTAATTGCTATCTAATGTAAAAATAATAAATCCTAATTTAGAAATGATTTGATATCGATTAAAATGAACATTTATTTTCACAGCTCTATAACTTAAAAACTGTTGGTCGGGGAGAATGTACGCATAGGAACTTTTTGTAGCAAATTTTATGCTCTACAAAAGCTATACACGCGTTTTTCCCAAAAAAAATTCCTCACGTCGAAAAATGAAGTGAAAACCGAAAAACAAAATTTTTCTGTGTTATTTAAATAGGAAAATGAAATTTTTAAATGAGCTAAGCCGCTATTGCACTTAAAGCCTTTTACCCGGCGGCATAATTTTTTATTTTCTATAAAGTATCAGATTTTCACGTAGCACAGAGAAAAAAGAATATCGCCTAAAAATGAAGCACCCCAATGCTGACATACAAAGCGCTTTGTTGAGAAAGGTTGTAAAATTAATCTGAATCATGTTAAAGGTGCGGTTTTTTTGTTTAAATTTTGCATTTGAATTTTTTTTGTAACTGAGGTTTCTCCTGGATGCAGTAAACGATATTATTATTATTAGCTTTATTTTAGGACGCCCTGTAAGAAAAAATTGATATAATTTTTGTTATAAAATGAATGATTTTTTCTTGATAATTTAATTAATTTAATTTAATAATAAATAAGTAAATAAATATCCGGAGAAGTGGCTTAGCTTAACTTCGCTCGTAATTCTTCCGAAAACTCTTAAAAAATTACGTCATCAACTTCGGCCGGACAAAATTGAGAAAATTGGACGTTAAAATTAGTCGCCGAAGATAACACTCTTTCTCCTCGTTCGCAATTTATGTAGCGGAAAAAGCGGGAGGAATTGAAATACTAATAGAGATAAAATATGAACCTTAAATCGAGCGTCAAACTGAGCAAAGAAAGTTATACGGACGAGCTTTTAAGGCCTTCCAATTTTGAGTTTTTTTTTTTCGTTGGAAAATGTTCCGGAATTACGTCGCATAAAAATTTTATATCATACTCTGCGCTCTCTTTGTTATTTCAAATTTTCTTTCCCCGTCGAAACGGACGTAATACGGCAATTTCCGTGTTGAGGGACGAATTCTATTTTCCGTGGTAGTTATTGATACACGAAACGTCAATTTTTGTATATTTAAACAAACGAAACTAAACTACAACCATTTTTTTTGTTGAGACCTTATCTCAGAATCTGTAAAGAATATCAAAAAAAACTAAGGACAAAAGTTGTTTATAGATTTACTTATACTTTTAAAATATTATTTTTCTATATACATCTACATGGTATTTATATTTTAGTGGAGAAGTAACTGTTATTTTAAGTACAATACCTACAAAACTATCTTATACCTATCTGACATATTTTGAATTTTATGTCAAAAGCGCCAAAATTTCCCGTCTGACATAGATGGAGCTCCAGTATTACGATAAAACATTGTCTTCTTTTAAATATATATCTTAGTAGGCTGCGAAAAACAAATTGAAGTCTTGCGTCAAATAGTTTTTTATTGACAGCGTTTTAAACAAGACGTGTCCGAAAAAATGTCGCAAATAACGCAAATTGAGTATAGAGCAGTCATAAAGTTTTTGACAAAAGAAGGATTAGCACCTAAAATTATTAAAGAAAGGCTGGATGGTGTGTACGGCCAAAGTTCTCCTTCGCATTCTGTAGTGAAAGAATGGGCAAAACGTTTTCGAATGGGGCAGGAGTCCCTTGAAGATGATTCAAGAACTGGTCCAGTGGAGGTCATAACGGAAGTTATTGTTGCGATTGTGGAAGAAGTAGTATTGAGTGCTCGACGTTTAAAGGTCAAGGAAATCCCAGAAATTACTAAGCTTTTTGATACAAGTGTTCGTTGAATCCTGCATGATCATTTAGGTATGCATAAGGTTAGTGCAAGATGGGTTCCTAAAAACCTTTCGGCTATTCAAAAACAACGCCGTGTCGAGTGTGCGCGGTCTCTGGGTGTCGGAACCGAAGCCGTGTAAACCGTCGAGGAAAACTGATCAGATGCGTGCGTTTTTTGCACGATAATACACCTGTCCATACTGCTGGTGTTGCACAAGCTGCCATTTTAGAATGTGGGTTCCAGCAGATAGATTATCCTCCCAATAGTCCAGATATGGCCCCCAGCGACTATTATTTGTTTGGATATTTGAAAAACGTGGACAAACCGCCGTCCACGTAACGAAGTTGGGTTTTGGCTCATTTTGCAAACAAACCAAAAGAATATATTTTTAAAGGGATTGAGTTATTAATAAAGAGATGTAATAAGTGTATTGAAATTAAGGGGGATTATGTTGAAAAATAATAAAAAATGGTAACTCTATTTTGTTTCTTTCATATTCAGCCCGCGAAATTTTGGCGCTGCCCTCGTACATTTGGGATTGGTTTTCTTATAAAAGAGGATCTACTTTAATAACTACAGGGTGAAAAAAAATTAACATTAAAAATTGTAAGTTGTTTTTTTCAGCGATCATAATAATAGTGACTTTGAATAAGGTTACCGATTTTAAAAAGTTGTAGATTTCTAAATATGAACAATAAAATGTTTTTTCATAAAAATGCTATGATGACTGAACACGTTGGAAACAATCGAACACTATAGAAACGCCACTATTCTGTGAGTGGAAATCAATGTTTAACTGTTTTATGCCACCTAACTTAGCCATTTTTAATGCTATGGTTATTTTAATATAAAAAACGATCTCAACCTTTTTTTGAAATAAACTAAATAAAAGTTTTTTATTTTTTACAGTCGGAAAAAAATTATAATATTAATATAGAAAATAGATTTTTTGTAAAAAGATTCCAATGGGTGTTTTTTTCGATGTATAGAACTTTAAGTTGGCATTACTGTTCAAGATGGCGACCGATTTAACAGCTGTCAAGTGATTTATTCTCAGTTTGGTTTGGCAATTCATCAAGTAAGGCGTAGATTCGTCGAATGGGCCCAAAACGAGATTGCCGTTGTTCCCGATTTTCATAAGCGAGTTTTGTTTAGCGATGAAGCGCATTTCTGGTTGAATGGCTACATCAACAAACAAAACTAAAACTGCCGCATTTGGAGCGAAGCTAATCCTCAAGTGTATGTCGAAACACCGTTACATCCAGAAAAACTGACTGTTTGGTGCCCTTTATGGGCTGATGGAATCATTGGTCCGTACTTCTTCAAAAACGATGATGGCCAGAACGTTACAGTCAATGGTGATCGGTATAGAGCTATGATTACTAACTCTTTCATTCCTGAATTGAATAAGCATGATGTCCAGAAGATGTGGTTTAAACGAGACGGCGCAACATGTCACACAGCCCGTGCCACAATCGATTTATTGAAAGGCACGATTGGTGGTTTTGGACCTGTGAATTGGCCTCCAAGATCTTGTGATTTAACACCGCTAGACTACTGTCTGTGGGGCTATGTAAAGTCATTGGTCTATGCGGATAAGCCACAAACGCTTGACCATTTGGAAGACAACATTCGCCGTGTTATTGCCGATATACGGCCACAAATGTTGGAAAAAGTCATCGAAAATTGGACGTCCAGATTGGACTACATCCGCGCCAGCCGTGGCGGTCATATGCCAGAAATCATATTTAAAATGTAATGCCACAAGATTATCTTTCGGATAAATAAAATTCATGTCAATCGAATAATCCATCGTTGTTTTATTGCAACTTAAAGTTCTATACATCGAAAAAAAAACACCCTATATTTATATCAATATCAATTTATATATTTATAGCCTATTAATACATTTTTACAACAGAAAAACATTTTATTGCTAATAGTTTGAAATTTACATCTTTTTTAAATAGGGAACCTTACATGAAGTCACATTTTTTTTTAAATGCTAAAAAAATTAGGGTGTGTGTTTGGCCGCCCTGTATTTTTATGTTTAAAATATCCACAGATCCGCTTCTTTAGGAAAATCAACCTCAAATATATGACAAAAGGCTTTCATTCTTCAGCTTGAATATGCAGAGTGTTCCATTTAAAATAAGAAAGTTATTATTTGTCCACATAAAAAGTAAAAGTATAAATGAATCCGAACAAGTTTTTAACCGATCCACCATTTCCAGATTTCCGCGTGTTGATTTTTTTCAATAGAAAATTTATTTGTAATTATTTTCTGTAGAAAGAAAGAACCAATCGTTCAGTCGAGAAAAAATATATAAAAAAAACTCATAATTTTTCCCTTCGAATGTAACGTTGAAAAAAAAATAGCTTACCTTTCGAATAGCTCGGATAGCGGCTTTATGTTGCGACGTCAGTTGCAGCAGTTGCGGCTCTTCATCATCCTCTGGAAAAATAAATCACATTTCTTAGCGTTTTTGCATAATAAATTGATATTTATATTGCATAAAGCGATTTTAATGTCAGATTGAAAATCGGTCTGCAAAAAACCTTTGATCACTCCCACAGCACGACTCCATTCGGAAGTAATTTCCTCTAAAGTAAGAAATTCGCCAATTTTCGTATTCACCGGATGACCGCAGCTTTTCCGCGGATTTCACTTATTTTTTTTTTTTTCGATAACTCCTGCTCGCCGTCGAGATGTTGCTATCAAAGGAGCATCGAAAAATTTTTGCCATTAATTATAGGTTTTAGACGTTTATAAAATCGCAAAATCTGTAGGGAATATTAATTACGAAATACCGGCAAAATCATTTTTCAAGCGCTGCCTTTCGCAGACGGGAAACCATCGAAAATTCATTGGAAATAACGAGGCGACAAATCTCCCAACATAGTCATTTCATTTTCCGAGAATATATCGGAAATCTCAGTCCAGAAGATAAAAATCACCTCCAACAATTAATTCGAGACCAATATTCCTGAGGTCGTGTTTTTCACAATGCCATTCCGAGAAACCTTTTGTTCCCTATAGTCACTTACTTAGCTACGCTTTCCTTTTAAAACTTTCGACCTATTGTAACTTGGTGTATTTTAAAGGTTTTCCCTTTATGAACATCGTCATTTTTAAAATATAGCGGGACGGCAAGGAAAATGCCGCAATAACCTTTTTTAATTCGGTTCCAATGCGGAAAAAGACAAAATATTCATGTTGCGGGATTTTAATTCAACCTCGGTGAAATATCTACAGGTTTTAAAATTGTGTGAAAAGAATTTTCTGAGATCGTAGTAAAGGTTTTAAACCTCTCGAAGCCACTTGCCACCGAGGTATCGCACAATTCTGACCTATAAAGTCTGCTGGTGAAACGCGAATACTGTAAGCTTACCTTCTGGATTTTCAATCGTAACTCTAGTTTCATTGACTGTTGAGACGGAATCCTCGCTGTAACTGGCATTTAAATTATTCTTAGCGCCGTTGGCGACGCTGCTGCCTGTAAAAATTAAATGAAAGTGCAGTCGGAAATTTCTCACGTGGCAGCTTAACACCAAATTTGCATTATTAAGTATCATCCGGATTAACTTGCTTAGTTTACATTTCCTGCTACTACCCATATATTTGTTTGTTACGAGATGCTTTGTGGTTTAATACATCTTCCTTAGTAAAGTTGAGTTAATCCTATCGACTGCGCCATTTATATACATTTATATTATACACTTCCCATCAAAATTAACGCATGGCAAGTTCAGAGCTAACTAATTTTCTCGAAAATTATTTTCAATTGTAGTTTAAATTTTCAGAAACCATGTTATATTTTTATTTAAACTTAAGTTTTAGGCATGTACAGAGTGTTTAAAGAAAAACTAGGTGTTTAAAATTCGAATTATAGCTATTTTCCGGCAGTTTCTGGTAAAGTTCGTTCTTGAACATGGCTAATGTTTCTAAATTTGTAGCTGAGAAAAAGAAAGAAAAGAAAAGTTCCTAAGCGCCACCAAAACTCAATATTTAGATTTGCAGAAATAGTGTTCAAATATGACACTTCCAACAAATGCTAGATATTATTCCTCCTGGGTCTGTTATAATCAAAATCCGAAAAAATACTCACCTCTTCTTTCATTTCACAAAGATATGCTGAAAAATTAGCTACTGGAGGTTGTAAATTTGAATAAACCTCTATCGACGAAATCGCTTGAAAACACAAATTGCAATTTACATTTTATTACTCTCTCTCATTAAGAAACATAGTATAGGTTATAAGTGTTATGCGGAAATACACGGAATTTAATGTCAAACGCAACAATTACAGTTTGTTATAGAAAAATTGAGACTAAATCATAAACATTTTAGTGGTATGCCAGTTTTAGATATTAAACAAATTAATACTAATCATTATAAAAATAATACGTCTGTCTTTCTGAATTTCAGTTTAATTCTTAGTTCTTAAAAATAATACAAAATAATAATGCAAATATGTAGTACCTACCAAATTTTTAAATAAAAAAGTTTAAAAATAATTTGTAGGTTATAGGGTGTCAACGAGTATAATATTTATTTTTGCTTAGTTTGAAGTTGATATCTTGAAATACATATAAAAATCGATATTGATTTTATCGGTTTATGTAATTTTTTTTTGTTGATTTTGAAAGGACTATATATTAAAATGATATCGTCATCATCATCCCACTGCTTGAAATTAATACAAAATTCAAACTCAAATTATCATTTTTGCAGAATTTTACGAATACATTTTTGTATTGTGCGTGCAATAATGTATTTTCGCAATACTCTGTTGTTAAAAATTAAAGTCTCCCGATTGTTTTGCGATCGTAAAACTTGGAAACCATTGCCTTTAAAAAGTATAATAAAATATTTCATGGTTTGTTGGTACTTGTTGCCTACAGCTACTTCAACACTTTACTTTTATCGCGCAAAGTGGATTTTTTACGGCTGGATTTTTATAACTACAAAAATTGCTTTTCGTTTTAACAACGTTTAAGTCACGTTTCAATTACGTTTCAATCACCAACGTTTAAATCACTGTTGTTTACCCAATATATAGAATATTTGACACGTGCAATTAACAAAGAATATAGATATGAATTTAATATAATAAATGAACGTAACAATCTAAAACTAAGTGACTTACCAATGTTTTCGTTTGAGGTCGTGATATTTTTGGGTCCTACGTTGCGGTTGTGAATCAGTGATGGCGAGTGAAAACTTGATGACATAGTGCTTCGATGTCTTCGAATGGTCGACAATCTTCCCACGAAAGATGCGTTGTGTCTAAAACTGCTCGATGCTCTCCTGTAAAATTATCGATAACTCTGAGCTTTAGTAATAAAAACTTTGAAAATATGCGGGATAGGAATTCTAACACACAGATGCTCAATTTTTTAAATCGTGTATAACAAATTGGCGGTGGCGCTTAAAAAACATTATATTTCAAAGGTAAGTGTAATTTCTTTTTTATCAATATATTAATATTACTATTAATATAAAATTTTTATACAAGCACCTGATAAACAGGTTTTTCTCCACAAACAAACTTACCCAAGTGATATTGTATAAGATTCCGTTTAGGAAAAAACAATTTCTTCATTTTTCACGTTCATACAATTCCCGGGTGGCAATCTTGTATATTTAATATACACACCCACCGGAATTTTCGACTCCTTAAATCTTTACTTACACAGGTGGACTATAAGGTATTTGATGTATCTTCCATGTAGCTTCCGACATAGACTTTTCATCTGCCGCGTAACATCTCCACAACGATTGGATCAGCATCGCGGCAGGCTGACGTCGCCTGATCATATGCTTCTGTCTTTGTTGTTGTTGAACTTTCAATGCGAATCCTGAACCGAGAATTCCCTAAATATATTCATAAAATTGATTTTTAAAACTATTGCCTTCGAAGAAGAAGAAGAAGAAGAAAAGATAGAGTGAAAGCTTTACTTTCTTCTTGTGTATTTTCATTCCAACTCTCACCACTTGGGTATCTACAGTCAGCATTTCACACAGACTAACATCTAGGCTAATAGCCAGGGGTAAACCGCAGTATGAAGAAACTCCCATGGAATAACAAAGAATGCCAAGTAATTCTGAAGGTGTTCCGGTTGAATTCGGAAGAAGAAGGAATTCCGAGGAATTATAAATATAAAAGGAATTACGGTGTACAATCTTAGCTCATATTACACACGAAACGAAAGTTTACATAGTGTTTACGTTTCTTTGTCACCGAATTTCAGTTTCGGGAAATAGAAGTTACTTTCGAAATAAGGGCAATTTGCGAATAAAGCGTGACGTAAAATTTACGCAAGCAATTTGTCCTGTCGAAAACAGCGTAATAGCTTTTTAGTTAATAAAGTGCGCGTTATTTATTGCGTGATCGAGTCCGTATTAATTACAAAGTTTGTGATCCTCAGAAAATATTCCAGAACTCGAATCAACATTTCTAGAACGTTGTCTGATTTTTTAATCGACAATGTAATACGGTAAGGCGTAATATAACGAGGGATACACTTACCGCTGGTAGCGCAAAAAACGAAATCCCCAACAACGAACAGAATGAGGCAATTATTTTGCCCTGCCATGTGGAGGGCACCATATCGCCGTACCCCACTGTGCACAGGGTTATCTGAAATAATTAATTGAGTAGTTTTCCCAGCACCTCCAAGGGTTCGTTACTATCGAAGATAAAATTAACAAAGAAGGACACACTCCGCGACATTGGTTCTAAGGTTTCCGAAAAAACTTACCACGCCCCACCACAACGCCTGAGCGAAATTGCTGAATTTCGTTCCGGGAACGTCTTTCTCCGCTAAAAATACTAGAAACGATGAAAAAATTAGGCCCAAAAATCCAATATATAACGTGGTTATAAGTTCCTGGAAAAGTAAAAAATTTGTGCCAACATTTTTCGGATAGCATTAATAAATTACCTGACGATGCGCGAAAACGACAGAACCCAGTAACTTCCAAGTACCTCCCCTCCTGTCCATGCGTACCATTCTAAGAATTTGAAAAAACCTAAGTCCCCTTAAAGCACTCGCTGCCAGCACCTGCCCTCCAGATCTCATTGTTAGTACTAGAACTACTATCGAAGCTATAATCGTTATTACGTCTGAAAAGGAAATAATATGTAAAAGTAAATAATTATTATTAATTTCTTCTTTTTCTTCCTATATCATAGATCCAGAGAGTCCGTAATTTGGTTGCAAATAGAGCAAACCATTAACTCAAAACGCGGCAAATTGGAATCCCTACATGAGGAACAATCCTTCCGAGAAATAGCATTTTAGCACGCCATGCCATAAATCCGCTAAGATATAAATCTAATTTTTCTAGAGTATGGTAATTTTGTTTTACTGCTGGGCAATTTTGCCTGACAACTCGTAGAAGAACCTGCTGTATTGTTTAGTTTATTTCAAACAGCACTGTTTTGTTAAACGAAATGAAACAAACTACGAAAAATTTAGGTTGATATTTAAGAGTCTTATCGTATAATAGATATTATAAATTGAGTTAAAAAGCATTGAAATCTGCTAAGAATGCCGGTTGAATCGAATATGTGTTGCTGCTATGTTAAGATGCAGTAACATTGGCAGTGATATCACGGCATAGTAGACTTGAAGGTAACGAAAAAGCACGAAGAAAAGCACTACTGACACCCTTTTAGCAATGAACACATCAAATCTGAAAATTCTTTTAATGATGTACACCGGACACTGCAGCTTCAAATGCCATATGCACAAGATTGGCCAATGACGTCTGTATGTTCGAATAAAACAGGTTTAAAAAAAATAAGAAAGTAAAAATATTGACCCCTATCGATCTTTTGAAGTACAGTTTTGCTGACAAGAAAATCTAATTAATATAATAATAATAATTTCAAGAAGGTACCTTGTTGAAACCTGCAAATTTTGACATTAAGTTATATAAGAAAATCTGAAAATATTAAAAAAACATTTACTGGCCTGACGGTTGCATTTCTTCATAGGAATTTGACTGAGGAGCCAACTAGATCCGCGACTGGGATTTCCTACTATTTACAAATCGATGATTGTAAACCATAAGGTAAATGAAAAACAGGATAAAAAATAATTACCTAGCTATGGGGCTAACACAATGAGTAACATCAGGCCAAAACCTTGTTAAATTAAAAAGAGGTTGACTTCGGTAAAACAGGACGGACAGGCAAATCTTGGTCCCATAAAATAAAATATGGTCGCCTTAAATCAAAAATCAGCTTCTTCATCGTTAGTGAAGTTGTGAAGATGATGGTCATCATAAAATCAACATAGCGAATAACAATAAGTTCTGGTAAACCCATACAGCTATAGTGGCCCTTCTACGGTAAAAATTGATGCGCCGCAGGTGGCTATGATTTTTTCGTAGAGAAGTTGTGGATCTTTCACGCATGCGTCAATATCCAACAGGCTGAGTTGCTATATTGCCGTAATGTTTCTGGAAATGGATTGATTTTTATAAGAACGCAACATCAATCTCTGGAATCAGTCTGTGCCCTCTGCAATTGTTATTTTTGGTGTCAATATCTCCGTACCATACTCACAACCTTGGATAATTGGTGCTTTCGATACTTTGCTCCTTCACGAAATTACAGCAACTGTGGCAAATATGAGGACCTAATAGGAGCTTAGAGAAACAGTGGTGCCTATATGTTTGACATTTAACTAACGGGAAATAAGATTTACACAAATAACGGGTGATTCAATAAGAGTTTCCACATTACAATCTGAAATATTTTTGAAACGCCACTGTATTTGTTTATTATTATATGAGATTTCTAACCTCAAAACATAAACAAAATTAGTCATGGAGCAATATACGACTGAACAACGTGTAAAAATTGTGCAAGCCTATTATGAAAATAGTCGATCAAGAAAAAATGCAATTCGGAATACGTGAATTTTTCGGCCCGCAAAATCGACCTTCTGAGAGGACAATTTGGAATGTGGTTCAAAAATTTGAGCAAACTGGATCTGTAACTAACCTCAAAGTCCCTCAACGTGCTCGTGCAAGTCGGTCACATCAAAATATTGCCATTGTTCGCGAAAGTGTAGCCGAAGATCCAAACACATCGATTCGTCATCGATCGCAGCAAGTGGGCCTTACGTATTCAACAGCACAGCGAATTTTAACAAAAGACTTGCATCTACACCCATATAAAGTCCAAATAACTCAGGAGTTGAAACCTCGAGATCATCAACAGTGCCGCGTGTTTGCAGAATGGATACGAGAACAAGGGGTTTATTTTTCAACGAAAATCATCTTTAGCGATGAGGCACATTTTCACGTTGGTGGCTTTGTAATCAAACACATTGCTCGTATTTGGGGATTAGAAAATCCAAGAGAGATTGTTCAAAAAGCAATCCATCCTCAAAAAGTAACTATTTGGGGCGGAGGAATAATTGGCCCTTTTTTTTCGAGGATAATGCAGAGAACGCTGTTACGGTTAATGGTGTTCGCTGTCGAAACATGATATCTGATTTTTTCTGGGAGCAGTTGTAAGGTATGGACATTGAAGATTTGTGGTTCCAACAGGATGGAGCCACTTGTCACACATCCAGAGAAACGATGCAATTGCTGCGGGGCAAGTTTCCTGATCTTATTATCTCACGTAACGGCGATATCAATTGGCCGCCGCGATCATGTGATCTTACTCCCCTAGATTTTTTTTTTGGGTATCTAAAAAGCAGAGTGTATAGAAATAAACCAAACACTATTCCAGAGCTGGAACAGGAGATTAGACGCGAAATAGCCGGCATAGAACCTGAATTGTGTCAAAAAGTGATAGGAAATTTCAATAAACGAATTGCGTCATGCCACATGAGTCACGGTGGTCATTTGAATAACATCATCTTTCATACCTAATTGTAATACACTAATCTAAAATGGCAAATAAAAATGTTTGAATATTTTTATATTCTTCCGATTTTTTTTTATTATTTTGAACCCTTATTGAATCACCCTTTATTTACATGTGAGTTTACTAAAAAAATGTTTGGGCAATATGTTTTAATGTACAAGAACTACAGGAAATATAAGAAAACAATTAAGCTACAAGTTGAATTTTTACTAGAACCAGCATAAGAAATATCAATTCCTTTTCAATTACTCTCTATAGGAGGTGCTTCTTGAACATTTTTTCACTTATATGTTTCATGTGAGATATCTAGCATCTCAAAATACTGCCGTAAAAATACCGCATCCAAACATCTACGATCTGTCAGCGGCCATGTTGTTTGTTGAAAGCCTACGTCAGAATTTGTCATTAGAGCTGCCATTGGTTAAAAACGAAATTTTAAATTAGCGCATGCGCACGTTGAATGGGAATTCTCAAAAAAGTTTTAAATTGTTGCTTCATGAGTTCCTGTACTATCAGCATAGGCAGGGCCTCTATTTGTCTAGTAGCTATATGGGTAAATCTGGCAAAGTAGGAATTGAATATTTATGGTGACACGTAGGTTAAGGAGCCTTGCAATGCTGAAGTGGATTAAGTTCGGGAAATACTTAATAGGAATACCTCGAAGATATTTACCAGCGGTTATAAAAACTGTTTCCCACGCTTTTCGAGGAAATCTGATTATTCCGCAACATAAGACTCCCATACCTTTCGACACTGGTGGATTAATTAACGGTAACAAAGGTAAAACCATGGAGAAATAATAAATCCCGAACATAAGCTGCTTACATCAAATGGTTTAGTCCATAGACTGGGATTAAAGGACATATATATTAACGGGAAAACAGTCGAGAGCAAATTTCCAAATTGCGGACGGGAAAATATGAATTTATTATTTGAAATGTAAAAAGGTTAAACCGAAGGTTGGCTTTATCCAGACCAAATTATACTGTCTACTGCTATACGGTACCCAAACGCGTCTCGTTTTAACAGACCCGGTTAACTGTCGAAAAAGCTGGCGAATTAACGATCTGGAGTGACATTTAAACATCAGTTATTCCATCCTAATAACTAACCCAAACACAATTTGCATAGCAAACAATGACTTGGTGTTATCCGTTTAAATTAAATTGAGGGAATTTTGGTCTTAACGCCATATTCGCCAAATAAAGTTATAATTCGTACAGCCAAACTTCTACCGCGTATGAAAACGGTTTCGCTCGAGAAAATGGAAAATCGTTCAATAATTGTGCAAAAATAAATCCGCCAATTAAGATTGACGGGATATAATGGCAAAATAAATTGTTACATAATACATTTCCAGGATCGCATGGGATTTTGGTATAGCCGTTCCACACAAACTCTGGCTGTTACGAAAAACGCTTTTAAATTCTTTATCAACTATTGATTGCCAAAATTTTACCAGTGACGATGCGGGTTTAATGTTTGTTTATTTGCAGTTGTTTCGTCCGTTTTTATGCTTCGATCGAGGCTATACAGGGCGATTCACGTGTCCTGTTATAAGTTTCTGGAAAACTGACAAAGGGAACATTGATTATGATAGTTGATAATCTATATTTTATAGATAATTTGGCACACGCATATCTAACCGAAATCGTATTATGGGCGTATCCTAATTAGAAAAAGTTTTCTTTGTTAAATCTGCAAAACTTTTAATTGATCATGCTCGGGGGATTTGGTTATGAACTATTTTGGATTTCGCTTACCTATTACGCAAAAAGGCCTCCTCAAAAATTTCAAACGTCCCAGATATCCCTGGTAACGAGATCGACAACCTGAAGACCAGGTCCTGTGGTAAAAAAAAAGTATTCGGCGGGAACGATTGAGGCGAAACGGTACTTACCTTAGTACTAATTCTATGGTAAATATAACACAGACAAGAGATTCCATGTAAACCAAAATATCACCAGCCGTTTTTTCATATTCTTCGATTGTGGAAAACACACTCAAAACAAGGCCGATAAAAACTAAAAGAAACCTGAAACATCGCGAATCCATGTTTTCTTTGGTATACAGGAAATGTGGCGAAAATTCGAGGGTATTAGCTTTACGAAATTACATGGGATATGGAAGATTTTATCTTCCACATTTTAATATATAACTAACTATACTACTACTACTATATATGTATGTATATGTATATATATATATATATATATATATATATATATATATATATATATATATATATATATATATATATATATATATATATATATATATATATATATATATATATATATATATATATATATATATATATATATATATATATATGTATATGCATTCCTCCTGCGTCGGTTTTTGCTTAGTCGAAATTGCTGACGTTTCGCCCATCATCCTGTTGGCTCCTTCAGAGCTTGACTGAAACTGACAGCTCTGAAGAAGCCAACAGGATGATGGGCGAAACGTCAGCAATTTCGACTAAGCAAAAACCGACGCAGGGGAATCCAGAAGTTTTGTAAAAAGCATTACAGTAGCCTGTGAAAGTTTCTTTGAAAAAATATATAATTAATAATTTTAGAAAAATTGTGTACCGAAAAAAATTTTTGGAAATAATTGAAGTATGAGAGATGTTAAAAGTAATAATTTTTACACTATTCAATGTCGCACAATACGCCGAGGTTAAGTTCGACAGATGCCATGTATCCGCCCAGAAAAAAAATTTGTTGCTTCCGAATTAAATGGGTATTTCAAAAATAATTTTATTAAAAATCAGTGGCGCACCATTTTCATACAAATTTGGTACGTATGTTCCCCCCTGGTAATTTTTTAAAAATATATTTCTACTTTTGAAAGCGGTGTGCAAAATGTCAATCAAAGATTTGTGAAAAACTGGTTTGAAAATATTTATTCCAAACTGAATAGGTATTTCAAAATAATTTTTATTATAGAAAAAAGCAGTGGGGCACCATTTTTTTCTTAAAAAATGTTCCATATAAATCTGGTAAATTTTTAAAATATATTTCTGCTTTTGTAGGCGTTGTACAAAATGTGATAAAAAATAGTTTTTTCTCAGAATTCTATCCCCCTGTATCTGGCAAAGGAAGAGTTTTCGGATATATGTTAATATAGGAAGAGAGTAACGACGTATAGGTAGAATATGATATAAAAATTTGGTGCATTCATTTCGGAAAACACTGTATAGGTCAGTGCAGTCAGCAGTATATTTAAAACAGAAAATAAGCGAAGCAATCAATATTTTTTGCGTTTAATACAAATCACACAAATCACAACTACAGTATCGATTCTTCAATTGATAGAAAAGCATTTTTATTTTTAAAAAATGCTTAGATAATATTTTAGATTATTTCGTCTTCGATATAGAGGGTGTTAAACTTATTACCATAATTCTTAAATTAATTAATTAATAAATAAATATATATATATATATATATATATATATATATATATATATATATATATATATATATATATATATATATATATATATATATATATATATATATATATATATATATATATATATATATATATATATATATATATATATATATATATTTGTAAATCTGTAAGAATTCTATATTCTTCCGAAAGTATTGGTCTGTGGTTAGTTATTATTAGATTTACAAAAAAAGTCAATAATATGAGAGTGGATTTTTAATTCGCAGCTAATACAAATACCAATTTCAATCAAATTTGTAAAATGTTTTCAGTAAGTTGATTTTGATTAAATTTATGAAATTTCGAAGGAAGTGGCATTTAGAAATCGCTATTTAAAACATCGAATTTTTGAATTTTACATCTTTTTTTTTTAACCGATTTTACTACAGTATCTTCTTCTACGTTTCGTTGTACGAGGTCATCATCAATTTGATAATTATATTTGACAAACTTAAGGCCTCTTATTTAAGATTCTGTATGTGATAATTTTAAGATGAATACGAAATTAAATAATTATTTGCAGGTCCGTAATGGTCTTTTCATTGATAACGCGATTTATTTTAAGGTTCAATCAATTAGATTTATTACATTGTGATATTAATTATAATGAAAATTACTTGTCGCATATCATCAAGGAACGTTCTTAGTTATGAATTTTTCCCATTCGAATTTTATTCGGTAGCGACGAGTTACGTTGTAAATTAGTTTGGAAAATACCATCAGCCCTTGATTTTACAATGCAACGTTTAATCAGCAGAAAGGTGTCATAAATCATCATTTGCCGCTGACTGTTATTTATTGCGTGCTTGAAAGTGACGATTCTGTATTAAACAATGGCGAAACAAGCGCATATAGTAAAACCCCTACTTTAGGACATCCTGTGATAATGAACACTTTCTATGAACACGCGCTAGATGCTTATTTTACATGTAAAAAGGCCTCCGTAATAAGGACGTTCTTCAATGCGACGCGGCCATTTTCAATCTCTTTAATCGAGACATTGCGACATCCTTGGGCAGGTCCCTATAAACACAATCTTATTATATGGAATATGTGGTAACTTTAATTTAGCACCTTATGAATCAACAACGATTCCTCATATAAAAGAATTAAAATAAAAAGAATTATCGAATTCGGAAAATATCTGGACGATTAATGGAAAGGAAGGAAAGAAACGAAATAGTAAACTTCCTGCATCTAGGTATGTTATATTCGATTCCTGCTGAAGATGTTATTGTCTACTAATAAATAGTTCAATGCTACTTAAATATGCTTTTTTTAGCCTATAGTAGAATATATAGAGCTTTTACTAGCGGTGAAAAGTATAAAAAATATTCAAAGCACTTACACTAATATATGGTAAATGAAGGCCGCTCCCCTAGGACGTTCCAAGAAGTTGTAGATTCGACTTTGCAATCGACGGTAACGGGCATCACGACGAGTTGCTCTGTAGTTGAGTGGACGTCCGAGCAAGGACATCCTAGGTTGCAACAGACGGCCTCCCTGTGCCTTTTGTTGCTTATTTTGGCTTATTATATTTCTGAAACTGAAAAAGTCATGCCACGGACTACAATTTCTCAAACAAGACCATCAAACCAAAAACACAATTGAAATGATTTTTGGATGTATATTTCTCACCCTAAGATTTTCACTATTTTTGACGTTATCTCTCTTATTAATATTTTTTCCCACCTTCACCTTTTTGAAGTTTTTTCTACAAAAGCAATTAAAATACAATATCATGTAATAACTGATGATGGAAGACAATGAAGGGTATTAGAGAACCGTTCAAAGGTCATTTTGGAGCGTCCCATGTTACTTTATTATTTTGAAATAGACGTAGTAGCCAAATAAAATATGTGCTTTGAGACAGGTCGTTAATAATTTTTATCCATTAACCAATTTATCGCCTAATGCACTTTAACTCAACTGAATAATATACTTGCGAGAAATAAAAACTTTAAGTAGTTTTAAATATAAATACTTAAGTAAATAAATACTTTAATAAAAACTTTAAGTAGTTTTAATTGGTCTCTAATCACGTTTCCCAAGTTTTCCAGAACTGTATTTATCGATTTATCAGACAAAAGTTGTTTCTACGTCTTATGTTCCAATGCTGAGTAATCGCAAAATTGATTACTATAAATTTTTCAAATCTGAATTTGGCTATTTCAAATATTTTCTGGTAATGAATGTTTTAAAATAGTGCGAAACGTTCTCACAAAGTCTTAATATTTTCGATGGGGATGTTTAAATATGCAAATTGAACTGCTAAAACTCGACGATTTTGTGAAACTTGTATTACGTTCGGATCCATTTAACCCGCCAACTTAAGCACATTAGATTCTGATTGGCGTAGTAAACCTTTCCGTTTAAACTAGATTAGTGAATACAAAATCCTTGTTAGTTATCCTCCATCTGAGCCGATGGTAATAAGAAAAAATTATTTTTTTTTAAATTAAAATTATGTATACCAAAAGAAATTAAAAAATAAATATCCAAATGATACAGGATGTCGTCCTCACATTTACGCGGAAAATGAGGCTAGTTTGTTTGACAATGATTTATTTTTTACATCCTCTAATACGAGCAGTTCCCAAATTTAACAATTTTATGTAGAGTTTATTTTTAGCCAAATTATACAACTGACGTTGAAAGAAAATTTAATTTATATTTGTTCTTTTATTTATTCCACAACTAAAGAGGGTTCACGGAAACGAACTAAATTCGGCTTTAGCAAAAAATATATGTATCAACGAAATGAAAGGTACTATATTTTCTGCCGACTCCAGAGTAACTGAACTAGTACGTTAGCTTCGCAACAATCATTGTCGCTAACAAGGCACTATAGGCGCTTGCTCCAATTTTGCCACGCAATGATCGCCGTATAGCTTTCATATTATTTAGTTCCATGAAATAGGACATAAATGACATCGTTTTCGTGTTTCTAGACTGAAAAATTGGTTTCACATCGCGATTGCAGCAGTGATACCGATACCATTACACAGATGAGTTTCGTGCGAAGTTTTCCTCGATCGATTTCATATTCCGCATTCTCCACACTGATTTTCATTAGTGCTTTTTTTTCTGTTTTGAAACTTTAAATTGAACACTCAAATTACAGTGATCATGCGTTAGTCTTTACGACGCTGGAAAAGAATTCTTTTTCGCTCCAAACATTTTCCAAAATTAACATGCTATTTTTGACTTTTTTGAACTATTCTTTGCCTCAAAAACTGGTTGCCTATGATGATTTTATTCTGTTTGGCGGTATTTACCCAAAAGTTTTGTTGTGATAGGTTAATTAGTATTGTTTTATTTCTATCTAAATGTTCAGCCGAACAAATAGATATTGGTAACCTTAATACAATTTGATAGAGAAACAAGTTTTGGTTAGTTATATGAGGACCAAATTTTCAACAACTACAAAAATATGCATTATTAAAGTGGGTTGAGCACATTTTTTCGTCAAGATCAAATATTTCCATGTATTCCATTTGGAATAAGCAAGTTGACAACAACTTCCGGTTGAACCGGAAGTGACAGGACGTTCAAAATATTTTAAAAAAGAAGTACACTGGCACTTATCTCAATCCTAAGAATTATAAGGCGTTTGTTTCTAAATTACATCTCAGTAAAGCTGTAATGAGCGGCTTGGGTGAAAAACTCTGTATAAATAATGTTATATCGTAAAATTATTCAATGTGTAGAAATCAATTAATAAACGCGATATTTAAGTTGAAAATAAAATTTAAAAAAATTCTTAACTTAGAAACTTTCTGGAAATTATATTGAAACAGAAAACTACGAAATTAGAATGTGCAAATAAAATGCATTTTCAATATTTTCAAATAATGAAAATTTTTTAAACATCGTGCAACGCAAATTGAAACAGACTGTGTAATGCCTAAATTACTCAAAAACTATGAGTTTGGGAAAACGTCCACCTCATCGAGCAAAAAAAATATGGCCGCTTTACTCAATTAACCCCGTTTGTGATAGCCGTAACATTTATTAACCGCTGGGCTATCTAATAATTCATAAAACTCGCAATTTTATTTAAAACATGGAAGTATATATAAAGTTTAAATGTTAATTTTTAATTATTCAGTGTTTTTGTTGTCCTCTACCCGGTTTTGAAACATAGAAAACTGAACTGAAAAAGCAGCCGCGCATATTGAAAACGCAGAACCGGTTTTAATTTTATCCACGGGGGTTTAATTAAATTTTAATTTAAAATTTTTAAAACTCAGGTAAAGTTTACGAACGGGAGACAGATACAAACTATTCCGTAAAATATTCGTACGAACTTTTTTACTTTACTTGCTGCCTTTGTGCAGGAAATTTATAAAATCAATTAACAATTTTGGCTGTACGAATTTAATACACGAGTTTCTTCTCTCTCTCTCTCTCTCACTCTTTCTCTATCTCTTAAAAATGTAAAAATGATTTTTCTTGATGCGTGGTAGATGGATTTCGAACTGCTCTGTTTCAAACGTTTCACATCATAAATATTTAATTCGGTAAAGTGAATCTCGTTGACCCAGAAAGGTTTTTGGGAGGAAGGGGGATTTAAACAAGCCTTAGGAGGTGCGATAAATAGGTAAAGGGCTAGATTTCTATTAACGCTAGAAAATAAAACTCAAGCTTTGAAACTAATTATCGAAAAGTCGAATGACTGTTGTTCCGATTTTAAGTTCGAAACTTTTCCGTTCGGCTTTTTATCGACATCGGTATACGAAACTTCGAAAATGGAAATTTTCCGTTTTGCTGGAGAATACGTGCGGCGATGCCAGAGTTTCTAGTTCCAATTTTCAACCTTTTCAAATACAAACGGGTTATACTCTAAGTCCCAGTAAAAAATATTTTAGTTACGCGTTTTTAATAAATCTTTGGAATATACGGTTTTAAGTACTTAATGGTATCCATCAGGATATTCGAAATTATTGCTCCTAATTTTTGTGGCACATTCCTACCTCTAAATTAAGCATTAGGATCTTATATAAACATATACCCTTAAAAGCGTACTTTCCGCTGATGAAATTATAATAAAAAATCTATTTTCTTATAATAAAAGACATTTTTCTCATAATTTTCGAGATTCTGCCGTGAATGAAAAAAAATGAAATAACAATAATAATTTGAACATTTCGCGCTATTAGTTTTTAACGAGATTGATTTTGTTGACAGATTGCCATGGTAACGCATGTATGTTATCTCTTGACAGCTATAATAGAAGTAGTGACGTTTCTATTTTCAAACGGTTTTAGCCTGAAATTTTATATTGAAACTCCCTCCTGCGTCCGAAATGCCCTCGAAATCTCCAAAAATTTTTCTTCGTATACGAATTTTTAAAAAAAATTATGTACCGAAAAAAATTTTTGGAAATATTTGAAGTATGAGAGACGTTAAAAGTAATAATTTTTACACTATTCATACGCCGAGGTTAAGTTCGACAGATGCCATGCATCCTCCGAAAAAAAAATTGTTGCTTCCTAATTAAATGGGTATTTCAAAAATAAATTTTATTTTATAAAAAAGTAGTGGCGCACCATTTTCATACAAATTTGGTACGGACGTCCCCCCTGGTAATTTTTTAAAATATATTTTTGCTTTTGAAAGCGGTGTGCAAAATGTCAATCAAGGATTTGTGAAAAAGTGGTTTGAAAATATTTATTCCAAACTGAATTTTTTTCTTAAAATATGTTCGATACAAATCTGGTAAAATTTTTAAAATATATTTCTGCTTTGGAAGGCGGTGTACAAAATCTGAAAAAAAAATAGTTTTTTCGTAGAATTTTATCCCCCTGTATCTGGCAAAAGAAAAGTTTTCGGATATATGTTAATATAGGAAGAAAGTAACGACGTATAGGTAGAATATGATATAAAAATTTGGTGCATTCATTTCGGAAAACACTGTATAGGTCAGTGCAGTCAGCAGTATATTTAAAACTGCGAAAATAAACGAAGCAATCAATATTTTTTGCATTTAATACAAATCACTACACAACTACAGTATCGATTCTTCAATTGATAAAAAATCATTTTTATTTTTTAAAATGCTTAGATAATATCTTAGATTATTTCGTCTTCGATATAGAGGGTGTTAAATTTATTACCATAATTCTAATGTAACTTCAGATTTTTTAAATCAAATTTGGTACACATCTTTTAACCATCGGAATTCGCGTTATAACGCAAAATATTTTTTTTTAATCTTAAGGAGTGGGTAATATAACGGCACTGGATCTTTCGAAAATAAAAATTATTTTGTAAATTCGCACCGTTCCCGCTTAAAAAAATAAATAAACATTGTTTTGGCAGTCGGTTACTGAAGACGGGCATCCCGACAACCTCAATCGACGAAATTTGAAAAAAAAAGCAATACTAAATTTATTATAAAAAAACATATTTTCACTTATGTTTTTTTAAACTGTTACGAAAAACTTTTAAAATTTTGGTTAAGCATTTTCGTTACTCGGACATTTTCGTGTTGACTTTAATAATTTTTGTTTATTGTTTAGTAAGGAAAAATTAGTTTTGATATAAGTTATGAAGCTTAAGAAAATAAAAAAAGTCGCATTTAGTTTTTTGTAGGATTAACAGCAAATTTCAGGTTAAACTACCTTTCAAGCAAGTTGTATTGAAAGGGTTATCTAAAAAAAATCAAAGACAAAATGTGCTGAAGGCTGCGAAACACGAACGGAATTTCAATTTTTTTCGTTTTGTTCTGGGAAACTCACCAGATTTATTCGAGGTGTCGAACGATTTTTTAAAAAATTCTAAAACGGCACGAAAAAATTGCGGCCTAATCATCAGGCCGGCACAAAATTTGCGGAAACACGGCATGTTTCCGACGCGTCAGTCGGTTGTCGAACTGATGCTGCCGCATCGCTGAAACAAACTGAAACTCTGAAATAACCGCTTGAGTATGCGGTGGCACATATTTCAGCAGGTGAGGTTGGCACAACGCAAAACGGTAAATTGTGCGCCCTATGATCCACCTTATTGTAAAGCGTGCGCTTTTAAGCCACCAATAAAGGCATGTTTTTCCAAAGTTTTTTTTTTCGCGTTCGGTTAATGAGAATCGATGGAAAGGGATTTTCAGCGTTTTCGCGAGATCTAAAATATGAGAAAAGTTGAAAGAAAGGAAATTTTGAGAACGCACTTAGAATATGAATGGAAACTTTTTCGCGCTTCTATGTGTCTCTTTTACAGGGCGTTGTTTCGTCAAAATTCATGCAAACGTATTTGATTTATGACAACACGTTCATTTATTTCAATTACTTCTAATTGAATGTAGACTTTTCAATTTCAGATTTTATTGTCCCCAGAAGTAGCATATTTGTTAACCTCTCTTGACAGTTATCCATCACTTGATAAATAGCAACTTTCAGTTCCTTGGCGGGATTTATTAACGTAACACTTAAGGTAACCTCGCTATGCCTAGGTCCTTGGTGTAGCTCTAGTAGCTAGAGTTAGCAATTGGCGGGCACACGTGGCTGATATTATTTGCCGATATTGAAAAGTGTACCATTGTGGCATCAATCTCAGCAAACGGAAAATGATGAGTCATCTAGAAAAACTTCCTGAGCATTAAGTTTCCAGACTGATGGAGAAAGCTGGGATTTTTTTTTGAAACAACCAAAACTAACAATAAACCATTAAACAAAATAAAATCAAAAAAATTAATAAATGGAAATTTACTGCAATAACAACGGGGATTGCTAAGAGAACGGGGAGAAGATGGCAAGAGCGAAAAAATGGATCGTATTTTCTGGCTCCACTATTGTTAAACAAAATGTATAAATGAATCAGTCGGCAGCCTCCTAGTAGAGATTTCTTTAGATGATTTTTAAATGAAGCATAGCATCAATCTCAGCAAACGGAAAATGATGTCGTCTAGAAAAGCTTCCTGAGCATCGAGTATCCAGATTGATGCAGAAAGCTGTAATCTTTGAAACAACCAAAACTAACAATAAGTAATTCAACAAAATGAAGTCAAAAAAAATAATAAATGGAAATTTACTGCAATAACAACGGGGATTTCCAAGGGAAAGGAGAGAAGATCGCAAGAGCGAAGAAATGGATCGTATTTTCTGGCTTCACTATTCTTAAACAAAATGTAAAAATAAATCAGTCGGCAGCCTTCTAGTAGAGATTTAATTAGATGATTTTTAAATGAAGCATAGCATCAATCTCAGCAAACGGAAAATGATGAGTCATCTAGAAAAGCTTCCTGAGCATCAAGTTTCCATATTGATGCAGAAAGCTGTAATCTTTGAAACAACCAAAAGTAACAATAAATAATTTAACAAAATGAAGCCAAAAAAATTAATAAATGTAAATTTACTGCAATAACAACGGGGATTGCTAAAGGAAAGGGGAGAAGATCGCAAGATCTAAGAAATGGATCGTATTTTCTGGCTGCACTATTCTTAAACAAAATGTAAAAATAAATCAGTCGGCAGCCTTCTAGTAGAGATTTCTTTAGATAATTGTTAAATGATGCATAGCATCAATCTCAGCAAACGGAAAATGATGAGTCATCTAGAGAAGCTTCCTGAGCATTAAGTTTCCAGATTGATGCAGAAAGCTGTGATTTTTGAAACAACCAAAACTAACAATAAACCAATAAACAAAATGAAGTCAAAAAAATTAATAAATGGAAATTTACTGCAATCACAACGGGGATTGCTAGGAGAAAGGGGAGAAGATGGCAAGAGCGAAGAAATGTTTCGTATTTTCTGGCTCCACTATTGTTAAACAAAATGTAAAAATAAATCAGTCGGCAGCCTCCTAGTAGAGATTTCTTTAGATGATTTTTAAATGAAGCATATCATCAATCTCAGCAAACGGAAAATGATGAATAATCTAGAAAAGGTTCCTGAGCATCGAGTTTCCAGATTGATGCAGAAACAACCAAGACTAACAATAAATAATTCAAAAAATGAACTCAAAAAAAATAATAAATGGAAATTTACTGCAATAACAACGGGGATTGCTAAAAGAAAGTGGAGAAGTTCGCAAGAGTGAACAAATGGATCATATTTTCTGGGTCTACTATTCTTAACCAAAATGTAAAAATAAATCAGTCGGCAGCCTTCCAGTAGAGATTTCTTTAGATGATTTTTAAATGAAGCATAGCATCAATCTCAGCAAGCGGAAAATGATGAGTCATCTAGAAAAGGTTCCTGAGCATCGAGTTTCCAGATTGATGCAGAAAGCTGTAATTTGTGAAACAACCAAAACTAACAATAAATAATTCAACAGAATGAAGTCAGTGCAATGCAATAACAACGGCGATTGCTAAGGGAAAGGGAAGAAGATCGCAAGAGGGAAGAAATGGATCGTATTTTCCTCTGGTAGAGATTTCTATAGAAGATTTTTAAATGAACAAAGTGAGTTTGACCTGTCAGTAAAATCAAGTGATGGTGTATAATTTTGGTGACGAATATTACATGAAAACAGAATCAATGATGAAATTTAAACTTCCTATTATTATTTTAGCTTGTTGATTTATTATTATTCTAATATTCACAAAAATGGCCAGTTATAGTTTATATTAGTATAAAGCAAATTATGTCAAAATTTTGTACAATAATTTAACATATCTTAATAAAGACTATTATTATTTCTTATAAAATTTGTTTTTATGTATTGGTATTGTTAATGCGCCATTACGGAGATTTAAATGATTAACACCAATTCGTCATCAAGTAATTGTGCTTTATGAGTCAGGGGGACAGGAGTTTTGCATCTTGTGAATACTATGAGAATCTCGATCATCTAGGCATGGTCCATACGTTCTGACAAGAGGTTTTTGTTTTTTTCAATCAAAAGTAAGTTACAATAAATTACAACAATAATTGTTATGTAGTTGGGGATAACTAATATCTTATCACAGTTTATAACTGATGGCAATAGGAATAAAAAAATTTAAACTTTTAAATAGGATTTTGGGGCTCATTTATATTACCCCCCATTTTTATTCTACTTTTTTCTGTTTGACCGGAAGTGATGTCAATCTTGAAACTTTAATTATAAATTCTTTTTAATTGGGGATTTTTATTTAAAATTATAATCAATAATGATAATGATTATTAAATATGTCAAAATATCGGGTTTTATGCACTCCTCACTCTATCAAAAAATCAAATAAATGCGTTTGAAGCTGTAGGAAAAAGCAGTGGTGGGGCAAACTACATTTTGTGTCACCCGGTATATGCTTGAATTTCGTTCAGCAATGCGCCGCTGAAATGGCGGCCTATCACTAAGTGACACCAGTGACACCTTGTATGTTGAACGTAGGACAGATAACATTTTCGATGGACAAAAATTAAATGCACGGGTGGGGCTATTGATATTTTTGATTAATTATGTTAAATAATGCTGGTACCGATCTGCCCTTTTCAAATAACCGATCTAATTAACGCACGTAATTAAGCAATTTGCGTTCAATAATGGGATTTGTTTGGCGAGATTTTTGTTTTGATTTTTTGCTAATTCTTTTTTTTTGCATTCGAATATATTCGTCCATGTCACCTCAATTAAAATTATTAGAGTAAAAGGGCCGATCGACTATGGATTACGCTTTTTGTTTCCATTTAAATTGGGTCCGTCGGACAGTTCGTGTGTTGTTTTTTTTTAGCTTCGCCCTTGTTCCATTTATTCTGCCTTTGTTTGATTCCTAGATTTTTTTTTTTTTAATTAGCTTTGCTTGTTCGTATAGTTCATTTGCTTTGCTCCGGTTTTGTTTATTAACTGTGCATTTTCGAAATCGTAATACTGCCCCAGGGGGTTACATTTTTCCGAAGTTATTTTTTTTATTTTACAAGAACTTTGGGCCTTTGTTAGACAGGATTTTTTTATTCTTTTGGCCTTTATTCATTTTTTAAAAACTACAACAAAGTTAATCATTATTTTTTATTTTAATTATTTGGTTGTTGTTTTCAGTTGCTTGTTTGTTGCAAGAATCAGAGCTTCCCGGTTAATGGGAAAGGCTACGTTGAGTGCCCTATCCAAGAATTGGCCCTCATGTTTTTTAGACCGGTAAACTATTTTATGTTATTAGTATCGACCTAATTCATCTAATTTATCGTTACTTTAGTTCAATTTTCGATACAGTTTGGTAAAGTGTGGCGTTAATTCTGATCCAAATTTTACACAGTATTATAGAACACAATAATATATGGTCGTTTTATTTATTTTTTGTTTTATCAATTTGAATCTCAAATCTTTATAAATTGTTTCAATTAGAAATACCTTTATGGGTTCCACTTAACTTTGTGTTACTTTTTTTTTCTGCCTTTGTCTTGATTCATTTACAGACCGCCAACTACTAACCACCCTAGGGACAATATTATCTAAATTAATGGCATGCGAATTGGCGCAAATTTAAAAATCCTCGAAACCAATGATATTTTTTCCTCCTGGTTTCTCCTGTTAGGCATAAGCAATTTTAGGCATTTAGCCTGCCTATTTGTTATTTCTCTTTGCTTCTTATATAAAATGAGTGGCCAAATGATTATATTACTATGCCTGGAATTTCTTTATGCCTTTCTTATGCCTTTATGCCAAGTGAGATCTGTAGTTGCAATATATCGCTTAGGATATTGTTTAACTGTTAATGGAGGGTTGTTTGAACATTTACTTAAAAAACAATGTTTATTTTAAATAATCTTCCTTTTTAGAAATGTTTTTTGAAATAATTATTATCAATAAAAGACTTGATGGTCAAATTTATAGTCGTTTATTGAAGATGTCTTGTTGCTTAAACAGTCCTTTAATTTAAATTCAGTATTTGCTGGTCCATTAGGGTGCTCCAAAAAATTGTTTAATTTTTTTTTTAGCTCTTACTCCCTCAAATGTTTCTTCTGTATATATACATATATATATATATA